TGTTCCGCTGAGTTTCTTTCCCGTTCTTCATTGTCAGTGGATTTTCTTTTCCGAACCGGTCGCGGTGGTAGTGTTTTGTCAACAAGTCAAAGTCTTTAGAGATTATATTTTCGAAAATTGACAGTATGTGTGTACCTGTTCCATCGACGAAACAAATCGATCTGCTATTTGATTTGTATGTTTGTAATACCTGTGAACTATCAATTTGTAATACCTGTGATGTTTGAAGTTATAGTTCTTTAGGCGCGTTAAGAAAAAAATTATGAGAGTAAAATTTTAAGATGCGCGCGCATCACTGTAACAAAAAAGTCACCGTTGAAGCTGCCCTCTAAACCGCTTATTATAGATGGTAGCATATTCTCAATCATATTTGCCCGTTACAGCTCTTAATAAAGAATGTAGATGGCGCTCTCATAATTTTGTTATTTACATCCTTTTCCAGTCTTTTTATTATTTTTATACTTTTTATTATAGTGTATTAATTATTTGCATGCAATTAAAAACTATTTTTAATGATACCAAAGTAGTATACCTTCTCACGCGCGTACACGCACCCATTTTTTTATTTGTCAGCATTACAACTTTTAAGGAAATTATTAGTTGTTATTAGTAATAATAATATTAACGGCTTTTTATTAAATTTATCTGCATTATATTTATAATAACAAACAGGAATTTTAATTTTATTTATCTCTATACATGAATTAAATTCTAATTTTAAGTAAATTTTTTCTTATTTGCAATCGTTTTGCAGTAAACATAATGGCCGAAAGTGGCTAATTATAAGATATTTTCTAGCTAAACTATTAACGTAAGTATCTCAACCTATTATTGTATGTACAAACAAATTTGAAATATAATAAGACAAAGGTCGACAAATAATTTTTGCAAAGCTGGAGAAGCAGTCAAGCACCTATAAACTTATATTCCCTTATAAAAATATGTCAATAAATTTGAATAATTTAAAACGCACGGGTCATTCACAAGACTTATCGCCTACAGTGACTAAGTTTTAACACATTACAAATAGAACGAATGCTCTCAGCATTTATTCAGAAAATTATTAAATTTGGTTAGCAAATTTTGCAATACATGTACCGCTAAGGTAGGCTTCGTCTGCACCTCAGCTTCTTATTAACGTGCATAAATATCAGTTCCCGCCACCGCCCGCCCAATACGGTACCAGTTAGAAGGTAGCTCTACAAACAATCTAACATTATTGTGCAAATATAGAGTTATCTGAATTATGATTTATTTATTATTTTATTTTAATACCTGTCGAAGATATTATTGCACGCATATAAGTTTTAAATATAAACTAATACAAAAATAAGACAACATTTTGAGAAGCGAAGTTATAATTTTAAGAAAATATAAGCATTATAAAATATATTGTTTTAAGTCTAGTGCTAACGTTTTGGTGTATGTTTGTGATTACCAAATAGTACATCTATATTGTGTAAGAACATTTTAAAAATTCGATTTTCATGGACAAAAATAAATGAAGATTGATTTTAAATAAGTAATTTTGATTAAGCTTTTTATGGTTTTGACATCTTCGAAGTAGATATAAGATATAAGTTTCAAATTTTAACAATTCCAAATATATTGAAGTTATAATTCATGACACTCATTTCATTCCTATGCTTATAAATTAAACAGATTTAAAATGCACTTCATTTTAGTATTATGTGATGAGGTTTCTTACGAGTTTCTTCAACGACCATCAATGTTCATTACCCTGAAAAAAATGTGGGTTTTTTGTTAAAAGATAATACTTTAAATCTATATCACGTTTCTATTATTCTTTTATCAGAAAATATTAACTTAAATATTGGCCTGAATAAAAATATTTCATTCAAGATTTCTTCACGAATACAAAGGCATTAAAACGTTCTATAAACGAATTTAATCTTACCGACAAAGAAATGTTTTAAAAAATAATGTTCATCGGGCTGTAAAGTAAATTTATTCATTTGGAACATCGAACTGGAAGTAAAACAATGTTTGAATAGTATTTTACTAGATTTTATTATCTGAAACGGGTAATTTCCCCTGTACAAACACTCGGGTCCGTTCATTCGAGAGCCCCAGCGCGCGCTAAATTTGAATTCATGTTACGAACGAGCTACATAAACCAATTACTGAGCCGAGCCAATGGCGGGTGGCGGCACGCGGAGAATCGATAATTCACAATATGCCCGCTAGAGGGCAACGCCGGCGACGCCGGTGCGCGCCCACACCACTCCTCCACGTTGCGCATCCCAACGATTAACCTTGTCTCGACGTACCAACTATATAATATTTATTTTTAAAGTAACTAATGATGATAACTTTCTAAAATCTATAAAATATGACGCTTCTTGTGAGTGCTTAATATCTTCTTATACATCAGTAAGTAATAATAAAAAAATATTTTGGTGTCAGAGTACTATTACTTCTAGAATATTAAACACAGGAATATCGCAAAAAGTCTCCAATAAATTGTATTCCATACAAATATTACTCAAAACAAATTCAACTTATAAATATCATTGCAAACACACTCACATTGCAAATCACAGAAAATTAAGAACCGCCGATACAAGGCCACAGCGGGCGTGCGCTGTAGTCAGCTGCTGCTTAGCTTGCTGTTTCGTGTCGCGCTTCTTGCCCGCTTTCAATGTTTTCCGTTTTATTTTGTTATTTCTGTGATGCAAGCTAATTTTGTAACTAAAGTAAATAAAATAAATAGTTGTGAAAGAAAAAGTGAAATACAATAGTGATCCTGTACAATAAACTTCAGATGAAACAAGGTAAACGCCTTTGTATTTTTGTTTGTCGTGAACATAACCTCTATGATGTCACTACAATGCTTGGTTTCAGTATTAAAGGTGTTGATTGTGGCAAAGATGGGATACTATAGGAAAGATAATCACATCAATAATAATGAAATCTCAATTGTGACCTGAAGCGCTTTCAAATTTAATGTTGAGACTATGCAAGTGGCTTATTGGAAAGAAACATTTGTAAATATTTCCACGTTGCATTTTTTAGGATTTCTTTGGATTTGTTTTTTTTTAATGTGTATAAAACATTTATTAGTACTGCATGTGGTCTCAAAAATTAAGTAAATATTGACATATATGAATCACCATGACAATGCTTAGTTGATAAAATAATGGTTTTATCCGAAATTCTCATAGGGGGCGTTAGTAGTTTTCTAAAACGGATAAATTGATGAATACATTTTATCAATGTACCTAATATACGTTTTCGCTATGATTCTACTTATTTATTCCGTTATTTAAACAAGTATTATGTTGTAATTTATATCCAAAAGTAAAGTGATAAAAAACATTCATTAAGTATTAAATTTGTACAGATGTATAAGCACAAAATTATAAAATCATTGTTTAACTATCATTAATTCATTTTAATTTTCATAATTATGTTTGTCTTTTATTTTATTGTTTTCTTTTCTAAGTAAGTATACAACTATGTCATCTTTATCACAAAAGCTTAACACGAGTTTAAGCTATCATAAGTTAGCTTAGTTTCAAGTGGATACACATACAGGGAGGCTTTTCTAAGTGTATCCATTTTTTTTTATTAAATTCTAGACATTAATAATGTTATAATACAAAAAATGATAAATATTTTAAATCACTCGTAAGTAATTAATTACATTCATTTGAACTTATCTCAAAAAGTGTGCGATTTGTACGCAACTCATTTATTTTACGCGTGATCATTCATAAATTTTCATAACAGTAAAATTTAGGTTTTATGAATGCCTACCGCGTTGTCAACAAGTTCTGTTTTTTAGGAAATAGAATGGTAATTTTTATGAAAAAAAATGTTTGTTTTTATTTAAATAAACAATTATACTACAGAGTCTGAACCTCCTGTGTAAATTTGGGCACCTTTAATAAGCCTCCCTTTTACGTACTATACGTATGTTATGCATGTACTAATGAGGAAATGCAACGAAAATTCAAGTAATGCTTTTATTTAAAAAATGTGCTCAAAGCTTAGTGATATTATGTTATATGCTTATAATGTCTATATTAATATATACTAACTTAAGTTTAGTCGATATGAATTTCTTTTTATATTGATTCGTACAAAATGACCAGACAGTTTCAAAATTTTTAAAAAATCACATGTCAATAAATTTTCAAATTTATCGTCATGTGATTACAAGAAAATTATGTTATTTACTTGGTGATAATGACGATATTAAAGTTGACATGAGATATGCTGTAGTCTATATATACAATAAAAAACAACTTATATCTTATATCTGTTGAAATATTAAAAGGATTATAACAACTGGTATCAGTTGTTATAATCCTTTTAATGTTTCAACGTATATACATAATAGTATTATTACTGCTACTAAATCGGTACACGCAAAAATAATCGTTAACGTAGCAAACCGAATATTTGTCTGTAATTTTTAAATTACAGACAAATGTTCGGTTAAAAAAAAATTGCGTATGTCCTTTCTCAGGCTTCTAGGCTATCTGTGTATCAAATTTCATTTAAATAGGTTCAGTAATTTTGGCGTGAAAGCGATACAGACATACAGAGCTACTTTTGCATTTATAATACTAGATGCTACCCGCGACTACGTCTGCGTAGAATAGGCTGAAGATGTATTACATCAGTGTCATTAAGACAAAAAGACAGATATACATAAAATATGTATATAAATTATAGCCTATGTCTTATTCTGATGTATAAACTATATTACTGTAAAGTTTCATTAGAATCCATTCTGTAGTATTTGCGTGAAAGAGTAACAAACATCCATCCATACATACAAACTTTCACCTTTATAATATTAGTAAGGATTAAGTATGGATTTTAGAACGACACTGTCGTATTCAATGTAGTCTCGTTAATTTGGTAAATGATATAGAATATCACAAAAATCTGTGCATTGGTTATTCGAAAAAATTGTTAAGCGTAAACACGGTCGACGGAAGGTTTGCCAATGTCGACTTTTGTCGAAAATGTCCGTCTCGTCAGCCATATTCCGTTTAATGTCGCAATATCGTCGTTGGCGGGAGGCCGCGGCCGGTCGCATGCATTTACATACATTAATGTGGACGCAGCACATGCACCTCGCTCCGAATGTGTGTGCGTTGCGAATTAACTGTAATTGAGCCATTCGGAGAGCGGCGATTGAGCTCCGCTGGAGTTTACCTATTCCACCTCTTTCTTTGATCGCTAATCTGTTATAATAATGTTCGATCGTGCTAGATACATTGGCTTTCTCCAACCCATTAAAGTCACGACTTTCGAGAGCTTTGATCTGATAATGGATTCTCAATCAAAGGGAGATTATTTTACTACTTCGGCTCCGGGTTACGATTTCGATCGTTTAAATAGGTCATTCATTTAAAACTTTTAAGCTGATATTGATATAACTTTAGAGTGAGCTTAATTAACATTAACAATTAAATTCCGCTCGCTATCTATTTCCAGATTTTCCTTTAGGAGAGATTTAATTATTCTCCGTAAGGGAAACGAGTAACCGATTGCAATGCTCCAGGAAATTCATCTTCACCCCTTTCTGGAGAAACAAACAGGGGCGTCGGAATTTTGTTATTAGCGCTACAGAGGGAGTGGGTACCGTTCCCGTCGCGCACCTGACTGATTGATAGCACTTCTTTGCACCTCGGGTCGAGCTTGTAATCGAGCCATTAATAAACTTTACTGCCTCCAAGTTTATCCTGCGGACTCGTTATTTGCTTAATGGGCTGGCAAACGGCTCGGGCAGGAGACACCTGTGCTGCCCCGATAATTATGAACCCTAATTGACGTATTGATGAAGACGATCGGGAAGTTGAAACTTACACTACCCCGGGAACGAAACTTAACATCCCCTTCCATGGTTCAATAATTATGTATATGATAAGTTATGGACAAGTGACGGTCAAAACTTTATAATGAGTGGAAAAAACCACTAAATAGCAAAAAGTCACATTTTTATATAAACAAATAGTGGAGTAATGATGCAATATAAAGTTGGTTATAAAAGAAACAAATGGATTTTGTATTGGATTAAAGCAGCAGTTTTATAAAATTATATCATCATCATCTTAATCATCATTTCAGCCTATTTGAGTCCACTGTTGAACATAGGCCTGGGTGTGTGGGCACAGACCGCCACGAAGCACGATCCTGGATAAGCTGCATTTTTTTATGGGAGAAGGTGGCAAGTGAGCTGAAGATCAATCTTTGTTACCATTACCTACGGAACTGAGACTTGGTCCTTTAATTATATAATATTTTAACGTATGCCTGTGTAATTTACTTCCTTAACATCCCTAACGCGGGATAAAGATAACCTAAAATGGGAGCAGTTAAAGTAAATATATATTTTTTACAGAAAAATAATGGCTACTACCCACATTATTGTTATGTATACCGATAAAACGGATGAAACAAATATCCCACGACTTTCGTTATTTTATTAAAACATCTAATTATACCGATATTCTCAAAATTATTTAGTGTTGAACGTTATATCATTTGGTTACGAAATAATCTGACAGTGGGTCGAGCTAATGTCACTCGACGTTTGACAAAGCGACTGTTGGCACGGAGAGGCTTTGCTCGCAGCTATGTAAACAAAGAGGGCAAAAAGGTTGGAATAAAAAAGTAATAGAAGTTTTGTTTATTTTTGTTTTTTGAAGTTCGTGAATCCCTGCTTTAGTATGCTTATGTTGATATTAAAACACATTTATTGCGGCGTCAACAAGATTTTTTTAAAGAAAATAATTGGATCTTGAATAAATGCTCGTTTACTAAAACTATCGTAAAGCTACTGAATATTAACGTCAACTTTTCGGCGAGGGTGTCGTATAGTTTGGCGGTCGCACTCAATGCGGAGAGGCTTAAGTTGACAGAATGTAAACGGCGAGGAGACAACTGGGGCTCGGGAAAGGGGGGTCGTAAAAAGGGCAATGCCATAATTGTGGTAAGACCGAGGCACGCCGTCACTGACTCCACGGCGGCGCACGAGCCCGTCGCTTCTACCTGCTACCCCTCGTGATTGGAAGTTGACATTGAGCGGTGCGGGGTTGCGCCAGGCACGGCCCTCGCCCCGCTATTTTTGACCCCGCGGCCTATCGCGCTGGCGATCGGCCTTGCGCTAACTTTCCGTTTAATCGTAGCGACTTTTAAATGAAACCGTTATAAAGGCTCCTCAAAAATTATTTTATCTTTCAAAATGTGGCATGTGGAATGTGATTTCAAATGACACTTAAATGGCTAGATGACAATATTATTGGTACTGATTCGGCGAATTTTCCCTTAATTAAAATTTAATAAACCGACTAATTAAACGCTGGCAAGCTCACATTGTGCTGGAGATTTTATTTCCGAAGCTTTTCCAATAATTTTACCGAAGGTGACGTTGGTGTGGTCGTCGATCCTGTCCGAACTGGGTCAACGCCAGTCCACAATTACGAAAAAAAGTGCGGCGTCGGATGAACGAGGCGTCCCTCTCTGTCCAGCTACCGCCCGGGGACTCCCGAAACAAAGAACAATGAAGATTATCTTATTCATTTGCGTTGGCCACGTCTTTTATTTCTTGAGCGAATGTACAGATAACCATTAAACATCGTTTACGTAGCGCCCTTAATGTGTTTGCGTATTGTACAATTTGATACCGCGCCTGTTTGCATTTTTACCGCTTTGCCTTTCCGATTAGGGTCGCATTCGGGCTCCACGTTTATTAGAGCGTAGTACTCGCGACACGACTTTCATTTTATGCGGATAAAGCACGTGCACGCATCCAGTGTGATGTCTGCCTATTTACATTTTCCTTCATTAGCTCTGAACGTAGGCATTGTAAGCTTTTGGGCGTGTTGTTTTGTTTTGCTAAAACAACCAAGTGATTTTCAATTGACATCGGTGCCACGCAACTGGCCAATAGCAGTGATTTTGTGGCAGAGAGTTGTGTATAGCGGAAGGACGTGTCACTCACGGCCCGCCGACGTCTGTCTGCCTTCAGCAAAACGCCGAAAGCTTCCGACCTGCCCTCCGACACCGGCACTACTCGAATTTCACTTTATAAAATGGTTTATTATTGCAATGCTGCAAACTACAAATTTTGAAGATTTGCCTCTGTGACCTGCTAAAACACTTGCACCGGCGCCATTTTTGTTAGATTAAATAAATAAAATCCAATTTTAAATGAAAAGTGATCACGTCTTACAAGACAAACATTCAGATTAAAAAATTTTAACTTTTTACCTCATATTATAACCGTAAGTCCATAATTGTATGAACGTGACTGACATTTATAACGTAATGTTAGATTAGTCTCGATATTCTAATCTAATTAGAACATTACATTTATAACGTAATGTTAGTAAGTTAGGGTCTCGTGTCGTTTTATTTCAACGTGCTTTTTATTAGCTTTTTTAAAATGAGCGAAAAAGACAATATTATTACACTCCATCTTGAGCTTTTGCGGATTTAATTTTAAACAATGGTTTAATTATAATTTTACTATAAACTTACTTGTTGCGCTAATCTTTTTGTTACTAAATCATTGACAGAATCCGTCTCGAAGAATTGGTTCATTTATCTACAAAATTTACAATTTAAAGAATTTGTTTTGCATAAATCTATAAAATTATTATTTATCTCAAGACCGAAGACCAAAGCGGTAGGTGGTATTTGTAACGAGGATCTTACTCCGATCGCTCAAAGTGTACATTGAGGTCTAAACAATGTGACATTCCCAAGCGTTATTTCTATTCTTTTTTTAAATGCGCTAAGCTTAGGCGACGGCAGTAGAAAACAGCCTAGTTTGTGGGGTGGTTTATCACTTGCGAAGCAGGTCGACCACAGAGCGCGCCCGTGACTTGCGCCGCGCCTTAATGTGCCCGATCACGCACCACCGGCACGGCATTTGGAAAATTCTGATAGAAAATTCGCACACAGTATGCGGAGCGGCCAAATCTGAATAAGAATAATAATATAATATCTTTGGGAAAAATATATAAAGGCCGCAACATTTTCAAACGGCTATTGTTAGCTAAACTTAATTGTAAAATTGTTGTTTTTTGTGATAAACTATAAACAATTTAAAAGAATAAGTCGAGACAACAAAAGAGTATGGCAAAACAGGACATCAAATAATAAATTCTATACAACATAGCCAAGCGTTAATCGATTTATTTTAAAATATTTACTCACACTATATTAATATTTATAGAGTCCTGGAGTGATTATTAAAATATTGGTACTAATATAAACTTTACAGTGGCAAGTCTTTTTCGTCTTATTGTCCTTAACCGTATATTGATTATTAGTCTCATCGTAAATATTCTCGAATGGAGCATTTAAAAACTTTACTGTGGTTAAATTGATTTAAAATTAACGTTCCAATTCCAGTGGGAATGGGAAAGTCTTTATTAATAATTAAATTATCTCTATTGTATTCTCAAAAGTGACAAGTAAGGGATACATTAACCAACAAACAAATGAATGCCTACATCAAACTTAAGGATAATGAAATATCTTTAAAATTTTATACAAAAACATTCCGATGTTCATACGATGATAACGTAATGTAACCCGATCTGTAAAATGCAATGCTTGGATATTTCATAATTTTAGAATCGATTTAAATTCACCCCACGTTAGCATCACAAGCGACAGTTGTTTTGAATTTTATGAGGCTGCGCTCAGTGACGGCGGCGGCTCGCACATCGTGTTTAAATCATAAACTGTCGATAAAAAATAATGTTTTGGCAATACTTTACAAATCTTTGGTACATCTATGTGCCATATAACATTTAGTCATGATGATTCAGTCTACACTATGGCCTCATAAAGGTCTGTCTAGAACCAATCGTTAAATTAATGCGCATGATAAAAAATATTCCGTGCTCCTTGGTAAAGTGACTTTATGATACTCCTTTATTTTTTTACAAGAATTCTTCGATCCTTTTAGGCATTGTAAAGTTTATTTCGCGCAATACATTCCGGCAAATAGTTTTATGTGTGCCATTTTGACTTTTATTTTATTTTTCGTTTATTTTCCCTTGCTCGGCCGTAAAACGTACCTGGGAACGCTCGCGGGTATAACGGAGCGGGCTCAGGGAAAATTTATTATTGAGACCTTTTCGCCCGGGCTCCATCGACAGACATTGCGAAGGCGAAAGTTATGAATGACACATGTTTTGAAATATTACCTGCAGTGAACTGCTTCCCCAGAAGAAAATTTCATAGGATGAGAAGTTTATTTGTCGTGAAATATGTGGGAGTTTTATGAGAACGGGTACTTTTACAATGCTACGGATCAAGCAATTTTCTTACTTTTCGGTCTGTATTGCAGAGTAATAAGACTGAGAGGTATACTCAGACGAATAAAAAGATGAGGTGCGACAAATTGGATGGGAAAACTTTGTCATCCAATGTCTACATTTTTATTTTCATGCTATAGCAGTAAATAATAAAATAATTGTGTACTATATGATACACTGAATCTTCAAAGTTATTTTTTACCTTATCTAACGGTGCGTACTTTAAAATATTGACTTTGTATAATACAAATACTATGAATATCCACGACAAGAAATTCATTAAGTTTGACATTAAATAAAAAACGAGCCAAGTGCGACTCGCGCACGAAGTATTTCGTACCAATATCGATAAAAACGCCAAAAATATCGTGTCTGTTGTTCCGATACAACTAATTTTTTTTTATAGCAATTTGTTGTTATAGCAGCAACAGAAATACGTCATCTGTGAAAATTTCAACGGTCTAACTATCACGGTTCATGAGATACAGCCTGGTGACAGACGGACAGACAGACAGCGGAGTCTTAGTAATAGGTTCCCGTTTTATCCTTTGGGTTTGGAACCCTTAAAAGCTTTAGGTGATAGTTATAGGATGGAATAAAAGCATATCACAACACTTATAACTACAAGACGAGAAGTAAACCTATCTTTCATATTAACGTGATGAATCACTTGTATCTTGTATTAACTGATGTTTTTGCTTTCAGTCCCGAGACTATTAAAGCTTCATCGGACGCAGAACCGGTGGGCTAGCCAGAACCCACGGGTTTGGACCCTCCGCTATGGGTAGGGTCGCGCATGTGCTCATGCGTGCGTTTAATTATGGTGTGTCATCTAAGGGCCGTCGAGGTCGCGGTTCGGACCGAGACCCCGACGGCCGTCGACTGTGCATTTAGCTAATCGGTGGCTGGGAGCGGTGAAAACCGCCCCGGAACGCGGGTGTACCTTGTGTACGCGTTGTGTGGGTCTCGCCGTGCTCGGAGGCGAGGGCGAACTGGTGTGATTGTTGTTACACTAACTGTGGGTGTAGTGTTATCCGGCGGGACCCCCGGCGGTGGGTCCATCGTGATGAATCACTGTGGTAGGACCAATGGATTAATAATAAGTATTAAGATTTTACTTACTTTTTATTCTCACTAGCATTATTTCTGCTGCTCATTTTCTAATTAAATTTACAGAGTCCTAAAAAAGCTACATCAGGCGATAAAAAATAAATGTATTATACAATTTTTACTTATGACCTATGTATTGTACCTATTTAACTATTAAAAAAAAGGTAAGGAAACATTGACAACAAATTTTACACCCTTGCCACAGATTTGTAAATAAAATTATTATGACGGTACATAATAAGTATTCGCAAATACGTATTAAATAACAAATATATTAAAATAAACTCCAACTATGCTTAAATATTTATTAAACGAACTTTGGAATTGAGAAGTGATATTAAAAAAATAAACGGCACGTTTTTTTATCGCAATATAATAAATTCAAATCTCGTTAAAATTGGCAAACTGCAAATACAACAACAAAAATACCATTTAAAAATGTAGCGAGTAAAATCGATGCAATTAAAAGCCACTACTCTCGCAATTGCAATTGATTTTTATGGTGGTAGGTTTAAGCCGGATGTCATACTAAAAAAGGGGTTATTCTTTCGTTTAAATCTGTTCGAAGTATAGGCAAGCTTTTACCCTAATGCAGTAATATATGTACTAGTTAATAATTAAAGCGTTTCTTCTTCTTATTTGTCGTTAACCACTATGAGGATCGTGACCATACATGATTTGTCTCCATTTCCTACTGTCCTGCACCTGTTAAATAGATCTTTGTAGAGTTTCTTCTCAATCAATAACAATTAAATCGAACTATCGATTTAATTATAATTTCTTAAACGAGATATAACCACGTTCACTGTTAAAAAAATTCTGGTGCAGAAGGTGCCAGAAGAAACTAATATATTTTCAAGTTTCTTATTAACGGGGTACAGTGATATTGCGTATGTTAAGATCTAGGCAAGTACTTAAGTTTCAACGTCATAATCTCATACAGCGGTGCTCTTTCCGTAAATTAGGGCCGTAAACAAAACCTAGTGCTCAGCGCGCACGACAGATGAAGACATTGGGGCCGTCGCGAACACGCAGACACGGGAACGGTTATCGGGTGGACAATCGGTGTTTCCCCGACGCGGCGGGCCTGAGTCACCGGCGGCGGGCGGTTCTCGGAACCCGCAACCCTCTGGCGGGGGCGCTCGCTAATGACCGGCCGAAATGCAGCCGAAGCCGCGCGCGAAACTGCACCCTCGAATGCGCGACATAGACCACCAAATCGGTGGCCACCTGCGCCGTTTCGCAATCCCGTGCGTGTTTATAATATGCAGCCTTTCAATCGGCAATGTTATTTTGATAAATATGCATGGAGCGGCGAAACCAGCGCGAGCGCCGTGGGTAACGTAAAACGCTATCGTGAAAATTTAATGTCATTTCCTGGCGGTCGCGTAATGACTCACATCCGTGGAGGGTTAATTTTTTTTGCGATATCGCTAGATCTTTAGTTTCCTATCACTGCAATGTGCTTTGGCAATGCGACAATTTTTTAAATTATAATAACATTATTATTTAAATGTATGTATGTTTGTACATTGTATGTTCTATACATATCCGAGTATAGTGACAAAGTCTTTATTTATATAGGTACATATTACCCTTGGTAAAATTAAATGGCGTTACAATACCGTATTGTACCACTGTGAAAAATCTTGGTGTCCAATTTGATAACTCTTTCTCGTGGTCTGATCAACTGAATCAAGTGAGCAGAAAGTCATTTGCTGCGATGGGTTCTCTCCGTCGTTTGCGTTCTTTTCTTCCCATTCCAACTAAAATTATTTTAGCACAATCCTTACTCCTCTCCATTCTCGATTATGCGGATGCAAGCTATCTTGATTTAACCGAAGAACAACTAAATAAAGTTGAGCGTATTCAAAATTTAGCAATTAGGTTCATATTTGGATTACGCAAACATGACCATGTCTCCGAATTTCGTCGTTCAAAGCTCAAGTGGTTTCCCATTCGATTTCGCCGGAATCTGCACACTGTCTCTTTTCTGTACTGTGTAATATTTAACCCTAGGACTCCAAGTTATTTAAAGGAGCACTTCAAGTTTCTCGGCCATAACCGGCCAGAAAGAGTTCTGCGATCCACTGGAGAACTAATTTTAGAACCACACGTGTATAAAGCCAAATATTACAAAAACTCCTTTACAGTCAAGGCCATCTGTTTGTGGAATGAACTTCCTCAGCAAATTCGTGGTGCAAAGACGCTAGACAAATTTAAAAATGACGTAAAGAATCACTATCTTTCCCTCTGTAATATTTATTTATTTTTATGTATGTTTATTATAGTTTAATTTGTTATTATTAAGTAAGTTTATTAAGCACACCACCTCTCACTGTTCATAAGTTTATTTTCCTTGTCCTAAGGTTGTCTGGAAGAGATCGCTCTTTAGCGATAAGAACGCCTCATTGTACCTAGCTTTTAAGATTTATTTTATATCAACTGTATAAAACTTTTGTGGTGTACGATAAAGTATATATAATATTATAATAATAATAATAATTTTTTGTTTTAAATTCGAGATATTAGTCATCACAATAAATAAACAACTATCGCATTAAGATTTTTATTATTTTTGGTTTCAAATTAACACTGCGTGAAGAAACTAATGCGAGCTTAAACCCGAGGAGGGTAATGTAGTACAGAGAGCAATGTCAATCAGTAGACATAAAATTGTAGCACTTTTTAGCGAAGTCGACCCTCCTTAAAATTTTAAACGCCCGATAACTAACACAGATTTAAACAAATATTTGATTCACTATTATTATTTTTGCACTATTGGACCCTTGAAATCGATAGCCCTGCAGCAACCGTTAATACATAAGCTCTATTATTCCAGACAAGTGGAAGCTACTTCAACTCGGTAGCCAGGGAAACGTTATAAAGCCAAATTCAGTTACAACAAAATTAAGAGTGGCTAAATACCCCCCTCCGCGCGGCCGTCTGTATCACGGGCATTTGTTAAAAGGAGTCAACAGTCAGACATTTAGGTAGATACATTCACTAAGCTACCTTGGCCTACGCAAGGCAATTCAGTGATATTATGAACGTTCTATCCGCCAATAACGCCTTCGAAAGTACCTAGGCATTATTCGATCGAATCCGGTTCGAATGTAACCGACAGCCTTGTTTTACTTTTTCGACTTCAGCCCAGCCGAATGTTACGGTGCAACAATGTATGTTCGCTCAATTCAGTATGTTTTTGTTCGCGCACTCTTAAAAAGAAAAGAATATATAAACCTCAATATTTTTGATGACGCGCAAAGTTGTTGCGCGGTGCAAAACAACATGTTATGTCACTGATCCCGCACAAAATGTTATTTGACGTTATGAAAATGCACCCTTACTGCATACGACTTTAAAAACCATTTCGTGCACGGATCGAAAGCATCGTAATATAACAAATAGAGCAATAAGGCGCTTGTGTACCACATCAGAAGTACGGAACCGGTTCTGTTACGAGACAATGCCCGGTGCCTGGCCGATTCGCAGTTTGCGAAACTGGCTATTATAATGAGTACACTCAGTGTACTGGATAATATCCTTTGGAGAGGTTCGTACTTCCCATTATTCCCTTAGTACGAGATATGGAATAAATGACGTCATCGCCAAATCCAATTTTCATGTCTACCTATAGCAATGTACTACGCAATCTTCAGATCAATATCGTGCAATCGGCAAAATTGTTGTTGGTCACGCAGTGTTACGTCACGTTACGTTTAATCTAGAAAGTGCACTCCTGTAACAAAGTTCCTATAAAATACATGTAAATAACATTGAAGCAGTTTATATCTATATATTTTATTAACAGGACGATCAATCGTTTTGAGGATATTTATGACATCATAGGACCATTCCTCATAATGGAAGCAGTTGCTTTTGCAAAACTGTATGTTCCTGAGTGAAAAAGTAGCATCTAACCATCAGTTTTTGATATTCGCTCTCCATGCTAGTTTATACTTACATTATTTTATTTATAAAATGAATAAAACATTTAAAAACTTTCAAATTTTTTATTTCTATGTAGAGTTCATTACGCAAAAATGCATTGTTTATAACAGACATTAATGTTACCTGTTATAAGAGACTATACTAACACAGATCTCTAGCAATCCGGTTTGTACCCGCGTTTAGTCCACATACATTTCTCAGAACTGCATATGCTAACCATTTCAATTATATGTATATGTAAAGTATGAGTCATTAACGCATTATATTTCCAGCACTTCTGTAAGTCAAAGCTTGAAATAGAATCAACTAATTGGGAGGAATATCTTAGCATACTTGTACAGACCACATATAAAATACTTCGGCTTATGCGCAGTCGCCTGTCTTACAAGAGAAAGTGCACCGCCGATGTTCTACTTTTCACTTCAGGCGAATGCTATTCTTTGATATAACAAAACCTTGATTTATAAAGAGTGCTTTGCTTGCTAAATGGGCGCAGTTTATGACACATATATGCCATCGAGACTGTGTCAGCATGTACAAATTCGTAATGCGTTATGATATTCTGAAACAGATTGTTTATGAGACGTTTGCAAATAGTCGCGTAATCTCTACATGCATCCTGTAAAGGCTTTAAAAATATTACACCAGTACATACGTTATACGAAACATAAAGTAAAAGGAACATCACTGTTGGCCTTACAGTACAGATATGAATAGAAGGAAACATTCCAATTTATGTCGTATCACAGCCGTGAAACATGTACGGGGTGCCTGAAGTCTGCGGCGTGGGCGCGATGATAACTAAACCAACTAGTTCTATTACCACCGTGCAGTTCCTTTGTTGGTTAATTCATAAATCCATATGCCGGGCTCAACTACGCTAACTTTCTCGCATTAAAATAAGCGTAGTATGTATTAAGCATTTAAGCAAGTTACATAATGTTAATTAATTTGTTTATTGATGACATTTCGTTCCGATTTACCGAATACCTTGAAACAACAATTACTGTATTTTATCACAATTTCTATTATTAGTACAAAATTGGAAATTTGGTCGTTTCGACTTTAAAAGTTGTCCATTTGCTGTGTGTTGTGTGGAGAATATAAATGCAATATGTACGATTGCAAAACTGATTCGTGTCATAAGTTCTTTTATGATCACCCTATACGAATTTATAAAAATTCCAATGACAAAAAGTTAAGTGTCTCAAATATTCAGAATTGTTCTTTAACAGCGTATCGTTATTACAGCCTGAAAAGAACGGAGAGACTATACTTCGGGTGTTAAAATGGAAATGGGTATCATAATTATCGCGAGGTGTTTCAACTTGAATCTTCACTGGTATATACCAGCCACGCCACTTCGCTCCAATGGAGCCATTTGCATGCGAGTCGTGGGCGGGGTCCGCCTCTACCCACAGTTACACGGATCGTAAATTTTGTCCTTTAACATCGAAGTTTCAAGTGGAAATGTAGCGATTTTTTTCTTAGAACGCATGTATGTCCATTTTAACAGGAGCGCCTAATTCATATTACTTTGAAGTGTATCGGTGAAATCATTTAAAATGTGTAATTAGATTGTCGTATATAATGTGCAAGTGTTATACTTATGCGTTTCTTCTGGTGAGTGAGATGGCCGAGGCCCGCTTTAATATAAGGTGGGAACGCATCTGCACCCCTAAGAGTGTTGCAAATGACCGTTGGTGGCGGTTATCAATTAACACCAGGTGAACCGCCAAATCGCTTGTCATGCGTTGACAGGTTTCTAATAGAATATACTATCACAACAAAAAATATATTTAATTCACCTACTCAGTTATTTGTACAAATACGAACAAGGTCTAATTTTGAACCATGCACACACATAAACGTATTAACAAAAGATAGCGAACAAAGAACCAACATTCGATAAGATCAGAAAGGCTATTTATGGTACCAGACAGAATTACTTTCTAGTCCATTGTTTGCCACTTAATTTACGTAACGCAACAATAAAATGGTGCTTTGATTGTTCCTGTAACTGCCATTCTTCTTGCTAGCGTTTCTTCATCAATGTCACTATTGAGTTTGTTAAATATTTAACATTATGTGATGTAAAAACATTATTTCTGATTGAACTAATCAAAACGAATTATTTAAATGATCTTCAATGCGCGTTGAGAAATTAAGACAAAATCAACACTCATCAATTATAAAGATTCACGTTGCGTGGGAGCTTTTTACTCATAAGCATGTCCAGGTAAAACGTGCAGAGAGGCCAGAAAAAATATCAATTTATAAATATACAGATGACGTCAACATTGACAGTAATGATTGTTCGCCTGAAAAGGCTACAAAACGACTGTAATCAAAGAATGAATACGTTAGATTTTTCTTTAACTTGTATTTTGTCCTATTACGTGCTCAGCGGTGAAATAAAGAGAAAATTTGCATATTTTCGACATAGTAACAAAAAAAAATCGAAGATATATGAAATCCGCCGATCCGCAGTGGGATCGCGTGGTGAACTATGCCCTTATACCTTCTGTACAGGGGAGGCCTTTGCCCAGCAGTGGGAGCATGTTAGCTGTTACTTACCATTTTCTGTATTTTTTCATAATGAGCTTAAATTAAATAACATTTTAAAATTATGGTTATAACAAAGGAAATTAATTTAATTAATTTATACTTGTACCAAATTTTAAGACAAATTCAATGAAGGTAAGAAGATCTGTTTATTACCAAAAAAGTAGGTATTTGTATATAGAACACATACAAGTACATAAGTTAACTAAAACAATTCTAAAAACACTTGCACTCAAATGAAACGTTCAATATGCAAAGTTAATAACAAAGAAATGAAGACGCTCCGTGACTCAGATGCGAAGATGCCAACAAAGCATCGTGGAAACCATCGAGCGCGACGAATAACCGATTCATGTGATTACTCAGTGGGTAATTTTAATCTAGCAAGCAGCAAGGGCCGCAGCAGTTTGTGAAATAAATCTATCAATAAATATTTACAGTAGCATTGTCAGACGACACGGGTCATTGCACACAGTGCGATGTTGAAACGTCGAAGCCGAGATTACTCATAACAATAACGCACAAAAACTTTACGTCTGCTTCTTGTCACTTATTTTAAAGTAACAAACGCAAATGAATTTTAAATTTACAGAAGTTCTTAATTTCCGTTAGCTTAATTATGTGAAAGTGTTGGACTAGCCATATTTTAATCTGTTCATACCGTAAATAGAGCTTTTGTACTAACACAATTGAGTAGAAAACCGTAAAGATAGTTGTACTAACGCAACTGAGATGGATAATTCACAGCTCTAATGCAATTTCTAATAGCCAGTCATTGTCACTGGAATGTCAGGGCAACAAAGACAGCAAGGTCCGACGTCTCCTGCGCCCGAATCGGTAATGTGATGCGTTTCCAAACAGATTACTTGATGTGCAATTAGAGCTTGGAGCTTGCGGCGCACGCTAAGTGCCGCCCCACGGATTACGCCTTCGTGTTTGCTCACCGGCGAAGTGGACGTTCGGTGATCGCCCCACTAATGCGCTTTGTCCGCTTATCGATCACTGAATCATTCAATCAGTTCGGCCACGAAAATGGACTCTATCGAACGCTCACTCAACCGTTGCGTTCATTATATTATGTATTACCATGTTAATTTATTTTACCATGTTTCTATTAGATCGCTTTCTTGTATTTCTGTGCAGGTGGAATTTTGTATTTGAATTTAAACCAACTACCCGATGAGCTAGATACTGGAAATTTGGACCATAGCTCAGAAGTGGATGATATTGCATGAAAATATGAATAAAGAAGAAGTAGAATAATAATAATTAAAAAAAATATTTTTAATGTGCCACGCTTTCATAACAGACTAAATCGTTATTATCATTAAAAAATTATTATTTGAATTGCCTCCGTTCCAGTTTTCGTTGTTCAACCGATATGGTCGGAAGAGGTTCTACTGAGTTTCGTTTAACACCAATGCCCGCATCCCCACTTACCATTACGGCAATCAAGCACAAGAAAATCAAAAAAAATATAACAAGTGCCTTCAATGAAAAGTTGCATCGCGTTAATACCACTCCATTTGTGAAAGAAATCTAACTCCTACAATGCGGAATGTTTCTCATTACGCAACATAACGCTACATAACTGTGTGAATGTGTAATTACTTTTAACTATAAAAGGGCGTCAGGTCAGTTCAAGGAAAAAGTCGGTTAACTTGCAGCAGTTGTAATGGAAGCACGTGGTTCGCTTTCAATGAACTTGTGTTCATCGGTACGATAATTCCGTAATGAACATTGAATTGTTTATTACGGAATTATTTTTAAATTCCGTAGATTTTTGATGTTTAAACATTATTTTTTTTCATTTTAAACGTGTTTCGTCATTATATGGGGCTAATTTCAACAAATGAACACACTAGTATCGCTTTCTATTTATTGGAAATAAATAATTCTGTAAATGTTAAACATGCTTTCGTAACGCATCCGGAGCTGCCAACCGCTTGTCAGAATATCAAATTTTGACGACATTCACGTCAATATGGCTTATCAATAGAACGGTTTCAGAGCGCTGTAAGCGTCCCTTTATTGTATTTAGCCATGTACTAGATGAATAGAAATCTATTACAAAGAGAACATTATTTGGGAGCGTAATTCTCGAAAACGCCGAGCTAACCTGTTAAAATACAAAAATGATGGATACTTAAAATATAGGTGTAGTAACCTAGCAGTAGACTACTTAAAATAATAATACAGATATAATAAAAGCAAAACGTTTATAAATTTCCTCAGAACAGGTAATGTATAAGATGAAAGATCATTTATTATCTTAGCAAACTATTGTTGAAATGTGAAAGAAAATTATAAATGCTATTTGAAGATCGAAATTGGATGTCCCTTTCAGTAGCAGATTAAAAAACCACAGTATTTCTTATGCGGTTTTAAAAAAAAAACATTCATATTAATAATTTTTATGGCTGTCAAATTTCAGTTTGGGTTTATATTTGAACGATTACTCGTTTGCATTTAATAAAGCAAATTACTTCAATATTATATAAAACATCACCAGTGTGGGCACTGAAAATTTTTTAAACTGGCCAGTTAGAGACATTGCTAATGAACGCTGTATAAACATTATCGAATTAAAAGTAGTTCCGATTCCGAATGTATTGTGTCCATGATTTCACATTAATAGGGCCCGCCCACGATACGTGGATCATTTCGTAATGGTATGTTAAAAAAATAGCTTATCGAAGTGATCTGCCCATTTCAGTAGTTGGCGCTGTATCCTAACGTAGCTATGAATCATCGTCTCGACAAAATACATAAATGGTATGAAAATGACGCACGAACGATTATATCCACTGCCATACAAAATGTTATCCACATATAGCCATAGTATAACTTAGAGCTCGTCTTTCTGATCGGATGAAGAAATGACGAAAACTTGCATTAAAGCACTTGAATGATTTTTACATAATATGAAATACTATATGGACTGTTTCTATTAAAAATTCTTTTGATAATATGTTATAGAATTTTAATTTTAAATCCCTTTGATGTGGCTGTTATTTTATTTTGGCCACATATCTTGAATAGGAAACATAAATACTAATGACTGTAACGAGGATTCAATACATGGCGGTTTAATTCTAAATTCTTTATGCTCTTGAGGATTTTTAAGAGAGAAGATATTCTTAAAAATGGTGTCGAAATCAGTACTTTTAATAAAGCTAAAGATATATATCATGGCATTCAAAAATCAGTTTGGCAAATAAACAATTCCAATTATTTATTAAAGTCAATTATGTCCTAAAATCGGTAAAACATACAGAACACATCCCCGACATTTTAGACTGTGCTTAATTGTGACTCTGAATTACGTGCAGTAAAATATCAACCATAAGGACTGACAATTATTACTCTGACTGACATAAGGTGTACTTTATTTTGGCACACGTCACTAAATGTTAAACAAACATTGTTTTACATATAACATATATTTAGTTATTCTGTTTATCTTTTACAATATTGAACACCGTACGGTTCAACGCCATTGTAGTCATACAAAAAAAACTTTATTGAAATGCTTAAGCGCCTTCATCAAAGCTTAGGTATCCTGTAATTAACATTTTATAGAGGTTAATTGCGACTGGTAAGCGAATACAGACATTTTTTATCTAGTTTATTATTTCTATGAGAATCCGACGATCTATTAAATTTCACGCCGGAAACCATATTATTTATATTAACCATATATATTATTATTTGTCGCTACTGCATCCTTATTAAATAAAATGTATTGCAGTGATCTAACGACGACATCAATATTGAATTTCACTCCAATATCCGACATTAATTGACATATGATGCGTGTAACACCACGTACCTTCATTGTCTCGAGCTTATGGATGTGCGTTCCAAGTGAATAATTAGGTAATAGACCGTCGGCGTGGGTGGGGTTTATCGATGTCTCGGGCTCCTCGTTCGTTTCGTCTTGTTTATCGATTAGTCAAGATTCCGCACCCGTGGGCTAACTTATGTCATTTGGCCGGGAGTCAAGGACATCGGAGCGGCTCGCCGGTGCCGCGCCGGCCTTATTTAGTGATTGGTGGGCGCCTGTTTTACGGCTTGACCGTTTTTCCTACGCCCTGTTTTCAAGTCGGCCATGGTATAGGTAAAACATTATCGTTCGTCCGCTGTACGCGAGTGGTGTTTGGAATATCCTTATCGGGCCTTAAATTATAAATGGAATTGATGTTCATTACTACTAACTGAAATCCCTAATCTCACTGAATTGAAATTAGAATATAGAGCTTTTCTTGATCGAGTTTCGTTATCAAGTTTTTTACATTATTTTATGAAGTACCCAGTAAACCACAATTTTCTGTATATTTAGGCATTATTGTCATACTTCCAAAATTTTACGTATATTAAGCATCTGATAAACGGTTAAGCATTGAATAAGTTAAACAAGATATTATTAAACAAAAATAACATCGCGGCCTTAACAAGACGTGGAGATACAATGGACGAGCACCGTCGCGAGCCCTGCCGCGCCGGCTGGAAAAATGGAACGTGACATTTTAAATGTGGCGCAAAGCTCGCGACATTAATCTGGCGCGTCGCCGCCTCCGCCCAGGCCGTGCGTGGCCTAATCCGGCCGTTCGCCGAACGATCCCGATACCAGGAAGATGGGGAAATCTCGGAAGGCCTGCGTCAAATTGCCAGGTTCAGCGTGGCGGCTCTAGGGTGCCCCTGGAAATAGCGTCGTGCCACCTCATTCGGGAAGTTGCGAGGCTCGGGCGCGCGTGCTTTCGTCGTACTTTTCCCGAGTTCTCCTCACGACGTGCCGCGCACTTCTATCGAGTTTTGAAAGCGCACGTTTTCGTAGCCCCCTACTGATTCTTGTTTTACTAGCCTAGGGAATGGAAAAGTTTCGTGTCGTTCATCGGTTCAAATAAAATCAATCTTTATGTTCACTACTGTACAAAGTACAAAGTAAGTATTCTTAAGAATAGACACGAAAATTAAGTTAAATTATTTGTCGGATGACGGAGGCCTTTGTTCAGCAGTGGAATCAAACAGGCTGAAATGATGTTGATGATGATGATTTATCGGATCAGTTGACTTTAATTCGTAGGAGTGGGATTCCTAGAATCTTTTGCCATTCCTAAAATCTCTTGGCCAATATTGTTACAAAAGTAAAGTACTTCTGAAAACAAAAGACGGAAATTCTAACTAAAGCTATCAATCGTAATTTCTCATCGGACTGCAGGGCAGAGCAGAGAGAAACGGCACGAAATTGGGCGAACGACAATTAAACTCAACCACGAGGAGCGTGAGCCTGGGCGAAGGTCACTAATCCCGGCAACGGCCGGAGCGTGTAATGCAAACAGCAGTGTTTACCTGGCCCGCCCTCTGCCACGTCACGTTACAACAACAGCCTTTATTTCCTTAACTAGCTGCGACTCTCTCATTTTGTCGGTTAGCGCGCATTGTGCCGCGGCGCCGCGTAATGGAGTTTTTAAATGCAGCTTTTCCACTTCGCAACGCGAAAGTTGATTATGTAACTAGAATGGAGGAGTGATTGCGATGCAAACACTCCAGGCAGCCTCCTAAAGATTTATTGTTCCTACTTGCGAATTTGCAACATAAATAAGTAAAATGCTGGAGCATCAGCAACTGTACGTGCATATTGTTTGGATAATTAATGACTCCGGCTTCTAGTTTCCCCAAATTTATACGTGTAATAACTTTCATGTGTATAGCGTGATGATATTAATGTCTGCGTGTCTATTAATATACTTAATAGACTTGAATTTTTGTATAGCTAAATGTAACCTTTATATTGTAAAATTTGCAAAATTTTTAGAATATCTAAAATTCTAAAAATTTTAACGTCATCGAACTATTTACAAAAGATGAAGTTAAAATTAGATGTTTGAAATTCAGTAAGGTTTTATGGATTTAAATGCGCTTGGACAATTATCCTTAAGATTAAAAAGTGATTTTTTTAAGCATTGCAGAGACAATTCTTAAAAAATTATGTGCCAAATACCTTGAAAATCAGCACTGAATTGCAACTTTTAATGCTGATTACACTGAATTCTTTAATTCAGTGTACTCCTGCGAGGCTTCACGTTATGTTTCACGCTACCTTTCAAGTTATCCACCATGAGCTTCAAACAAAGTTTAGTAATTATTGTACAAAATAGAAAACAAATAAAAATCATAAACCACAGAACAGCGTTAGCTCCGCTTGGCTCACATATTTTCCAATATTTATTATGAAGACGCAAAAGCCCTCAAATTTTTGTTACACAGTAACTTTCAAGTCGTCCCACTCAGCGTGGAACAAAGTTCAGGGGTTGCCGTACAAAATGAGAAACAAATAAAAAAATGATAAACCACAGGGCAGCGTTAGCTCACAATTACTAAAAGTATAAAGGCAATCGCGGCGTTAGAAATTACGAAAACTTCGTAATTTATGCGAAGTATTCCGGTGAAAAATGGCCGCCCCCGCCGTACGCGGGTTCGCGGTGTGCGTGCATGCGTGTGCGAGTGTAAATCAGCCCCGAAACTTGAGCCGAACGAAATCGAGCCCGTCGAGGAGCCGCTCTGTGGGCCATTGCGAGTTTAGCATCGCTATAATTTGCCGGGCATATTGGAAAACTTGTAATTGGTTTAGTTTTATATTCGCGCGGCGATGTGTGTCGCGGAAACTCGAATTATGTCACACACAAATTATACTATCTCTTATATTGTACGAGGTGTTTAGCTTACCCGTGCTCGGACCGCCAGTCACCAAAGAAATGTATTAATTTTATTTTATCTTCATTGTTTCAGATATTGGCTCGGAGTCCTAGTATTTCCCAAGAGTTGCTGCAAAAGTAAGTAAAGAAATATTAAAATAATTCTCAATGTAGTTTATAAATTGATTCTGTTACCTGTACAGACCTCGTTATAATTTCAATCTGGCTTAGGGAGCGAATAGTCTTTTTAGACATATGTTTTATAGAAAATTATTATTGAAATACCTCTGTAATTATAATATTGAAGCTACAACATATGTATGTATAATACTTGCACACGTCATATCATAACGTTTGTAAGATATCACATACAATTGTAATAGCAAATATTTTCAGAAAGAAAAAAGAATCCATATAATGTTAAAGAGTACACAACAAGTGCAGCTTTATTGTATGTAAATACAAAACATGTTATAAAAATAACTGCCAATATACACATATAATGCTCGAAACGCTATGAGCATTTGAATTGCATAAACGTAGAAGAATACTTGCCTAACGGGCTTGCATAACTCCGTTTCGACGGCATTACATTTATTTCTTCTTTTGTTGTTGCATTACGTTACATTCAGCTATCGAACTAAGTTCTCAACGCAATGGGACCTATTTTCAACTGACATTGTTCTTGCTCAGACATGAAAACGAAAGTAGATGTTTTGTTTGTCTGTACAGTCTGAATTGCTAATGCAGCCCGTCATTTACCTAAGGTCTGTGGCGCAGCGCGGTCCATAGACTACGGCCCGAAGAAACATGAGCCATTGTCCCGGACTACCCGACCAATCCGCATTAATAAATGCCAGATTGCTTCCACCTGAAAGCTACACTTACCTGTGCTACTATTGTTTTGCAGCTCTATTTAACTACTGTTCACTAGCGGCATGGAGAGCCTACTTTGGATTGTGGATTGCGATTGTTTCTTTACGAATTTTTCCAATGAGATGCATCGTGAAAATATACGATACACTCTCTTATATCACTGTTAGTTTTCAATCTCTTCGTTTTCAAAATTCATAAAGTATACAATGATAGAATATGATTTAAGTGACGATAAACTTATCGTCATAAAAATAATCACGTCAGATTAAGGGGCACGTCGTGCTTGGTGCCCGTCAAACAGGTGGTCAAACAGGCAGACAAAATTGGACAAACATCATTTTTGACATCCTATGTCCGTTTTAATACCTCTAAAAAAATGTGTACAAAGTTTCATGATATAGTATAATTGGTTGAGTAATTTTGGCGTGAAAGCGTTACAAACAAATGTACATTCACATTTATAATGTAAATAAGTAGGGATACATAGAATCAAAAAGTCAGCGTCGATTAGAACTTCTTAACAATCAATGCATACAATAGGGAAAATAAGTGATATATATCTGAATGCTTTTCCCTAAAATTCTTTCACAAACTTCTCAGTATACGACACAACAGTGTCTTTGTAAAGTGCTAAAGGAGTTTCCAGTTTCCACTCTATTTTTACCAAACATCTTTATGTTCTTTGAATAAGAAAATCGGTTTAAGGGAGATTCAATTTGTTTACGTACAGTTTTCTTTATCCATTTAGTTATATCTTAGTGATGTTTTCTTAAATAGCATAAAATATTGGTTTAGGCTCCGTCTCTGCTTTTTCGTTTGGGATGAATTGTTTCGATCTCGCTGCGAACAATAAACACCAAACTTAAGTCATATTTTATCAATGTTGGTAAATTTCAATATTGTTTGTTAATTTTCGGTTCGTTAACATTAATAAATCTTTTCTTATAAATACAACAACCCTTTAATCATTATAGATAATTATTTTTTAAGTATAACCGTAAATTGCCTGTCCAGTTCATGAAATTTGACCGCAGTTCCACTAGCACAGCTAATATTATCTTTATATGTAATCATAGAGCTTTATTATAGTCGAAGTTTATTGAATTTCATTAAATTAAGAGCGTTCAAAAATAATAGATTTTGGTTCTAAAAGGCATCTCATCGAGTATCTGCACTTCACATACAAAATCTCCGTGGTTGAAACCAAATCTAAGTCATTCCATTGTTACTGTTCGTTTCTCTCGTCATAATTAGGTTTCATTAAACACGTGAAACGAGAAACATCAATTTAAAAACGGAATCTTGGAAGCTATTATAAACTTAACCATGTCTGCCAATCTAGTTTTGTTGCACCATTTCTGTCCCAGCTCTCCATTTTAATATCCGAATGCGCTGTATCTAAATTAAAATTGCGGCTATCGCTTGATTAAAATGTGTTTATTTTCATTTCCACTTTTGCAATGTATGAAATGTTCTATTTCAGCTACGGAATTATTGAACACGTTTTTGCCTCTAGTACATGGCATGGGTATCATCATTGTAAAATCAAAACAGTTAGTATTTCGTATTAGAATAAACGCTTAATGTCATATTAAGCGTTTTATAGCAAATCAAAAAATGTAAGAAAATTTATGTATTTTTCCAACTTTACCAGTAATATAACTTGATTTTTAAGATAACGAATAAAATCAAATAAGTTTACACAAATTGCTATAGTATAAAGCAATAAACTAATACAACAATATCCATAGATCCAAATGTAGTTCATCATTCAAAGCTTGGGCATAATTTTAGTTCAAGTTCCACAAACTTCGTATTATTCGCGAAGTTTCTGAAACGATTAGCCATAAATAATTGAACGCATTCGATATTCCGCCGTGAGAAGACAAAAGGATTACTTCGCGGAAACTTCGTCGATTTAGTTAAAAACCGTAAAGCGCCTTGCTGGTTCGCGTCCGCACTTGTTACAAAAGTGGAGTGAAGGTAACATCAAGAGAACTTTCCAGTCGTACTTACCTTGTCTAGAAAGGGATCAAACTGCGGTGCACTCGCTGCAATGTATTATGCAGTACCGGAGCGGGCGGCCGTGCAAGCCGCGGAATCGCTCCCCCTGCACTAAAGAACACGGCCGTCTCTCGAACACAATCTGCTCTGAAACTTTAAGAAGACTGTATTCTATTGCTCGCAGTAAATAGCTCACGATGGATCATTTTGTAGTAGATGTTTTCCAAAAACTTAATGGAAAAACAATGTATATTTAACTGATCAGTTTTGCCGTTATGTCTTTGTCACATTTGATTAGAGACACGTGATGCGTGAACTGTATACCAGATTACATGAATAACTGGAATTGCTTCTTGGTATCTCTCAAAATAAATAAAAATGATTTTAAACTTCATATCCTATCGAGTGTGACTTAAGATCGGTGGACAATGGATTCATTTTGACACGAATAATTTAATCAATTATGTTTATTTTTTATTTACTTTGTTGGACGCAACTTAGCGACTAGTGACACAAATTTTCACCTGCCCGGAAAAGACTCTCTAAAGAGATTAAGTCCGAAAGAGTCAACCTATCACAATCTCAAAAAGCCTTTACAAGTAAGTCAATAGAATAATACATTAAAAGAGTTTTGATTTATCCTTTGCGCTATATTATTGTATTAACTCATTGAGGACATGAAACACCGTAAAGTATTTAATCGTAAATTACAAAGTCACTCAATACTATCTTCATTTCATCATTTATATTAGATCCAGCAGAAGGGCATTAATATAATTGAAACCTGATTTTATAATATTAAAAACTGTCGAAACCCAAACTTTTTGACAAATGGATAGAAAAAAGTGAAGTTTATTGCTTATTGATTGCACCTTGTGACTTGGCCGACTGTAAGTCATTTTGACAGGCGTCGTGGGTATGAAATCTATGAGGGACCAAAATGTTATAACGATCCAAGCCGCTCTGTACTATGTGTCCATGATTTAGTTAACCCGTGATCCAGATTTGAAAGTACTGAAGGAGTCGTTTTAAAAAACCTTGCGCCCAAAACCAGAATAAAAAAATGTGCAACCGCAGACTTGGAGTAGATTTCTTAAAAAATGTTTTTAAGATACATACTTAAATTACATCGCATAGTAGATTTTTGTAAGTTAGAGTAAAGCAAAACTCTAGTGCAACTAGTTAGTGAACAGGTCCTTAAAATTCTTAAATGCCTACGTAACATGTTCAACTATCGGTTAGGTAGTTACTAACAAGTTGCAAATTGCTCTAACCCTACGTGCATTATGCAAATGTTAGTATTAGTCCTTTGGTACTAATTTAGTTTGGCAAATAGTTATTCCCCGTAAAAGTTTTCCCTAAAGTGTACAAAATTTCAGAATTCAACGTGATATTTAAATGAATATGTGTTCGTTTATGTGTGTATTTATTTATTTATTTCGCAATATTTGTTAAATAAATACACACTTTAAAGGACAATTATTCGAGTATTCAATTAAGTCGATAACTTCAGGATTAAAGAGATTTATATACCTTATTTAGCGAATATGCTGCAATCGTTGATAATAAATTTATTTTCTATCGATATTTGTGTTCACACACAATAATCCCGTCGACGCACTGACGCGTATTCCAATGCCGCCCATATTTACATTACGAGCACTCTTAACGGTGCAATTCTTTAATTCATAACTTGGCGAAGATGTTTCGGGTTTTCGTGCCAAAAACATAGAACGCGATATCCTATTGTCGCGTTGCTTGTGCGTATTTAGTTATTTTCCAGGATTAATAGCGAAAATTTGGCACGGATAATGTTTCACTGCTTCAAACATGAATCCAAAGTGAAATGTACAAAAATACCGTTTCAAATAAACACTGAATTTTGCCTAATTATTTAACTATATTATAAAGTGTGAAGTATGTCCGATAAAAATTATGTTCAAAAGGACCATACAACATTGGATTATCTCAGTGAACGTCAGTCATAGCACTGTTTTTTATGTGCAATGGTGGCAAGCTAGATGGCGATTCACCTGATTTGAAGTGATAACCACCCCATATTGGCATTTACAACACTCGTAGGGATGCAGATTCATTGCCACCTTTTAACAAATTGGGCCCCGGCTATCTCACTCACCCGACGAAACGAGGAACTATAACACTGACAACCACTTCACGCCAGTCTTCTATATATACTGCTACATTCTATATAATAACGGCCACATTTGCCGGCGACGATTACGATAACAGATACGTTTAGCGAATTAAGGTAAGTTAAATTTAGAGAATATTTTGAAAATACTTGTGCAATATTGAAATGATCAGGTGTATATCATGTAACCGTTTACCCTTTATAGCATATTTAAAACCTTTATAAGCAAGTCAGTCATTTTTTATAACATTCATGTAAACATAAATTAGAAAATTTTTGTAGACAAATGAATAAAAACTTACCGCGCTGCTGGATTCGAACTAGAGCAGAAATCACAAGTTCAAATCCCCCAGCGCCGAAAGTTTTTGTTCATTTGTCTACAAAAAGTTACAATTTAAAGTTTCAACTTGAATGCAGAGACTAACACTAAAAATAAAAAATAATTTTAAAAATAGATTAAATATCTTAGAATTGTAAAGACAGAATAAATGACACAATTACTTCTCTGAGTAGATCCAAAAGACACGCCTTGCCGGAAAGGAAACTACCGTCGCTTAATTCAGCTAGGCGTTCTGTGTAATAAACAAGTTCGGCCCCAACTTTACCTTAGAAAAGCCGATCTTGTTAAATCACAATGAGCGGTCCTTTGAACCAATAGAGGTCTTTTATCGCGTTTCACGCAAGTTTACTCCGTCGGCTCTCTACTTACACGATTAATTTGAGTCGATAAATCCGCATAAAAAGCGAGGCCGAGGCAGCCGACCGCGGCTCAGTGTAAGTATGCCGGGCTCTTTGTTCCCGCTCGCTCTGTGCGAACTCTTGCTTCTCTATATCCTTCTAATCTTTTTATTCCGCAGTTAATTGACCAGTGTGCGGTTATCGTGGGTTACTTTTTGGCGGGATCGATATGAGTTCGGCAGTGTACGTAGTGCCGGGCACGGTCTGGCGGCGGCCCACGTCACTAGACGACGAGACAGACAGGCAGCGCGCACGGCGCCTGCTAGCCCATTAGACGTCTGCCCGATGTGGAACGCTCGATAAACTTGTAAAAACGCCTTCTACCCATTTAATTTTATACCCTCGCTTAAGCGTTGCTATGGCAGATTTCTTCCTTCTTTTTATAGGCCCGTCATTAACTGTATCGTTTATGATTTTATGCTTTCCACCGAAAGAAGTTTGCAATGTTAGCGATTAGCGTTTTCAATGTCGTGAATGTTTTGTTTCAATTTCGGTGCGATAAGATGTTTTGAGATGTTATGTTATCGATATAGTTTCGTATCTATTGTACGTTTATAAATGCCGCTTTACCAACGCGCCGATAGGTATGACATAAAACGTGCATAAATACGTATGAGGAGAGTATTTGTGCATTGACTTTAAAAACATACGTCCCCTTCGATCGGGCGAAGTGATACTGATACAAACATATTTATGACTTTAAGTGATAAAAATTTATGTTGCGGTAAGAGTTTTATGTCGATCGTGAAACGTTGTCTTTTTATTTTATCGTGTAATGTAAAACGTGTGTAAATCGGTATTGGTCTCCTTAATATTGTGGAACTTCCATAAAATTTCGACAATTACAATTAAAACGGTACGCTAACGTGGCCCTGTCGAAAGAAAGTCGAACGGCGAATTTATCGACGCGTACGCCGATTAAATTGAACTAAGATCTCAATTAAAGTTTGCCGAGTCGACTTCAAAAATACTCCGCCGGTCGTCGGGGGCACGTACGTGAACTTTTGCAAGGCGAATTCGCTTATGTAATTCGTTGGAGATATTCGAGTTTTCCCTTCGGCGAGACGTTATCGCGGGCGCCCTCTCAACGCCGGCGCGGGAGGGCGTGGGCGGGCCGTTCCCCGCGGGGACTTAATTTGTTGCTCTCTTGGCGCCTAGCATCTCACTTTCAAACGGCGTAACGCGACCTCACCGCATCCCCTACCCCGACGTGCACACTTCGTGTTCGCTTTCATCGCGCGAAGGAATAACGCCTCGCTACAGTCGAACCGTTCGTTGACCGTATTTCACTCGTCTCCGACGTACCGGAATTGGAATGGCCTCGACGCTCGACGCTCTCATTGTGCGCCGCGGAGGATTAGATTAACATCAAATTATAGATATGCGTAGCTGATGTGCCGGATAGGTATGAGACGTGTTGTTTGAAAAAATTATTTGTTTTTATCCACCAAAATCCCATTAGCGTATACATGTCCTGATACTCATAAGAGCTTATCATGTATAACTCATTCGTTAGAATTATTAAACTGAACAATTTTCAAAGAGCGCTAATTTTATCTTTTTTACGTAATACATAATTTTAACGCGTTTCTTAATTGATATATTGCACACTTTCTAATGTGTTATATTACAATAAATTTTTATTAAACTAGTAAACTAACAATCCATTAAGCATACGGAAATATATCTCTTGAACGCGAGCACATTTATCTTAGTTTTACCAACTCAAAGTAATATGTAAGATTCTCCATAGCATCATGAGTCATGGGCCCAATTAATGTAGTTCAGAGAGCGCGACGGTCGCATAACTCGTAACACGCCCGGTCGAAGTGCGCCGTCTACTGAACTCTAACGATAATGACGCCGGCCGCGACGGGGCCCATCGCCGGCCTAACCCAATACCTCCCACGGGAACTCCTAAAAGCCACTTTGAACGGAGCTAACTCCCGCATTTGGCAGTCGCGCAAAACCTCGCGGCTTCTGCGGCGCATAAACAACTTGCACACGTGCACGCCCGACCGCGCATCGATTGATGTCACTTAAAATGCACAGTCCACGGCCGCGGCGCCGATCGCTTCCCGCCAAATTTTCCGCTGCGGCCGCTTGGCAACCGCACACGGCGCGCCTCATTATCGCACCGCACGCAGACAGGCTGCAAATCGTTTAGCTACGCATAACTCCGTATTAATTTTATGCAAACTGCCGGGCAATCGTTCCCCGCTTTATATTTCAAACTCGGCGCCGCGCCGCCCCGCGCTGTGACGCGGTCGTTGCGAGCGCGATCAGCCGCTGAAAGCTTTTTGAAAGCTCGCAGCGACGCGCAATGAAAAGTTCACGCGATGATTTCAAGGGGCGCTATTACGTACCGCCAACTGAAATGACACTTGTGTGATTTTTTGATTTCACCCGCGCCGATTTCCAGCTGTTGAAAGTCGTATTAAAACTAAATTAATACGCAACGAGCTCGAGTGGGAACGTCTCATGTGAACGTGATGCAGTTTAATATAATGCGATAAATCTGCAGCTCGATATGGCCGTCTATCGTATTCGTGACAAATGGTGGAATAATGCGCCCTCTGCCGTGCCCCACCCCTAATGTCTTCTTAATGCTGCATGGAGTTGAAACATTAGGAATTCACGTTTCGCGTTGTCCTTTGCGCGCCATGTCGCACTTCCTATCTGACATTTGGCGACTTGGCCTCGCCTAATAAAGTCCGTTAGAGCCGGCGAGCAGCTTTAACAAGTTATTATCGCGCTGAGCGGCGTACGCTGCGTTTCGTAGTGATAGTTCAGGAACGTTTTACATCACCGAGTTTGTTAAGCATGAAAGGCTTCATTTGAACCTGGGATTTTTTAAATCGTTTTGCCGCAGCCGGCTCGCCGTGCACTTCTTTTGTTCCGCGAACGTGATCTGGTCGAGATGAAGCCCTCGACGTTATTCCCCCCCCCCCCCCCTATCCCCTCCCATTCGCTCCAATCTAGTTTGTTTCAGCTCGTCACACGGATGCTGCCTTGGGTATTAGCATAGTTGAAACGATTTGTAGTACGGAAACTGAAAAATGCCGCATTTGTTTCCGAGACACAAGTTGTTAGCGCATTATATCCTCGCCCCATCCGCTCCGCCGTCATATATCACGATTTCGACAACGATTTTCAGTCAAATAACATGAAAACCTTTATAATTTTAATAAGCACAAGGAATGAATGATGATGAGTCGACATTCTGAAAATTTGACAATTGCCATGCAACCAATATATATGTTATTTATTTCTTTATTTCGTTTTCAGCTAATCTCTTGTATCGCTTATGTTACTCCATCACCATCACCTTTGCATTCAAACTAACCACAGAACAAAAGAAAATATTTCTCATGTAATTTATTATTTAATTTTAGATGTCGATATCACTTTAAACTATTTTCGATAGAATGTAGACACTATAAGAAAGTACCTTTCTACAATGTTATTTTAATACTATGGTTAATAATTTATCCCAAAATGTGTCGGGTCATGAATGTTATATGAGGCGACATCACAATCACAATCTAAGTCCGGAGAGGGAGTGTTAATTCAAAGGATTAATTTTATAATGTGCGCATGTATTCTGTTGAACCTTTGTTTGAACGACTTATAACAACATGAAACTTTCGGTTTTTAGTCTACTCTAACATTGGCGTCTGTATCTATCTCCGCCTTCATCGAAATGCATAGAAATCTTTTTGAGCCTAGAATTGTTTTTCAGCTCGAATTCAAGTTGCCCGTGTTGCTATAAATTATTTAATGCTGTAAAAAGAACTTTAAAACCATTCTCTGTCCACATTTCTTTTGAATAATATTACAAAAAATTTTAAGTCTTTTCGAATATTTAAACATCTAATTTCACAGGTAATCTTCAATTAGTATGAGAGTATAAAAATGTAGGGTACTCTCATACTAATGAGAGTATGTCTTAGTATGAGAGTACCCTACGTTTAGTAAGGTACTCTGATACTTTAATTACAATACGCTTTTAAAAACCACCGTCCTCCACCTTTAGCTAATCAGATTTTACCTTAACCGAGAGGTCGCGCATAGCGCGCTGACAAATAATCGGCCCTAATAACGAAACAATCCTCGCGAGTCACTCGAAATTAGCCCGTCTGATTAATGCGATCGTCGTCCGCTGTCGGGCGCCGACGCATGTTTAGCTAGTGACGGCGTCGGGTGGCGCCGGATTTTTTGCGGCTCTGCGCGAGATATCCGAGTACCGCAGTATGCCGGCCGCGGTTGGCCCGTTTATATTTAGACTCGCATGTACATTCGCTGCTGCTAGCATAGACCACCGCGCCGGACCCCGACACCGACTCGCGTTATCTCGCAATTTCTGGCCACCCTACGCCGGGAATTCCCACACGGTGCTAACGCAATAGCTCCCGACTTAAAGCGGGCACAGTATTAATTTTATTGGATCTCCCCCAAGGACGAATTCCCCACATTCTTATTCGTTCCAACTTTCCAATTTCAAATTGAATTTGCATTCGTTTCTAGCGTTGCGTATTCTATTGTAGCGTTATTTCTCGTCTTTAGTCTTTATTAAAGCGTTGCTGCGACGTCTGTTATTGTACTGACTAACTGTGTATATGTAGACAGCTAAATAAGCTGCGTTTGTGTAACCTTCTACATCCGAACTGTGTATTTACTTGTTCGCGAGTGCCCCTGTCAGACGGAGATTCGGCGTAACTTAGTGACTGATTAGCAATTGCAGCGGGCTGGCGGGCGCGACAGGTGGTTTGTAGGGGGAGGGTTAGAGGTCCTGACCCACAACCTCTCGGCTGATTAATGGCCCTACATTGTGCTTACCCTACCTTCAACTCTACCGTGTACAATTCCATTTTCACATGCTCCGTCTCATTCCTACATTACCTTTGTTAGCACATTAGTTAATTTAATTCGTTATTACCGAATTGTTGCGAACTAAACGCTCGGGCGAACGTAGCGGAACCGAGCGTCACACTAATGTCAAATGTCAATATTTGCGATGCGGGTCGCACGCTCCGCGCCCGAAGTCTATTAATGCGAGGTCAAGTCGAGAGCTCATGCATATTCACAGTCCGACCGGCGGCGGTTCATCTGTAACGGTCTCGCGACCGGTTCGGGCTCATTGTTGCATGTATCCGTCCATATGGTTCGCGGGTCGCCCTCCGCCCGTGCCTGCGCCGTGCCGTGAGCTCATTTCTCAAAAAATACACAGTTCGATAATCGAACCCGCCACGACCGCTTTCCCCGCTCAAGTTTTACGCAATCTCACGGAAACGTATCTGAATATTGAAACGTCACCTGTCAATGCCGATCGTGGACGGACAGATTCAAACACGGGAAGCTTTTAGGACTGCCGTAATTAATCGCTACGCGTGTTTTTTAAGCGAGCTTACGGGCGAATTCGCATCTCATCTTTTATTGCGGGCCGGCGGGTTATTAAGATTACAAAGGCCGGGTCAGTTGTTAAACGTCGCCGGTAGATGTTTATATTCTAATTAGGTGCCAGCGACAGCGACCCGTGGGGTGCATGCGTGATTCGAAAGTGTGTTTCTTTACACGGCGTATTATGCCATTTTCTTTAGTGAAGACGGACTGTGAGCGCGTGGGCGAGGAACGGCTTTTTAATTTTTTATACAAGAAACTCTGTCACGCGTTTGATCCGGATCGGGAAAACTTGTTATAATGCTTGAAGAAACGTCGCACAAATAACAATTTCGAAAAGGAAAGTGAGTTAATTCCATATGATAATGTTACAATTTATTGGGTCCCGATAGTGATATAACAGTGGATTTTCCGATTTCTTAATAATCCGTGCTAAGCGAAACTTTTTATTTATTAGCTAATTTCATGAGATCTTAGAAATTAAATATTTCACTTTTGGATGTGACGACGTGAATGTAATGTCGTGTAAGACACGCTACCTAGTTTTAAAAGTTGACACGATTTCATTATAGCCGAGCATTAAAATAAAGATGGTGCAATAATGCATTTTACATTTTGAAGGATCATTAAATTTCGAATTAAACGGCCCGGGACCCGTCGAGAGGCAATTAAAACAGAACTGTTAAGACGTAAAAGTCGTAAAGTGAAGTCGTGTTCTCGACTGATTAAAAATTGCTCCAATCTCTGCCAAGTTTTCTTTTTTAATCAAATCACTTACGAGTTCTTTCCACTAAAGTTCTGGTAGTAAATAATTAACATTTCTGTTGGTTCGGCTTTTGTTCTTGAGCATCGTGTTTCTAATTAATGCTTGTCGGATTGGAGTGTATCAAATTGACTCATCTCAATAAATTTTGTAAGTATTATATACTAGCTGCTGCCCGCGACTACATCTGCGTAGTCTGAAGGCGAACATTCAGGCAAAAAGACAGGTATACATAAAATATGTATATAAATTATAGCCTATGTGTTATTTTGATGTATAAGCTATATTATTGTAAAGTTTCTTAGAATCCATTCAGTAATATTTGCGTGAAAGAGTAACAAACATTCATCCATACATACAAACAAACTTTCGCGTTTATAATATTAGTAAGGACTTATAGCGTTTAAAACTCCCAAAAAAATGACTTCTATACAAATGTTTGGTGGATGTGGATTATTCGTCCTCGTCATTGGTAATTAGTGAGAACATGGTGATTTTGAACATAGCCCCGAGAATATTTGACTCGGGTTACGGCGTCAAGATCTATCAATTAACGCATAAACTCCATCAGCTTTCAGGTAAATGTCAATTAATAACAATTTGAGGAACACCTATTTAACTTGGAAGATATAAAATATTAAAGGCGCCGCTTGATATCTTTAGCTGTCTGCCCAACCAAATTTTTATGAAAAATATTAATACAAAATGGATTTTTTTTAATTTCAAAATTGATCTATAATATTTTCCTTCCATAAGATCAAGTTTGCACATCACATGTTAAAACAGTGACACATATTTTCTAAGATAATAAACTGGTTAAAGCCAATTCTCTCAAGGCCGGCAAGGCATTTTTCAACTCTCTAGTATTGCTTATATGGTTCATGCCTATACGGTGCGGGCGGACTGCTTCAGTCAGCCCGCTTGATCACTTTCCTATTTTTCCGTAAATTTTTACAATTTTTATACGGCAGAGTAATAGTTTTGAAGTACAATATTGTGGGATTTAAACGTAGGCTAAATAATTGCGGCAAGTTGATGGACGCAGGTAGCTCAGGATCGTGTCTCGTGGCCCTCTGTGGGGTTGCCTATATCCAGCAGTAGTCTAGATCAGGTTGAAATGATGTTAATGATGATGATCAGGCGTACAAAAACACAGATACTCACAAAAACATGTTTTATTTTCACTAAATTTTCCTTATTGATATAACATATGACGCATCGTAATCCAACTGAATCATCCCAATGCATACCGAGGAAACGCAGACTCATTTATTTGCACGTAGTGAGCACTCACCCGCCGTCATCCAAATAGCTCGCACGTAATGCTAGCGCGAAGGCAATAGTGGTAATTGAATAACAAGCCGTAAACTCGTTCCGGCATAAATGGAATTCAATATTTGCACTGGACATCCAATTACGTCCGCGCGGTATCATAGGACTAGCTGCGTTTAGGGCGCGGATGGTGCGATGAGGCGGTCCCGCGCTCCACTCGCCATTGTTATGGCTCATACGCCGAAATTAGTCGCAACTTCGGCACCGGAATGACGCAACGTTCAGAGAATCTCGCCGCGGTCGATTCCCGAGAGAACTTTGTGCGCTAACACATCTAATACAAGAGACAAATCTGTGCTTTTTCCTTAATTCGTTCGTGATGTATGCTCTCAACACGATAACGGTGCGCGGATACGTCTGCTTTGGCGTAGGTTCAATAATGTATATAGAAAAATCAACAACGGTTAAACTATATTGTTAAGTTGTCCGATCTATTGTATTCCTATGCATTGAACGATTAAAATTCATGAAAATCTATATGAAACAACTCAAATGTTTAAAATTGACATCGTCAGTAAATACGAACAATGAACGAGCATGCGAGAATTATTCCAACGTATTTTTTTTATATTGATAAAAATTTTATTCGTAGTGAAAATTTCAAATGGAGTTGATAAGTTATATAATTAAGATAAATAAGAGAAATACTGGTATGTTTCAATTATTCCCTTGCCATTAAATATTATTTACTTTAAATTTGAACTAAATAACACGAATGATGTTATTGAAGCAGTATAGTTAATATCAGGTTGTTAATTATTAAAGTAACATCAATTATAATTTCAATGTAACTGGAATAGTACAAAATTATTTTTTTTAAAACATTGCTCTTACTTTAGGATAACATTATCGTGTGTTGTAAGGACTTTTGAAAAACGTAAATTTCACGCGGACAGACACCCAGATACAAAACAACTATCTGTGGGTCACACAAATAGTTGTCCCGTATGGGAATCGAAACGCCGCCGAAGACAATAGCTTTGCAACTGCGCCATCGAGTCATCAATTATATTTAAGACTTCTTATCATATAGAAGTTACTCGCCTTGCTCGTTTAGAAAATTCCTGTAGACGTAGATCACGAGATTAATCCGTTTTAACATCACGACGTATCAACAATTTAATATTTGACTGTGAATAGAGATTCATTTCCGTGGTGGAAAGTCATCGTCTTTAAGTTCTTTTTTTATTTGGAAAGCTGGTAAACTAGCAGGCGGTTAATCTGGTGTTAAGTGGTACTCATTTATGGTTGTTTTTCTCATTTACCAAGTTTAAAAGAATTGGACTCAAGTTACCACACTTACCAGACGAAACGCAAAAGTATTTCACTTTTGTGCGGCAGTGGCACTTACCCGGAGGATCCACATGCTGATGCGTGGCCATACACAGAATATAAAACAGTTCCAAAATATATACAAATATTATACAACATGTTAAACCCCGTAAATATCAGATGATTTTTTGGAATTAGACTCGAAATTCAGTTTTTTTATACGTAAAAAATTGTCAAGCGCGCAGACCGTTCATCTAATGTTGTGAGTGGAGCCACCGTATCGCACACACCTGAGGGCTTGTAGATGCGTTAGCAACATTTAGCGAAACGGAGACGTATAATATTTTCATCTCACGCTGGTCTTTTTTGAGGTACCACGGCCCTCTAGGAACATCCCTCGTAGGAACTTACCTATTCTCGTAGGAACTTAACTATGGACGCGACTAATACGGAGGGGCACACTGAAATCATCGGGAATAAGAAAAATCACTTGCACGGTATAGCTAAATTATATTTTATTGTTTTTCGAAGTATTCTCCGTTCAACTTAAGGCACTTTTCCATTCGTGCAAACCAATAATTAAAACAGTAATTCCAGTCTGAAATTGGTGTTGACAAAATGGCTGATTTGTACGCCTCCACAGCTGCTTCGGGGTCTTCAAAACGTTGACCGCGTCGGAACTCGGCATACCAGCGGTATATTGTCGTTTGACTCGGTGCTTCGACATCATAAATGGAAACAAGTTCGCTGAGACATTTATCTTGAGATAAGCCGCGACGAAAATTGTGATAAATTATGGCACGGAAATGTTCACGCGTGAGCTCCATTTCTGTCAACGACGTGTCAACTTTAAACGAACATAGTTTTTGTTTTTAATATTTTTAATTGTTTGAGTGTAGTTAAGATTATAAGAGGCCAGTACTCAAATTCTAAAAAAAGGTTTTAATGTAACTCAATCCGAAATATTCTATTCCCGATCATTTCAATGTGTGCCCCACGTAATTGTAATGTAAAATAGTAGGTTTCTGTTGTATTTTTATTAAATCTAAACTTTTAAGCGAATAAATGAAAACATTTTGTTTGTTTCAATAACAGTGTATGCGGCTTGGAACGTTGTGCTACGAGCTCGTTAAATATTTATCTGTAGCCTTGTTGCAATTTCGCACGCACTTTCGTGCCACAAATCCGGTCGCTATTGCACTGGAGCACATGTCGCCGGGTCCGAGCGGCCAGCACGCGGGCTTGCGAAACATCAGCTGCGGTCACAATAATATCGCTTTGTACATATTTAGAAACCTGCGCAGGTCGGCGCGTGGTTATCCAATCCACGACCTATTTGCGGTCGAACGCGTGGACTCGCAGCTCGCAACCGCCCCACTAGCGTCTCCTAATACCCGGCCAGTCGGTATACGTTCATTGTTGTACTTTATTCAGCTAATAGCCCCGTATTTCCAGCCTTGCAATTCAAAAAATTTATTTTACAATCGATTTTAATTATTTTTCTACATATGAGTTTAACACCCGGTTTCTGAAACAATCTTTAACATCCTTTTGGCAATTTTAGTATCTCGGCTCATTGGTTCAAAACGATGGCGGCATTGGCCGAGATGTCACAAATAGGGTAAATGCAGGCTGGGTGAAATGGCGACAGATCTCAGGAGTTACATATGACCCCCGAATGCTATACTCTTAAACTCAAAGGGAAGATTTACAATGAGATCTGTTTTGATGTATGGATTTAAATGTTGGGCACCAAAAGAGACGAATGACATGGTATGGGCGCATTATGAGAGGGAACCGGACGCTCCAGCTAACTGATCTAAATCCAACCGAGTCATCAACTTAATTCATGTTTACGTATCTGCATAGGTATACCATATGTATATACAAATATTGTGATACTCCCACACTTTTCATTATTTTTTTCGCGCTTTGTTTCATCATACGTTCACAATGTAACGCTCCTAGGTATTTCACAACATATAATAATGGAAACAATAACCTCCAATTACTTACACATCTCATATCTCGCTCAAGTAACTCAACTCGGCTACCTAATTATCAATTTTAATTAGCGATGGTTATTATAATCGATTCTCCGGTCACGGCACTTGAGCGCTGCCTCTTATAACTTCAGTGGTGGTTTATTAATTCTTATTAGAAGCTAAAACTAAAAATACTTCTTCAAAATTGGAATAAAAACATACTGAACCGTCTTTAACAGCTTCTTATAAAAAGTAACTGGCAATAGCTTTAGTATGAAATAACGTTGTGGTGATTGGTAATTTTCTGCTGACAAATTACAAAAGAACGTTGTCCAACTAAGGAAACAATTATGGGAATCAAAAAGTATACGATAAATTATAAATTGAACTTTGTTAAGATTAATGATACCCGAGGTCTGAAGTGAATTGAAATATACACAGGTGTCAAAACTTTAACGTTTATTTTTTATGTTGTAAAATTTAAATGAAGCGATGTTGTAAATTTTCACTTTTAAAACATAAATAATTGTTAAACCTAAACGGCTTCTATTTTATAAATGAGGAGCCAAGCGATAAACCGTTAGTGCTAGTTGTGACGAAAAAAGTAGCGGGGCTTGGACCAGATACTATAATTATGTTCTTTAAAACCAAGTCTTCAAGTTTGTAACTAATTGGCAAAAAAAATTTCGTTTTGCAAATTATAGTCCTCATTAACATAAATTTATTACATTAATTTCAAACATTTTTAATGCAATACCAGCGATCGAAAATCGTCCTGGTCATTTTGGATTTGCTCCAAACCGAATTACAAATTCAGATAACCGAACAACGATACACGAAGCACGTGTCAACCGCCGGCGGATGGCATTCTTTATTAAATTAATTTCGGCTTATGGCGCACGTAAATATTGAATCACTCCTTCATATCCGAGCTCCCTGGTAACGGGGACGCGGGGCCTAATAAGTGGGTCAAGTAACCCTTTGGCGTGTGGAGGAGTGAGCAATCGCACGCGCCACCCGCCTAATTGAAGTCCAGTGTCGCGCCCGCCCACGGTGACTGATACCGCCCGTCCCTAGCCACGTCAAATAACTCGATTGCGAGACACCATTCGGAAATCGACGCCGCAATTAGTCCCGTGTCGGTGCTAGAGGCCGATAGCGAGGCCTTTTTGTATTCACCCATACCGGTCCAGTTCATTCACGAAAGCGCACTTTGCGACCCGCAATGCTTACGCTGCAGTTGACGACTGCATATCGATGGTGTATTGTTTCATATAAGCAAAGGGGTACATGGGTTTTTACCATTCACCTAATCATACGCAACAGACTATTGAGAACGTGTTGAAACTTTACAATCGTTATATGTTTTATATATCGATTAAATTTAAAAAATGCAACTGTCTGAAATTGCTCCTCGTATATCCTCACCGCATTGCTGTCGACAGCTATCGGCGGGTCAAATTGGCACCTGAAAAGCGCTTCGGGGAATCCAGCCTGAAATGTTGGGGGGCAGCGGCGTCTAATTAGTTTCGCCATAGCCATCAATATCCATTAGCGGCGCCACACGCGACGCTGGACGGACGCGACGCGACGCCGCCGCGCCTCCACTCCCCCCCCCCCCCATCACCACCCACTCCCACCAGCCCCCCAACTGTGACGATCACCAGCACTATCGCGATTCGCGATAAGTTTGCACTTCCGCGACTGACCGCAGGGCCCGAATGAAGCACGTACACAACGAAGTTGGTACCACGCCAAAGCCGCTTCATTACGCGGCAAGCTCTATCCGTGCACAGCCGCGTCGATTACGCGTACACGTTTTACGCTTATGACATGCTTCAAGCTTCAAAGACAAGCTTTCAAAGGCCAACAGTTCGTTGTGCCAACGGACGCGGTCGACAAAAGAAAGGCCGGCAGCGGCTTTTATTATAATATCAAATTGTTTAAGCGTGCAGGGAGCCCGCGGGGTGAACCGATTTAATTTGAAACTTCTTCGCTTCGAACGCTCACAGTGAAGGGTTGCCCGTTGCCCTAATCTTTGAACTATGACTTGACCGTTAATACGCATATATAATTTGCTCCTCGATTATTTAGTACGGCGTAATGGCACGCCGAGATAGGAATAAATTAGTATCGTGTTTCGGGAACAAAGACGGACAAAGTTCGAGTAACGGTCGTGGGGTCATTGGATGAGTGATACCTATTTTACTGTCTACTGGACTGTACCTGCTCGAATATGATTTACAATAAGTAAACGACTACAAAATTTAATTTAATAGATTGAAGGACTGACAGAACAAAATAAAATGTTTCATTGCCCAATGTTTTCCATTAAAGAATTCTTTGTATGTACGCAAAAATCAAAATTATCGGATTCGATTAAATATGTCTCGGCGCCTTTAGACCGCAATAAGAGGTTATCGCAGCTCTGAGACCCAGACCTATGCCCCTAACAGATGACCTCGCACACCCCGCAGGTGTAAACTCACCCTTACTCCGTTGGCAGCTTCCACACGCCTCATTTACATAGCCAAGGTATCTTATGCACTCTGTATGCACTCGCGCGTTACTTTATAATTCAAATGATCCGCGAGAAGACAGGGTGAGTTCGAGAAAATGTGAGAAATTGTAACGGTATTTCAGCAGCTATTTACGAACGCTCCTACCGTCTTAGTATACCAAAGTAGCGATATAAACGAGACGCATTAAGATTTCAACACTTTATATGCACTGATGCACCCGTGCTTAGCACAGGAAGGGATTAATAAAGGTTAACATTGCGTGCAACCGGCCTTTTGTCTTCTCTTTGTTTAGTTCTGGGATACCGAGCGGGCTAGTAATAAAGCCAGGGAGACAGTTGTTCAGCGTCGAGATAACGCTCGTGGTATTGTGAAGTAAGCGTTGCCTTTGTGAAAGTTTGAGCGCCCCCTCCCCTTTGAAATGTGCAGGCGTCAGACTTATTCGGCGAGTTCACGGATATATTGGTGGCGCCTCGATGTGTCGGTCGTGTAATTCGGCGGGAATGTTTTGTCGGGGCGCGCGTTTTGCATCCGAGTCCCGCGTGGGGCAGCCGCGGCACGTTCCGCGCTAACCGCGCCGACCTTGTTCCGGTGTAATCGAATTAGACACGTGACGTCACTGATACCAACATCTTGCTAATTAACACGGACTCTGATAACAAAGACGCACCGATGAGCTATCAGTCAGTCGGGCTAACTGACTTACTGATGAAATTACGATACGAGGCACCTTCAATATGGAAGCCTAAATCTATCATAACCCGCGGTGACTACGACGAATAACTATCCTGGAGCCCGCTAGCGCCTTTATCACTTCCTACATAAAAAATCGCTCTCCGCGTCACCTTGAATGCGAATGATTGATTTCATAGAACTTAATTTCTTGCTTCGCTGCTACTCACAAAAGAATCGAAAAGTTGTTTTTTCATTACCCAAGTCTAAGAAATTGTATTCGATCTCAATATAAATACGCTGCAATTCTTAAGCGATTCGCCATTTTTGGGGAGGCGAGGTACTTACCCGGACATTACTGGCAATAGCATGCAGCAGCACGTGGTAGCACGTCGTGATAGCACGTAGCAGCAGCTACAGCATTGCGATACAGCAGTTGCAAGTAGACCGTTCACGAATAAAACGTTACGACAACGAGGCCATAACGCATTTTGTAACGCCCGAACAAGAACATGACAAAGGCGTTATCACGGGAACAATTTCAAACTGTGCATTTGCATTAATTCGATCATCCTGAGCAAGTGGCGTGGGCCGTGTCGACGCGACCAAGACTTCCTCGACGTTACGTCATTAATGCGTGATTCAACGTCGGCACCAGTTTCGGTAATCGGTCTCACCTTCGACCTCGCTCCGCGCCGTGGCCTCGCAGTTCTAAAATGTTCGCCAACAGCCTTAAACTTCAATTGGTCAATGCTGCAAAAAGCGTATCGCAACAAAAAACCACTTTTGTACCTAGTGGCGTTCGTGAATTCAGTTGACATTTCAAATTTCGCGTTTCATTTTGATATTGAATAACATAATATGTATATTAATAGAATATATTAATTAATTAACCTTGGCATTGTTTATGAATAACCACACCTCACTTATGTATAACAAATGTGGTACGGCCACCCAGCACTGCTGCACGAATAGGCAGCCTCGTCCGGGGATGCACCACGACCTCACAGAAGACCGGCGTAAATTAGATGTGTTACACTTATGTGTAGCCGGGGCCCACTTTATTAAAAGGTGGCAACGCATTTCCAGCCCCGGGTGTTGCAAATGTCCATGGGTGGCAGTTATCACTTAACATCAGTAGCCATCATAACTCGGATGGACCTGCCCATTCGTGCAACAGCGAACACTGTTGCGTGGCCCTACCACGTACAATTTTTGTGTGCTTAGGCATAACTAAAAATTTTTAGTACAATTGATATGAACGGACTTAAAAAAATGAAACGGGACATCATTTCGGTAAGCACATGACAAGTTTATACAATCAGACCTGCGAACGAAGGCATTTAATATTTTGATGGCTAGAGCTAATAAGAAGTAATGAATAAGTTGACATATTAAGACTTATATCAAGACTAATACGGATTGAAAAGCGATTGAGAAGACGCAAAATGATATTACGTCATCCGTACGGTTAGTAGATTAAAGTGGGTAGTCTCTGATGCAGCTCACTGTTCTTGATATGAAAAGCAGTTTTCCGTGGAGTGAATAATAGAGACAGTCTGAACACTCGCACTGTCTCGCCCGGGCTTCATGTCATGAAGCAACTAATATACCCCACCGTGATAATGTCATGTGCTCTCTCTGCAATAATACGATTTATGACGTAACAAGCGCGTCTCGAAAAGGCTGCACTAATTTCCACTTCAATTTGAATTCACATTGCACAGTGAGCACATCACTTGTATCTGCTTTTCTGTTGTTTTCGTAAGCCAATATTACATTTACGCGCGTCTTTGTGCCATGTTAATTTGGAATATAATGGCGTCCGTACATTTATTATGAAGTTTTTCTGCGCGGCTTACAATAATAGTTCTGTAATAACATATTGTATTCTAAATTCGAAAATTTGCACAGGAAAAAAACAACAATAATTATGAGAACAAATCTTTAATGACCAGGTGCAAAAAGACACAAAGCGACCGAACGTTTTTTTTTGGCGCGTGAATAATTCTAATTTCTAAGGAGTGTATATTCGCAGCTCAATATAGTTCAATTGGTAACACTGGTGCCATGGGAAGCTGCCGAACTTCCACTATCTGCTAGAACTTCACGTAAGTGTTCCCTGTCGGCTAATGAAAGTTCGCAAAGCCAACGCGATACCGCGCTTATTTGGGGACAGCGTTGCCAAGCAGATGACGCTCAAGCAAGTCTCAATATCGGGCGTGTGTTATGAATATTTAGAGCGGGAGAGCGCAGCGCAACGTGCGCTCCTCTTCGCGGCAATAAGACATCGAAAATAGATTGTGCGAACGGGGTTACACGCACCTGTTATTTAGCTTTGTGAGCGGGCAGGGCGGCGCGGGGGACGCGGATTCATTAATAATGGCCCACAACGTGACGCCCTTATTTTCGGGCCGCGGCGACCTATACGATGAGGAACGCCAAGAAACCGAATTCCTCGCGAACCCGTTCCTCTTCAGGCTTCTAGCTCCGCTCGGTATTCAGCCACAATCGCCGCACGTGAAATGTAAAATAAATTCGCGGATTGAATCGGCTACTTGTGACGTCAGCTCCCCGAGAAGTGCGAAAATGAAAACGCACGCCAATAACCTCGAGAGCAATACTTCATAAATAACTCGCGAGCAAATTTTTGAAAGTTCTCAAGCGAAAGTGTTCGTATGAAATTTTTCACGTGTTACTCAACCATTTCATTCGCGTCAACTTTGTCTTCTGTTGAGCAAAAATTCCTCATTCGCGATCGTATTCGGAGCAATATTCAATTGGCTTAATACTCTACAATTGAGCTCTCGCAATTGGCTTTTGATATGTTTTTTTGTTTTTTAAGAAAGATTCCAGTTCACATTCTACACAACATTGAGTTTATCTACTAACGTTTTATGACACGCGAATCATTCTAGTTTTTTGAACTACGATAATCTTTACTCTCAAAGTTTTAGTACGAGTTATCGCTGCATAGGCGATCTAGCACGTGTACGCTAAAAATATTTTTTTATTATTTATTATATATTAACCGAATTATACGGTAAAATATTAAATGTGTTCAAGGAAATATCAACAAAACTTTTGTTAATTGCAAAGTTTTTGATTGTAAAATCAAAATTGGATCAGTACTATGTTATATTTAGCATTTACGACAACTTCCGCCTGATTTATTAGTCTATATTAAAATCTCGTTTTGAAGCCGACGTAAATTTTTAATTTTTTATTATATCATGATCTAAATTAGTTTTCGCTATAGTTCTATTTTTCAGTACACGGTAGGTACAAGGTGCGTGCCGCACTATGTAATCTTCGGTACATTTTAATAGTTATTCCTCAGTTTTTCCAACACGTTATTTTATCTAATATAATTACCAGATATATGTACAATATTTTTCAATTATGTAGAATCGCCTACGGATCACTTAATGGTGACAGAACAATAAACATGTGATTTGTTTTGATAACGGTCTTAAACATTTTAACTAGTTACATAACTTTAAACCCAAAAGCCTTAATGAAAAAAGTTTCACCCTTATACAGGTAATAAAAAAGGATGAAACCATATTCCATACATAATTTAAATACAAGAACAATACGGACTTTTTCAAACTTATCTTAATATGTCATAATTTACCTAAAAGTAGTTTGAATGTCAAGCTTATATAACTTATTTATTAACTTAACATTTTAATTCAGCTAATTGGACTAGATACGTTGTTTAATAATTGATGAGATTTTAGAAATATTTCGCAAGATCTCACGGACTACTTTTGTGCAAATTGAACTGATGCATTTTACTACCATTAAAATAGGTGTGCTGGAGAATTGAGGCGCTCGCAATTATTCAATTATACTGGCATAGATTAAATGTCAATCATATCATGTCATCATTTAATTTCTCGTGAATAAATTATTTTTATTTTTTTAAAGAAGTTGCCCGCTTAATTTGAACTTATTGACAGCTTTTGTAACTGCTACGACTCCCGTTCGACTAAATAATAGTTTTATCTGTTATATTTCGAAGCAAAACAGGTTTTTGCTCCAGTCACGAATCAACGTCAATCCGTCTCAAGCAAACAGCGATCCGTTTCTCCGTTTCGAAGGGATCGTGCGTAAAGCTATTTCGATTCGTCTCCAATAGCATGACTCACAAAATGTTTTTACGATATCGCAGACTCGTTGATTGGCCTCCACAGCACGGCGAACTGGACGCGATGCCTAAAGGCATGATCTCTTCATGACTCACAATTTTTTACCAGACTCGAGTTCGTCTCCATGGAGCCACATAAACATCTTTGAAACGCGTACTCCAATTGGCTAACAATCAAACACCGAAACGGTCCATATGGCTCGCAACGTTTCGCGGAGTGGTTTTTAATGTCGAAACCGAAAGAAAAGCGTATCCCTCCGGGTGGGCGCGGTGTTGCTGTTATCATAGAAACGGATCAAATAAACATTGCCAACGATCGCGTTGATTTCGTGCATAAACATCGAGATAGCTGGACCAGAGGCGGCGTGATGAGGTAAGCGACCTTAAAAGCCACTTAGCGCACAGTGCGCTCTCCGCGTGCCGCTCGCTGCGTTTCTTATTACTTGCCTAATAATTCGGGTAATAACACTGCTGCGTGACGTCACCGCGTACCTTTACCGACTCTGCAAGGATAAAATTAGGTGTTACTAGATAAGACGTATGTGTAATACGGGTGCAACTTATGATCTTACTGAAAACATCGATAATCGTACTCTCTAAATTCACGTACACGTCTAAAATAATGAATAGGTTTTACAAAAATTGGCGTTTATTGTAAAAGTATCGTTTATTTTATGTTATAATAATATACAGCCAAGAACTATAAGATTTTTTTTTTCTCACAACTTAAATTTTGGCTTTTGTAATAAAGGTTTTACTACAATCGTAATATTCAGGTAATTTTTACACCTTCGCTTATACATATACGCACTAGTGTTATCTAATACAATTAAGTAACAATATTATTGTCACTTTATGTAAGCGTAAACCTTGTCCTTTTGTAAATATCGAAGATGGCGAGTATAACCTTTCTGCTTTATACAAACATTATATTGCGACTATCATGAATAGGATGCAGCTATTATGCATAGGTAGTTGTTTAGCAAAGGAGTTAAGTGATAATTTACAACGGTTTCTTGTTTTTACACGCATCTATCCCGTGTTTGAAACGTCAGTTATTGCATTAAAATTAAATGCGATTAAAAATAACTTGATACTTTATGTTTACATGTTTAATTGCAAAACTAAAGCATTATATAAACCGTTGTTGTTGCACCATTAAAGCGTTTTATAAACCGTTGTCGTTTCTAGAATTTCTTACATGGTAAAATCATCTGCGCTCAGAGTGCAAAGGTGGATTTTGGGTCTTTACAATTTTGGTTAAATTAGACTAACTATTTCTGCCAACCCCGCTAGTTTAATTGTAAACATATAGTCGGAACACATTGCAATATGCTTACATTACGTTTTTAATAATTTGTGCGTGGTTAGATTTATATGAGATTGTATAGGTTAAATCAAAGATCTATTTTAGTTAGATCTTGTTTCCTTGCAATCAAATAACAATATTTATTCCTTTTTTGAAAAGAAGTAGTGTGTCAGGTTAAGGTTTTAAATGTTTTAAGTAAGTTTGTATGTTTTAAGTGATAAAATTTGTCAAAAAATGGATGTAAAGTTTTCGCCGCTTCAACGCCAATTTGAAGTAGTAACAACGATACTTCGTCGTCATAATTGAATATAAATGGTAGCTTATGTTTAAAATAAATGACACCTGATTGATTATAATAGATTACTTACTCTATTTAAGAATTTTCTTTTTCATTCGTAGGGCCCATTTGACTGTTTGGAAGGGATTATTATCGCTATTGAACAATATAGAACAATTTTCTTAGGCTAGATTGAACTTGAGGTATTTCCACGAGGCGCACGGGGTGACGAACGCAAACCCGTGAATATACAAAACAACGCCATTATTAACGCCGCGATATAAGGGACACAGCCAGTTTAATACGCACTATCAAAACACTTTCCCGGTAACAAAACCAGAGGGACACAACTCAATATAAAAAACTCGAAAGTTCAAAGCATCTTTTTCTTAAATATCCAAGCGACGGAAACGTAATGACGGGGAAACCATTCTCTGCCGCTGAAGCATGCGGTCGACTCTCGTAACGTCGCCGACATCAGACGGTGAGGAAACACTTGATTAGATTTTCGGAAAATGTGCTTACATTGTTCTGTTATAATTGAATTTTCACGGCGAATAATTTTCGATTGGGTTTGAGTTCGCGGGAGTTTCTAATGTAATTATATCGAATATGTCCTCGTCAAGAATGACAGTTAAACCGATTGCAAATATAAAATACATCAATTAAACCGCCTGTAAAATCAGTTTTATCTATTGCAATTTGTGTTTGTTTTTTATTTTTAATGTTTTTATTATTATTATTATTATTATATACTTTATTGTACACCACAAAGAATTTGATACAATTATGAAATAAGTCTTAAAAGCTAGGTACAATAAGGCGGTCTTATCGCTAAAAAGCGATCTCTTCCGGACAACCTTAGGACGAGGAAAAATAAACTAATGAATAGTGGGTGGTGTGCTCAATAAACTTACTTAATACCAAAATAGACTTAAATATAATAAGATAAACAAAATTATAATAAACATACATAAACATAAATAAATATATAATATATATAAATAAATGCACGAGATAAGAATTATATCTCAATATTGCCATTAAAAACTATGGATTACAAAGCGATAGATAATGTTGTTTTACGTCAATTTTAAACTTGTCTAGCGTCTTCGAACGACGAATTTGCTGAGGAAGTTCATTCCACAAGCAGATGGCCTTAACTGTAAAGGAGTTCTTATAATATTTAGTTTTGTACGCATGTGGTGCTAGAATTAGATCTTCAGCTGATCGCAGAACTCATTCTGGATGGTTATGGCCAAGGAACTTAAAGTGTTCCTTTAAATAGCTTGGAGTCCTAGGGTTAAATAATACACAGTACAGAAGAGAGCCAGTGTGTAGATTGCGGCGAAAACGAATGGGTAACCACTTGAGCATTGAACGAAATTCGGAAACGTGATCATATTTGCGTAAACCAAATATGAACCTAATAGCTATATTTTGAATACGCGCAAGTTTATTTAGTTGTTCTTCGGTTAAATCAAGATAGCTTGCATCCGCATAATCGAGAATGGACAGGTGTAAGGATTGAGCTAGCATAATTTTAGTTGGAATGGGAAGAAAAGAACGTAAACGACGGAGAGAACCCATCGCAGCAAATGTTTTTCGGCTCACTTGATTCAATTGTTCCGACCACGAGAGGGAATTGTCAAATTGGACACCAAGATTTTTCACAGTGGTGCAGTACGGTATTATAACGTCATTTAATTTTACCAAGGGAAGGTTATTCCAGTCAACTCTTGAAATCAAACCAACACCACCAACAATAATAGCCTGGGACTTAGTAGGGTTAACATTGAGACCATAGATTTTACTCCATTCACTGACAGCGGCCAGGTCATCATTGATGGCGGAAACAGCAGTAGGCAAGTCTTCAAGAGTTGACTGTGTGTACACTTGGAGATCGTCTGCATACATGTGATAGAGAGAAGTAGTTTTTTTTATGTTAATTCTTTAAAATAAACGTATTTGATATTTAGGTATGCGACTATTATGCGTAATAATTCTTATCTGTAAAGTTGTATAGGAACTATATTCGATTAATTCATTTCGTGTATTCAGAAATTTTAGAAAATTTACATGTTATATGTACATAGGTGTGGTGGAAAGATTTCCGGCACGCAGCACCAATCCAATCTATTGGATTGATCACACCATATGTACCTAACGTTACGTGTATCGAAATCGGGCGGTCGCAAACATCGTCACGCGTGACCTCTTTGCTGTTTCGAATGTCTGTGGACGCTCCGCTTACCATCAAGTGAGCCTTGCCCCATTGTCCCCTCTAAAAAGGTTGGCTAAGCGTGAAGTTTCAGCGATACCGCATCAGTGTAGCGAGCGGGAAAGGTGGCGAGTCAGATGGAGCGGGTTAATTAACGTTTACGCGGAGTCATCTCACGCCGCCCCAGCGAGCGCGACTTCGCTGCTGACGCTTTTAATTAAACGCCGGCACCGCTAAACGAAGAGTCCGTCCGCAGTCCGCTCACTCAGTTTCCCTTATCGGCCGCGATGGATTTGTAAACGTGATTCACCGCGGAGTCAACGTCCTTTACCGCGGAATTAAAAGCCCCTTATGAACGCAACCTAGCCTTATCGCACGCGTCGTCGAATGCGAAATGCACCGATACTATTGCCGGACGATTTCACATTATTTTTTATGTCATCGCGCGAAAGACTTTTGCGTCTCAACCGCTGGGACCAAACCCATCGGCAAGAGCGATAAATAATTTTCCATGCGGAGAAAAGAATGTAACTGCTACAGGACGGCTAGTCTTCGGGCCTATCCTATAAGAAAAAACAGTAAATAAATCACGAGTGTACGCAGAGCGGGTAAGCCAATTACGGCGTTGCGCTTCAAGGAAGCTAAGCAGTTTCTAAATTCTTGGTATATTTAATTTAGCTTAATTGGTGTGTAGATACTCGGCGGCATGCACTCGACCGAGAATTTGAACCTCTTTGTTGGCTAAATCGCGTTTAAAACTGTATCTTCAAAGTATTAATTGAACATTTCCCGTATCCGACTTTCAAATTATTAGCTTTTTTTATTTACGTTGAAACAATATTTTGTGCAAAAGAGGATAATGATGTCTGGAGAAATTAAAAAGAACAGTTTAGATGATTTCTGTCGGTGATATTTCGCAGCATATTATTTCGACAGAGATGGATTTTTACTACATTTACTTAACAATTGGATTTTATCAGATCTCGATTACTTTTTGAACACTATGTTAAATTAATATACATTTATATTCGGGAAACCATTAAGCCAACAATGTATTAAGTTGTTGATTTTGTTATTTATGCGACAGTGATAACTTTTGATGATGTTAACTCTTCTACTTAAGATAACCTAATAAGGTTTTAAAACTTGATTCATACGAATTAAAGAAATGTTTCGAATGTGAACGATGCGGACTCAATATAATAAACAAATGACTATAATTGTAGTTAGAAAATGATGATGCCGACTAATGTTTGGATTAAAAACGTATCATAAAACATTATGTTTACGTAGAGTCTTCTTCGGCTATTATTGTATGTTCATATGCATATTTATTGGCATAAGAATTTGTGCGCTTCAGTAAATCGATTCAGCCGAAGCGCCTATTTATATCTGTTGGCAATAAATATTCGGTGTTAATGATTTCTTTCGTTGCAAAACCGCGAGTCATTACGGTACAGCAGACGTTCGGAATCGTGCAAACGGCAAAACGCCCGTCTCTAATTGTTGTCTGGAGCGCGGAAGGCGAGAGAGGTGCGCCATACGATTACGCGTGCGGCGATTGGTATTCGCGCTCTCGGCGTGTGTTCATAAACGATATAATTGCGCCTGTGTGAGAGCACTGCGTTCGGCGTGGGATGGGGCAGTGCATTTTTTGCGGGCCCAAGACGAACGGCGGGTCGTTGAACCCGATGCCTCGTCTCGAGGACACCGAATTCGCCAGCGGAGCGCATCTTCCAGTATTTTCGCGGCGCTGCATTATCGACAATACGTCGAGCTCGATTCGCCTCGGGGCTTCTCGCGCCTATAACGAGTTTCATTACGGGACAAGTAGAGCATCGTTTGCCCACGTTTTACATCGTTTTTGTAAGAATCGTGGGACAGAAATTTTAATAATATCGTGCACATACCAACCATTTTTGGCTATTGCCCGAAATTTTAAAAGTTTGCAACGCATCAGCGTCCACTCACTCACCGCTTAGACACAATTTAAAAAGCCGCCTACACTAACAGTGGTGCTGTCTTCGTTCCACGTCGTTCATCCGACAAGAATGTGTGACGGACAATAATATCTTCATGAGCCGCAATAAGCTATCGCCTAGCTCCAGACGAGGATAATGTGTAATATAAATTCACTGCGATGCTCTTGTTCGAACGCGATATAGGCTAGCGTGATATCTTTCACGCGGCGCCTAACTGCTATGTTATTTGCACATATATTTTGCCGTTGCCTTCTAAACTACAATAGAGAGTCGCACTACCAAGAGATACGTGCGGCAATGTTTGTGCTGTACATTATAGCTAATTGGTGACATGCTTTCTATACGTAAGTTCGATCGATTCACCTATGGTTGCAACTTCGGCATAATTGGAAGGAAATCACTGTCGGAATAAATCGCGAGGCAATGACAACAGCTATAATCGGTAAAATAATAATCAGATCTGTTTGTCAGGAATCGATAGACAGAAATAATTTCGAACAAGTAGATATTGTTTTGTTTTTTAACACGGCCTTCTACGTGCCCAAATAAATACGAGGAAAAAGGTCGGAATCTAATGGTTTTAAAATTAAGCTTTACCGTATTGTTCGACGAAAACGCAATTGGGCTATGAATATTGTTTTATTTTTTCTAAAGCATTTGAAGACCTTCGGTATACCATGCCCAGTTTACGCTTAACAATTGTAACATCTCTCCAATTAATGAATATAAGTACAATGAATATATGAAGGTATGAAGCTAATACTTTGCACAATGTGTATAACGAAAAGTCGTAACGAAAGTTATAATCGATCTTACACATGTAACTCAAAAACTATTTTTCGTAGCCTTTTAGCAGGACTCATACCTTCACCATCTGGCACAAACCACATGATTCAACCAAAACCACGAACGTATTTCGCACCATGAAACTGAGCCACAGCCGAGTCACGCGTAAGCGGGGTTCGTCTCAAAAGGCGCGCCTTATCTCGTTTTGGTCGCGCCAACCGGCGTTGCGACGCTCGAATTATTGTTCTTTTTATATGGTACTCGTGCAAGAACAGGCACAAGAAACGTCCGGATGGGCTTTTAGACGTCACGGCCGATGCGCCCGCAACAAAAACGGCCGCGTCCGCCACCGCATCGTGACCATCCGCCGTCGGCTCGGACTCCCGTCTCCCAGAGTCGCCTGATTGAATTCTTCGGGAGAGCATTATCACGCACGTCACCGTGTATCAATTGATTTCTTGAAGTATGCCGCTTAAAGTTTCGAGAACTGCTATGCTTATTCTTAGAGCGTTTTCAGCGTTGTTTTTAATAATAAAACTTTTTTTTATGTGGAAAGTGGCTAACCAGCTGGCGGTTTACCTGATGTTAAGTGATAACCGCCTGCCCATGGACATTTGCAACACGCGTAGGGTTGCAGATGCGTTGCCACTTCTTAATGAAGTGGTTCCCTCACTCACCAGACGAAACGCAGATGTGTAACACTTGTACTTGAGGCCGGTCTTCTGTGAGGTCATAGTACTAACCCGGACGGACCTGCCCATTCGTGCAACGGCAAACACTTTTGCATGGCCCTACCGACAACTTAATTTACCTTGTGGGTGGTATTCGGAGCAACTTCGGGGTTCCAAATGTGACACTTAAGTCACATGCTTACTTTATTAAACTCAACTGACAATGATATATAGCAATCAATATCAGCATACTAATTTGTTCACATATGTGAGAATTAATGAAAAAGCTCCATTATTCGTATGATGACGCAATAGGAAATAACTAAATCTATTTTCGTGGTTTGTATCTCGGTCAGAAATAAATTTCGTTGACCAGTATCATAATTGCGGACTGCCTGACGTCAAACCGCACCTTGACACAGCCAAATATTGTGATATGAGAGCATGGGCCAAGTGCTATCGCGACATTTTGAGTCCCACATGAAAACGAGCCGTCACCGCCAATTTCAGTCAGCAGTTCATTATATTGCGGCCGATTTGGAAAGACCTTAATCCAACCGTCTGGATTTATAACGCACCTTTCACAAATAGCACTAAAGGATGGTAAATTGATTCGACGTTTAAACCCGGAAGACGCAGTTCGAATCCCGCAGTGGCGAAACTTTTTGGCTATACAAAAATTCACATATTAAATTGCACCTTAAGTAAATGGAGACTAAATCTAAAAATGAAATTAAACATAAAAAATGTAATTAATTTAAAATTTTTATAATACTATCCACGGTGGTAGGGCCACGCAGCAGCCTCGGCTGTGCACGAAAGGGCAGGCCCGTCCGGGTAAGTACCACGACCTCACAGAAGACCAGCGTAAAGTGGAAGTATGACAATTACTTTCGCGTTTCGTCTGGTGAGTGAGGTAGCCGGAGCCCAATTTTCAAAAGGTTGTCAACGCATCTGTAATCCTCGCGTGTGGCAGATGTCCATGGGCGGTGGTATTCACTTAACATCAGGTGAACCGTCTGCTCGTTTGACAACTATTCGCATAAAAAAAAACTATTGTACTTATAATGCTATCAATTATACAGCCGATGCAATATAGCAATCTGCGGAAGAGCTTACCAACCAATATGTAGAGCACTAAGTTATTGGCGTACGATTTTTAAACAAATTACTTAGAACATATAAATATATAAATTAAATAAAACATTTGGTTAATTAAAATAAAACCGAAGCAAACTACGACATAAAACTAAATTTTAATGACTTAAATGATCTCTATAAAACGCTCTTTATACAGTTTAACTGACTGGCTAACAATTTACTTCGTGAGTTTTCTTCGGTTCCTTCAATTTTATTTATTACTCTGATTTAAATAATTAACATTATAATTGTATACGATTGTATTAATTATGATCTTTTTTTTCAACCGCCGAATATTGTTCAAACATTATAATAATCAGTTCAACGACTTCAATTACGGAAGGTGAAGGCAGCCGGAGCGGAATTTATTGGTTATTCGTTCTGATGACCATCGGAGGCGATTGGGGTTTAGGAGCGGCGGGGGAAGTGGGGGGAATGCGGCGTGTTCCCGTTTTAAATAGGTATGCGTTTGGCGGAGTGCTCCGCGTATCGTGTCCTCGGACGGGTCACGCGACAGCAAACCCGTTTCGCGGCGCACTTTCACCGCGCCTCGCCTGCGCCCGCGCCTCCGCCCACACCCCTCCCACACCCCTTCCACCCACAGCGCACCGGTAGCGCCACTAGCAGCGGCTGCATCTGCTCGCGAAATCCCCCAATCTCACTCTATGCCACGCCAAACACACGAATTAATATCGAGGAACTGTCAGTCCCCTAATAATTTTTGAACAGCCGTTTACACCCCTCCCCTGCCGCACAGATATCCGGTTGAGCGAAACCCGTTGTTGGCTGGCGCAATATCGATCGCATCGATCAGATTTCGCGTACCCGGGACGTTCGGAACTTTCAGGTCGAGGAAATTTATTCAGGGATTAAGCTAGGATAGCGTGGGGTCGCCTAATTTCCCGAAAATTCTTAGCGAACGGTGAACACGATTGACCGGTTAAAAGTACACAATCGACGGGGCGGACGGAAGTGTGGCAGTGGCGAAAAGCTCGCAACTGCACGAGGAGAAAGGAAGCGGCGCGCCGCGCGGCGTGATAAGCCAGGCGGCGGGCGGGGTGGCGGCGGGGGGCTGATGGGACAGCGGAGGGGCTGTTGGGCTGGAGGGGGGAGGGGTGCGCGCGCACCAGCTCCCCGCGCCGCGCCGCTTGCCTCCCGTCAGTCGCCCGCCGACTCCGCTTGTGCTTGTGTGACTCGCGCTGCTCCGTGCACCGCACTCGTGCTCCGAACACGACGCGTGCCGCCCCGCTGTGGCCGCGAACCGCGACCTCTACTTTACCGGCGAAAACGTTTCACCCAACTTAGTGTGACTTGCTATGATTTGACTCTCGAACGTTTACGCTCCCTTACCCGGCTTGTTTACCCGCTCGTCATGTAAGTGATAATATCGCTCATATCTTTCATAGACCGCGACCCAACTCAGTCGAATTCGGAACTCGCGTGTGCACCGTGAAAGTTGTTTTTTTTTTTTGTTGTTTTATTAATTTGTGAACTAGTGCATTTCCGGGGACCCCCCGTCGGCCCGTGCTGTTCTATCGGTCTTATGCCGTGCACTCATATGCGGTGTTGATTTGATGGCGATTTCCGAATTTCGACGGGACGAGTCGTTAGGGAAGGCCGGAGCGACGGATCCAGTGCTGGTGGGCTACCCGACCCTCGCTCCGGTCGAGGAACCGCATGAGAGCTTTCGCCTCGGAGGGACCGCCGGCTGCATCGCCTTCCCGAAAAGGGACCCCTATGCCAAAGCTTTCATCGACCTCGCTTTAAACTTAAAACTTACCAAGTAGAACTAATTCCTTATCCCATAAAACTTCCGTTCCTGTACAACTTAACGTATAACAAATAGTTCAGTAGATACGCTCTGTTAATTTAGAAGTAAACGGTAAAACCAAAGGAGTTAAGTGCCTTTATTACGACAAAAAATGCTATAGCCTCTATTATTCGAAAAACACGTAAGTATCTGTTTTATTTAAATTTCAACTTTCAATATATCTCTAATTGACTTTTTGAGTACTTTTAAATTCGAAAATGCATCATCGGCAAAAACTTAGAACGAAATTTAAAATTTGTCTATTGCAGCACAAAGATAAGAATTGGATAGCGTATAGACGCTACATATCTATATTTTATCTAATGTTGCGTTAGATAAAGTTCCGTAATCTCAACATTCTTATCAACGCAGATTTTTCAACGAGAAATATTTTTATTTTAATATCGAAAATGACATAATGAATTTTGTAGAAATCATAAAACAAATTATAAATTAATGTTTAAACTAGTGTAAACAACCAATTCTTGTAATTATTTGGTATATAAAAATTTCATAAACTTTGTAGAAAAACCTTTTAAGAAAGAGGTGTGCGTAACGTTTTGTGGCAAATGTTTAACGATTTATTCAAAAATTTTGCAAATTGCTTACTTAGTTTTATTACAATAATCGTACATGACAAAAAATACATTTACCTCATGACGGATTTAATAGAACATACTATGTAAGCACCGGATGCGAATTTTGTTAACTTATCTAATATCAATCTGTTAATTTAAAACATTAAATAGTTTTGTAACATTAAAAATTCCATTAAAAATTATATTAAGATACTTATTTATACAAATTACAGCTTAGGACGATAAATAAAATACATAGAAATTTACTCATTCGCCAAAAAATTAAGCTTTTGAAGTCGGGAATTTCTATTTGTATTATCTAAAAAATTAATTATTTTCCTCTTGAATTGATTGGACCTTTAATATATCTTATATTAAAACTTGTTTTTTCGCATTTTACTCATTTCCCCAATGCGCTTTATAAAATTATTTTATGTTAAATAAGATGAATCCTGTTAGTTCCAAGTAAAATACAATTTATTATTTTCAACTTAAGAAAGGCATCGAATTTTAAGAACTTCATTATAAAGTGCAGTTGATGTTGACGAGGTGCCCTCGTTTTTAAAATTTATTAAAATTGACAAGTAAAACTGTTTCGGGCTTAACGACTGTCATCAAAACTCTTGATGTCAACGAAAAGATGTCATCTCACTCACAAACTACTACCGAAATCAAGTTGTATGGAACTACATTAAAAGGTAGATTGAAATAAATTCGGCCAGACATACTATTTGATCGCCTTTAGCGTGTGCGGACCGAATGAGCAAAAATTGTTAAACTGGCGAGCGAGTTTGGTCGTGTGTTAATTTTTAAAACGGCCGGTCTATTGGTTCAGTTAAGGTCCACAATGGTCCGTGTGCATCGTTTCTACGAAGGCAACAGCTGGGCCCTGCTACCTGCTCCCGACAATAAAACTTCTGTCAATGGAGAATGCGACCCGCGGTATTATTATTGTACCATTTTATTAATTTCACGTTTCACTCTGAAACAAAAAATGATCTCCTAATGCCTGTTGAAGTTTTATAACTCATTCACCCTTCTGTCACTTAAAACCTAATGATTTTGAACGATATAGATCTCGGGGTTACGCTTTCTTACTGTGTGAATAATGTAATTTGCTCACCGTTTGTTTGCACATTTATAATTTACTATGAAAAAACTATAATTACTTTACCCAAATTATGTCTATGAAAATTGCCGAAGAACAGAAATTGTTTTGAATCAGCATACGGCATGTACGTTTCATAAATGTTAGACACTTTAGAATGTTAGAATGTTTATTCTTTTTACGGGTACATTGGAGAAAAGAGAAAGTGATAATTCAATAATAAAAGTAGATATTGAGAGTTTAGCTCACGGACAGTAACAACTGGCCAGCAAAAATGGCCGTTAACGTTTCCTAGAATTAATTATCTTATCAACGGATGGATATAAAGCGACGTGACATAGCCGAAGCTACGAGTAGATTACGTTACCAAATTAATCACTGATAAGGTGTTTAGCGGCTTGAAAATTCTCTATCCTCTGATCAGTTGGAAACTTTCTGCATTTTTAACGATTTTTTTTCCACATATCTTCAGCCGCGAGGAGACATAATTTCATTGACATCATAATACGGTGACAGAAATGGCCTCGTGGTGGTCTGTATGTTCGCGTCACGATGGGTCATTGTTGTATTTTACGTGTAGCCGTGTGGTAGGATCCATTCGGCGAGGGGTTGTTCGCGGCACGTCCGATAAGGCGTGCACATTAGCGGGGCGCTGCAGCGATAGCGTCCGGAATAGTGTAATTTGCGCCTCGTAAATTTCGAGCCGTCGCAAATTTTTCGCCTCCCCAGCGCTAATTACCAGTCCGCCGGCGTCCCCGGGCCAGCTGAATGCCCCGCGCAGAATGTTAGGGCAGCTGCAGCGCTAGGCAGTAAGCTAGTTGCGACGTGCACGACAACAATGGCCTTTGTTTTGACCGTCGGACCTGACCTACGTGCCCCGCTAATCAATCGCTTGATTTCGAACATTCGGTGCGCCTTTATCGGATTGGCCGTTTGTCCGATACGGGAGCTATTTTTTTTTTAAATTCATATTGACATCTCGTCGTTCAAATCCAGATCTTCCGCCAATCAATCCATCGCTCGGTGAGGTGGCCGCGTCCTATCTAGAATATATTAATATCTATTCAAACAATACGTACGTAAAAATGAAAAAATAAAATTGCAATTAAAAAGATCCACTTTTGAAAGGAATATATATACGTAATATGAAAAAGATAAGAGCTAGGATGGCTGTTGAGATGGTCCGCGTAACGTAACGAAAGATGCGGTAAGTTTATAGAAAGAAGTTTCAAGAAGCGGACCTAAAAATGCTAGAGGGCAACCGAAAAGAAAGAACACTTGTGTCAAATAATAGGCCGCAAAGAAGAGTCTTGTTATGGAAATAAAAATTTGGAGGAGAGGTCAATTTCCCGTCCTTTGGCGGAAAAGGTGTACTATAGTTGATTTAAGAGAGCGGAACACAATATTATAGTGTCACATATATTGGTAATATCACAGAACATCGTATCAAGTAATACTGAAAAACTTCTTAACTATTGACTTATCTTACTCTAACTGCTTATTTCAGATTTTAACTTCTAACCATCAACAAAAAAAATATTTACATTTAAACATACCTCACTTATTCTCCTAAATGTAACAAATAAGGAGTTAAATATTAGGTACGAGTATAAAAATTACTGTAATGTCCTTTATTAAATTTTTATTACTATATAATTAAGCTGTGAATTTGTTAACTAAAAAAGTAAGTATAATATACATTCATAATTAGTAAAAATATAAATATTTGCAAGCGTTGATATGTTACTCCTTAAATAACACGTGATTAAGAATCTACTAAAAAATTTACCGTTTGGCGTGTTTTATTTTCCTTTTTCCAACTCCCAGACGGTCTGAGTCAACTGCCTCGCTCAGCCAACGAATGTGGCGCCGTGCGCAGAATAACGAATGGTGAATCGGTGACATCACTTGCGGCTCGTACGATTCGAAACATGTACTCTTGTCACGCGATTTTCGACCGTCTCTACCAACAGCTATAATTGATATTTGCCTGCTTGCGTTAACTTCCAGCCATGTCCCTGAACGTTAATACAAACATGAGCCAAATTGACAGAAATATCAGTCATAAAAATTTAATTTACCTTATGCATTGAGTCCTTTGACGCGATCGAAGGTTTGTTTTTACGAATTTTATCCTTCAACCATACTGTTTTGCAGGATAAATCGTTTCAATTATAACTAAGTTTATAACGGGGACAAAAATATTTTTCATTTAATATCAAAACGAAATAAATAAAATACTGGAACCCGTTAGCAAAACTGAGACATTCTATTTTATTGGGCAAAAATTTGAAAACTACATACATCGTGATTGTATACAAAATTCACGATAACCCACTTATTATCAGGCGGACCTCTTTACGACAATCATCTTTGTCGATTATATAAAATTCCTTTTATAACGTGCTATAAATTTTTAACACGCCGATTACGATTCGTTAAACAAAGTTAGCGCACGATTATGGATTACAATTATTGTTGACGCAATTTTCCATCGACCCTTGAAAGACAAGGTCTTCTACCGCTTCGGTTTAATTTTCACAATGCAAGTCCCGACGCCCATTAGGATTCAGTGCCGGCCGGCACCCTTAAAGGGCGTCGGCGTCCGAGACGAGTGATATTATATGGTAATCACGTCGAATGTATGCAAATGGGCAATCGGGCAGAATGCGCTCTCGGCCGAAGGCGTCGCGGCGCCAACGGACTGTGTCGAGAGGGTCCGATGCTTTTTGCCCCGGCGCCGTCTGCGCCCGAGCGCGCCACCAGCCAAGGTCACCCTGCGATCGCGTCACCGCTTACCGACTGCAAGTCCACTGCGCGGCGGCCTTGCTCGCGATAACTTTTCAACGCCGCCATTGCCGGGCCGACAAACCTGTCCCGAGACAGTGCGGGAAGCCGAAATCACGATCCTCCGCGGACTCGAAAAAAAAAAATCGGTCCTCGTGACGCTGTCCCGTCGGTCAAATAATAAATTATCTTAATTTTCATGAACATTTAGTACTAATGATAGCAAAAATATAATAAGTATAGTCTCCGTAATATAACATAATAAAGCCCCGTCGTCATGAACATGAATTGTTGAAAATGCCATAACTTATTTTGCATTGGTGATTGGAGTTCCTATAGAGGGCCCATCACGTAACGAGACTGGGCTCGCCATAACTCGGGCGAAATCTGTGGTGCGGAGTGGCCTTCAAGCCAATCCCGGCAACGGCAGCGGTCCTTTTTGGGTAGATTTGTTATCGTTGTAATGGTTATATTTCTATTTCTTATGGTAACTTATTAAACAGGAATTTATTAACAAGTAGGACTTTGCAAGAATTTACAAGTGGGAGGCAACAAATACCTCGTATCCAGGTCTCACGCATTTTATCTTTTCTGTTAAAAAAAAAACAATAGCATAAAATAAATATTCCTGCCTGTCAATAAACAGAACAATTCATACATATTTTTTTTGTATTTTACTTACTATAGGTACATATTATCTTCTTATAAATAAAAATGAATTGCTGTTCGTTAGTCTCGCTAAAACTCGAGAACGGCAGGACCGATTTCGCTAATTTTGGTTTTGAAATATTTGTGGCAGTCCAGGGAAGGTTTAAACGATGAGAAATTACGGAAAAATTGCATTGAAAATCGAAATAGCAACAATTTTATTTTCCCATACAAACTGTACCTGTCAACCTGGCAAACGATTTTGAACACGTTCCGATTCCTCTAGAAATAATTTATATGGCAAAACAACGTTTGCCGAGTCAGCTAGTATACTTATAAAATGAGATACAAAATTATGACATTGTCATTCCGCAAATTTTGAATCAGAGTCAGCAAATTACATTTTTTTAACACTATTGTGTTCGTTACTGGGACATTTTTCTTTATTCTATGAAATCTCTTTTCATAATGTACTAAGTTTGAGCCCGTGTGTTGGTGTAGAGATTGGACAGATGGCTTATGAAACAGGGGCGAATTACCACAAATTCATGTCAGCACGAGTTTTAGGTCTTGTATCTTGTATTAACTGATGTTTTTGCTTTCAGTCCCGAGACTATTAAAGCTTCATCTGACGCAGAACCGGTGGGCTAGCCAGAACCCACGGTTTGGGCGAGTTTTAGGTCGCTAATGAGATGGTTTCGAGAAATTGAATGAGGATATGCCATGTTGTCGTAACGTGTATAACGCTGCGCCTGCGACTTTGCCCACAGGCTTTATAATGCACGAAAATATTTGATTTTCAATATATCATTTACATTTTTGTTGATTCTCATGACTCATTTTTCATTTTGAGCATACAATCTCTTTATCGATAAATCAATTTAGATTTTTAATATCTACGATAGGTTTTAACATCAAAAAATTAATAACAAGTACTATAAAAGATTATTTTTAGTATGATATTTTATGGAAACAGGACTGTTCATCTCTTATATATATATATATAACTATTTCAAAAGGAGAAAAGCTGAGCTCTGATTTAAAATAATTTCGGACAGTGAACAGCGAAACTACATTACTTTTATTTTGAAGTGAAACTTCTTTATCGGGGTTGGAAAAAAATTTAGTGTAACATTTTTCCGTTACGCGCCATCTTTTTTTTTATCTTAAAATGTTCCTCTAACGCCATCTAGTGTTGAATAGATGTTATATTAAAGAATTGATGTTATTTAAAGTGATCAGCAAAATCAAAGGGTTTATTTTAATTCTAATTCTAAAATGTAAACAATATATTTCGTATTTCAGTTACCATAAGCCATTAATAACACAAATATATAATAACGACATCAATGATAGTAATAATTCTATTACAATTAATGAAATTCAATAATAATATTTGTAGTAATGACAGTGCTAGCTCTAATACTTCATTCAGAGCACGACACTGTGTAGACTTCCTCTTCTCCAAAGGCAGGCACCGTCCACCGAAGACACAATCTGAAGCTGACCGATGATGCTCTTCGAAGCCTCGATCGGCTCCTGGAACTTGCGGTTGCGACGTCGATCCAACGTCCGCAAGTTCGGTTTTCCAAAAAAACTTAACTCACAACACTCGCGTGCGAGTCGAATGTCTGCCTTCTACTCACTATTGAAATAAGCAAGGTTCACGTTGCAACTTTTTTAATCAACAATTTTTGCGGACCCTCATACTAATTACAACGGTCAAACTATAGTGTGTTTTATTTACTACTAACGCCACCTATGTATTACAAATAAGAAACTAAATATTATACAAAGCTAAAATGAAATAATTGTAGAATTTGTATTTATGTCTATGATAATAAAAGCCTTTTATTAAACTTTATCTAATTTAACTTTATTTAACCAATTTCTGTAAAGTTGGATATAGTAATTTTTTTTTTTGAAAAATAACGTCATAAAAAAGTTTCATTTCTTACGAGTGTACGCTAGTACACGCACACATTTTTTTTATATGCTTTTCTGACAATGTTATGTATACTATAACTCTCATTCAGCTGCAAATTCCTATTATTGTAGTTCGATTACATGTAGAAACATTAACCATTCAACGTGAGCGATCGTAACAGATCTTTGGTAAATGTCAAGTAAAGTTCATAGCGTAAGCGGGCGAGCGAAAGGTGCGGTTGAGTGGGGCAATAAAATATTTTTCGTATCCTTACGTTTGGAGTCAGTGGCGGTTTAGTGAAAATGTTTCTTACGTAACATTGGCGCTGTTCAGAATGACATTTCGGGCGTGCTCCTCGCATTCTGTTTGTCTTGATAGCTTAGTGGTTAGAGCGCCCCCCGCTACGGTGGGAGACCCAGGTTCGACTCCCGGTCAAGACCACGGATGCGGGCGAGCGGTTCTGTCGCGACGCGAGAACAACTATCACTTCATTCGCGGACACTCGACCGCACTGTTCGTGAAATATCCATTAAACGGCGCTCAATAAATTCGCCGATGGCAAGTTGATCGAATCGCCGATCACAAAGCCCGACCCTAGCTAGGCCCCTCTCCCTTCCCCTACCTTTCGTCGACCGCTCTCAAGAGATTCTTATTTAGATTTGCTTCCGTCTGATTGCTCTTCGTAATCTTTTCGCAAGGCTATGCGTTGCGTGCGTGGCTGAAACTAGACACATGGCCGCCGACAACATGTGGCCACATGCCACCTATATCATTCTCTTCACAAACACCATCATTGAGCAGCGGTTCCCACCGTATTGTCCAGCTCTATTTGTAAATCTTACCATAAAATACTCATATGGTTTCAGATTTACTAGTCAATAGTTTAATCAATCAAAACATTTATAAAGTATGTATATTGTAATTGGGATTCATATATATATATATATATATATCTTATCCTTTAAACGAGCAATTCTTGTATATATATATATATATATATATATATATATATATATATATATAATCGGAATCTCGGAAACGGCTCCAGCGAAAATGAAATTTAGTATGTGCATAGATTCGGGGGCGAAAAATCGATCTAGCTAGGTTTCATTTTTAGAAAATGTCCTTTTATCCCTGTTTTCTGGGAATGAAAAATATAACTCGAATATGACGGTAAATTTCGCCGCAAGAGAAAATGTCATAATAGCTCGGTCGGTAATCGGGCGGCCCCAAAACAGACGGCCGTGGTTCGCGTCACGATCATTTACACATTTATTTTTTTTACTTTTTTTTTTCGATTCCAGATCATTGCTTTCTTTATATTAAATTTTTTGTCGATTTGTTATTTTGTTATTTTTTCCCTTTTTTTAAAAGTTCTTTTTTTGTGAAAAACATCAGTTCATATTTTCTTATTATTACGTCGGTAAGATCGAAAAATATTATACATATTTCATTACTCAGTAATTTGTATCTAAATGTAATTTCCAAACTACACGATTTACCAAAAAAAAAAACAAACCTCCAGGTCCTCCAGGTACTATATATATAAATGAATCCCTATTTCCCTTGGTCACGCCACCACGCGTGAACGGCCGGACCGATTTCACTTTTTTTTGTTGTGTTTGTTATTATCAGGAGAAGGTTCTTATGAAAGAAAAAGTTTAAAAAATTGCCTGAAAAAGTCTAAAAACAACACCTTTCTATATACCCGTACAAAAGATTCGTAATAATACTTAAAAGTCAATTTGAACTTTAATACCATACCATAAAAATCTAGTGGAGGGGTTCCGGGAAGGCAAAACAAGTGAGTGACTGTGGTAAAATGTCACTTGAAATGTAAACGTCTCTTTGGTGTGCATCACTACATAGTATAAAACAAAGTCGTCCCGCTGTCTGTCTGTCCCTATGTAAGCTTAGATCTTTAAAACTACACAACGGATCTTGATGCGGTTTTTTTTACTAGATAGAGTCATTCAAGAGGAAGGTTCATATGTATAATACATTGCACCCGTGCGAAGCCGGGGAGGGTCGCTAGAAAGTAAATAAAAATTAAATTCAACAATTAGTATATCTGCGTATCTGTAATTGGTAAAGACTAACACTCTGATGACGTCGGCTGATGATGTTGCCTTTCAGTCTCATAGAAATGTTGCTTTAATACTAATTCTTGAATATGCAAATTTCCTCCTGATGTTCACAATACGACTAAGCATATGGTATCTTTATTTAAGATAGTGAGTGATCCACAATTTTGTAGATGCGGGAACCGGATTTGAACCCAAGTTGTAATGCTCAAAAAGAGCGCCCGGCACCGAGCTGCTCTCTGCTCTGAAGTTAATTAAAGCAGTACCTGGAGGACTGAACTTTGTTCTGTTTTTTTTTGGTAAATCATTTATTTTGGAAATAAAAAATCTGGTATAGAAAAAAGTAAAAAATAAATAAATGTGTAAATGATCGTGATACGCACATACTAAATTTCATGAAAATCGCTGGAACAGTTTCCGAGATTCCGATTATATAATATATATATATATATATATATATAAAATCGGAATCTCGGAATATATGATATATATATATATATATATATATATATATATACATATTAAACGATTAAAGGATAAGATATTAAAAATTAAAAATAAATTGAATTAAAAATAACTCCGAATTACAATGCACTCGACTTTAAACTATCTTCAATCTTTTGAACTGCGATGCACAAAGGAGTAAATACATTATATATTTGATTAAAAACTGATTTTGTTTTACATTTATGTGTATTTACACATTTTTAATATTCTGTTTTTTATAAATTTTTAATGCATTTTCTTCTATAACATTTCTCGTATTCTCTTTGTTATTATAATATTCGTGTCTGCGTCAGTGATGCAACAATGAATTTGAATATTTAGCAAAACTTCCGTGAATGCTAAAACCCTAAAACTAGAGCAAATACAAATAAAACATCTTATCATTCTTTATTTAAAGACTTTTAAAAATTTAACAAGGATTATTACAACACCTATCGAACCGCCCGTTGTAACAAACTAATAATCAGTTTTTTTAGACAATTTTTTGGAGACTTCATAGCAGATTTTAGAACTATCCAGAAACACAAGTATCTGACAATCTAACAACAGACCGTCAAGTATTGGCTCGGAACGAGATTGTAACACGTCAACGTGTTGCGAACGAACGGGCGGGAACGGGGTCCGGGACAAAAATCCCACTGCACCCATCCATATCGAAAATAAAATTTGAAGATTTATGCACGGCGGTAGAGCGATGCTGCGTTGCCGCGCACCGGGGCTATTTTCAACTGGGTTATGCTTTAAATAGCGCATTACGATAGGATTTGGTTTCACGAGTTTTTCCCCGTTCCCGGCCCCCAGGCCGTCACGCCCCGACTGGCGGCGCCCACACGAGGAATTTCACCGCGAGATACTCCTCAAACACTCTATTACTATCGTGGTGGCAGTTTATATACAATGCGTCTGATGCGGTTTGCGTTTACGGCCAACGACTGCCTCACGACAACCTTCAGGTGGGACAGTAGTGAAGTGTTAACTGGTATAAATATAAATATCGAGGTACCGTAGAAGTAATATCCTAGAAGGAATTTTTATACGTAGAAAATTATTTCGTGCGAGTAGGTTTTTAGCACTATGAAACAGTTAGCTGCTATTTTGGAACAGAATATAGAGCTCGTCGCACTGTAAATGTGTCTATCACATTTTCAAAGCACAAAAATTTTCTGCCTACACAAATGTAAAATATTAATAACTGCATTCAAAACGCGCTAAGTCGAAGACAATGTTTAAATCAAACATTCACAGTCACCGTAGCAAAATTAGTCTTGGAGGAAAATCTGTATGCAGATTATACGTTCTCATCTTCGCTTGATAGTTAACGTAAAATGTGTTTAACTTCACCTCATTACGACATTGTAGCTTGAGTGCAGTTGTTCCCTCTACTCACTTAATCGGTTCTTCAGTGTATAATTACTGCGAACGAACACTTTAGGGACGCTTATGTGATGCTACTGTAGGGCCACTGTACATTCACAGGCGGCCGTCGCTCGCGAATAACACGCGGCGTTCGCGTGAGCGGCCGCCGCGAGCTTGCTAACCCGGCAGCCGCTTGAGCTTGGCTCCGGGGCGCACCGCCCGGAGAGTAACCAGTGTGTTTTGTTGTTCGCAGAGTTGAGGCCCCGCACCGCACCGGCTTGCTCGCTGACCGCCGAGCCGCTAATCTCGCTTCCCTCGCCGCCCGCCCAGAGCCGCACGCCGGCCGCCGCCATGCCCGCGCACCAAGCACCGCTCGCCCTCCACTAAACTCGACCGTCGACCGGTATCGATACGATCGCGTGTGATAACATTAATCAATAATACCCGCCTAAACGAGCTTGCGTCGCCGTAGCCCGATTCTAACTCAGCTGCCAATTAATATCGATCATCGGCCGCCTTCCGCCGCGAACCCGCGTACCGTTGCCGCGTGTGCAGTAGTGTGTGCCAGTGTGCAGCGTCGCACCCATTGTTTCGGAGGTGCATGCTAAGAGCGCGTGGGCGCGCACGCCCCGCGGCTTATGCGCCGCACCCGCTCAGCGTAACTGCGTGCGCTACCTCCGCCCCCGGCTCCAGTGCTAACGATGGCAACCATGGTGAACATGAATAACCTCCTCAATGGCAAAGACTCTCGCTGGCTGCAGCTGGAAGTGTGCCGCGAATTCCAACGGAATAAGTGCTCGCGGCCCGACACCGAATGCAAGTTCGCGCACCCGCCGGCGACCGTCGAGGTGCAGAACGGAAGGGTCACCGCGTGCTACGACAGCATCAAGGTCAGTACGATCATATCCAATTGGATCGTTTTCAGATTATTATTCTAAAAGGAGCGGAAAACTAATGATACGCAATTGCGACATTAAATCACAGTTCCAAGGCACAACCCTAAAAACAACATTTCGCCGGCGCCATTTCGTGCCGACCTCGGTGCCAAGGCTGGCTTGAATGACGTCATCCGCCCCACCGTAACCACCGCCGTCTAACATTGTATAGGAATTGGCTTTGCGCTAACATAATGAGGCAGGACGATGACTCGGCGACGCCTTCATTCGAAGCGAATCTAGACGTATTCATTTTTTAAAGTCACAAGTTACTTAATTAGATGCCTCTTCAGTTTCGAGGTGCCTTTTTTGCTTCTACTCGTGTGAATTTTAATTAGATCGTGCGCTCTTTTTTCATTCTGACTTGCTAACTTTTATCACGGTTTGAACCGAGATTCACGCGTATAGTATAATTTATCGTCCAGTTTGCCGGCACATTACGTGATACGGCGTTATCGGAGCGTGGAATGACGCGATATTGCGTTTGTGTTTCGGCCAAATAGACCCCGATAAAAATTAAAATTGACAATGTAAACACGCACCTCTGCCGTTGCATCGCCCGGGGCCGAAACTGATAAGGCATTCAGTGTGGCTGCCTATAGAGAGTACTGTTGAAAAAATGCCGCGGCAAAATTCATTGAGAGTGCGCTAAATTTTGGATTATTCGTTTTAAACAAACCGGGTATTATTGTTATTTATTGTGTTGCGGTGCCCGTATATATTCGATCGTGTTGGAAACTCATAACATCGTGTGCCGAGCCCTTAACAAAGAGATTGAATTGGGCCGGCGCCTCTTAATATTCCTCGTAGTATTTCCCTTTGATACTCGCCTGAACAAGGTGATCAGGAGATAAAACGCGAGTCAGGCTCGCTCGCTTGTCGGAGATTACCACGCTCGGCGCGGAGGTGGCATCCCCCGTTTGCAAAGAGAGCTACTTTCAATAGGTTCACCTTACCATGACCTGTGTTGTAAGCAATACCGTGATGGAGTTTTTACCATAAAGTCCGCGAAAGTGGCGTAAATTAATGGAATGTATCATAATTACGATCATCACGATTCCAAACAATAATTTAATACACTCCCACCTCATTAAAGAAGTTCTAAGCGAATCTCTATTCTATTTCTAATTGAAATACCGTACGTAACACATGTGAAATACACCTTGATTAAATATATATTCATTGAGATTGGCTTGAGATAATGAAATAGTTAGTTCGTTGTATGCACATAACGTGCCGTTCGCTCGTACAATGCGTCTGGCGGCAAATGAAATTTCTTCATTCATCCACGGAGGAATAGCCGCAGTCGGGGAGTCCGGCGTATTGTGTGGGCAATACGTGCTATCGGCGCGGCTCGGACGTGTGTGAAGATCGTTGCGGTAATTCGCTTAAAACCGGGCATCATGTGTAGTCCGAGACGTTAAACAATGGACGGGCGTGCATTGTGCGCGCTTTGTGCACCGGAGTATCGCACATTCCATACAATGACGCCGCCTCCGCTGCGGCCGGCTCGCCCTGATCTTATCTACTCTTTGAGAGCCATCTCCTCGCTCTTGTTGCCTATTCGATCCCGAGACTGCGGCGCCCGTTGCGTCCCTCTGTCCTACATTAATGATGTGAGAAGCGGTCGCGTCGCGTGCTAGCACGCTTCAACTGAAACGCGAAATTGTGACATTTTTTTCGTATTTTTTAAAATTGTGAGGACCGCCGCGCACTGACACAACGTCAAGGATATTGGAGATGTTGTAAATCACCGAGACTGGACATCCGGTCACATCTCAACGCACGAAACGCAAATCTATAACCACTTACTTTGCGTATATCTTCTGTAGGGATTTGGTGGAGGGTGTTAAGTTACTTTAGCATCGTAAAAGTAAAGTATATGCCAATTTTACTTGCTAAAATTGAATTTCGTATGAGAGCAGTCTCTATTTCGACGAACACGTTAATAACCGTTATAATAAGTTTATGATTATAAAATGAAATTCGCTAGTTCAATGTAATAATTCTATTAAAAACATCACCGATCTACAACATAGTAAGCATACATTTAAATTTCGTTCTACATTAACGATATTAATGTTACTAAACTAAAATATTGAATTTCAAAGCGTAAGTGGTTTTACTTGGGGTCTGTGTTTACTGCAATAAATATTAATTTCAGCGACGATGCTATTTAAGATTGGATGAATGACGCCTCTCGTATACACAAACAATTAACGGGGTCACTGGCAAAAGATGAGGGCTGGATGTGGTGTCGGTCATTACAAACTAAAGGCTTTTAAATTTCGAAACTGCTACATGACCATTGCAAACATGGGTTTTGGGATCCCACAGTAAGGTTCATGGACAATGATTATAATCTCAACAGCTTCTTTCGGCAGACAGCCTTATATAATTATATCCTTCATATCAGAATCAGTTATGGACCCAATAAATACCAGTTGAAGCGTATTAATTTTCGTGTTTAACAATATTGTGATCAGTCACCAAATAATAATACATTAATGTAAAAGTTATTAAATGCCTGAACGTATTAATAATGAACAAACGTATTTTATTCTGGAAATTATTTATAGATATCAATATTATAAATTAATAATAAGCAGTTTTTAATCATTTTTTAAAACATGTTTAATAATAAATTTGAAGAATTGACCTAACTATAATTTACAATTCGCTGAACAATAAATATTTTAGACGTGACTTTCTTTAGAAATAACGATTTCTTTAGAAATAACTGCTAGCAAGCAGTTATAGTTTGATCATATTTTACTTTTTAACCTAGTTTCTTGAACACAAATATCACATAATCTTATCAGATTGTCAGTAATTTTATTAAATGAATTACTATTCCGCGAAAATTTTCTAAATGTTGTCTCAATCATACATTTTGATATACTATTAAGAAAGATATGGCGTAACGACTATAAAATTATGTTAGTAATAACTGCATTATGTAGTAATCTTATATATAAAAATGGAATGCTGTTCGTTACTCTCGCTAAAACTCGAGAACGGCTGGACCGATTTAGCTAATTTTGGTTTTGATATATTCGTGGTAGTCAGTCGGCAGGGAAGGTTTAAACGAGGAGAAATTATAGAAAAATGGCATGGAAATAGCAGTAATTTTATTTTCCCATACAAACTGTACCTGTCAACCTGTCAAACAATTTTTAAACGCGTTCCGATTCCTCTAGAAAAAATTTATATGGCAAAACAACGTTTGCCTAGTCAGCTAGTATCTAATAATTTCTTTGGTTAAAACAGCAGAGAGTATTCAAAACAACGATATAATAATTTCGTCAGTTTAAGCAAAGAAGCTCCTGAGTTAGATCTGTTATAACTCAACGGATTTCAATGGCTCCATACGGAAATGATTTTATCGTTTGCAGAACAACCCAATGAATTAAAGAAACGATATCAAACTAGCTACACGGAACCAATGTCGGCCGGAGACGCAGCGTCCAGACATGCGGGGAGAAAATAAACAAGCCGCGCACTATCGCTTTGTTGCAACGCGCACTCCATTGTCCGTCTAATCGCAAAGCAAAAATTTTATCTCTCCTGCGGCTCCTAACAGTATCGGGTTCTCTTTCGAAAATACAAAATCTCAGCTCCGCCAGCTCAGACGAGCGCTCGGAAGTTTCACTCGCCTTCACTTTATCTCAACATCGAAACGAGCGCTTTTCAACGTCCGAATGAAATTTCGAACTCTTCGTTACGTTGTCTGACAGGATTGATGATACCGTCACTGACGGTAGAGATGTCATTAACCGTAATGAAACAGAAGAAACAGAAATTGTATTATAGAGCGTTCTTTGTTTCCCAGCGATGATGCGCTCTGACATATAGCATCCTTATAAGTGGCGTTCTGGATGTGTCGCCGCAGCACAGAAGAGCGTTCAAACAAGAGCCCGCATTTATTGCCCCGAACACGTCTCCCGTGATTGAACCCTCAATTATGCGATTCAGCGAGGGGGTCATATTTGATTAGGAGCTTATCGTTTTAGCCGCCATCCACACCCACGCGTCCCGCGTCCTGATTCGAACGATACTTGCGCGTCGAACCGGATTTCGGAGCTCTCGCCTCAAAGGCGATTCTCAATTTCGTTAGTTGACATTAAAGTGGCCGTGAACAGTTGACCGCGCAATGCGCGAAGGCTGTGAGCACCATGCGCACGGATTATAGTAATAGGACAATAGAAGCCCGCAACTATTTCAATTCGTCCAAGAAAGGTTGGCTTAAAAGTTTGACAAGTTCGTGGATGGATACAGGAAGTTTTACTGAACAATGTATTTATAGAGTGACATTTATTGGTCATTAAAATATAGCGACATTGAATACAGCAGTTTATAATTTATTGTGATCGATAAACATATCCTGTTAATTATTTCACCACTTTTTGTAAATGTTAATACGCTATTAAGAGGAGGCCTTTTATAAGCAATATTATCGAGCGAACATATTACACAATATTGAAAAAAAAACAAAGTTGATTATCATCGCGCTGAGAATCCGCCACGGTGTAGTCGTAACTCCTTGTTAAACCAAACAGACAGTGACATCATCACGGTCACCTACTGCATCCTTGTGTTTTTAGCACGACTATGTCTTTTCCTGTAGCACTTGTGCTGATAAGTCGGCCGTTTAAGCAAATACGGCAGCTAAATTTTTGTTCCGGTTCATATTGTTACTGATGATATCATTGCATGGTTTTGTGTCATTTCTTTATTCGTATACATCGTGAACGGCGTTATCAGATTTATTTGTAAATCAGATAACACACGCGAAAAAGTTCAATTTGTTGTTCAATGTTGCAAGTTCAATTCTTGATCAGTAGTCTATGATGTCAAATGAACAACTATATTCTTCCTTCGTACGAATTATGGAACTTCCGTTGGTAAACGCCCTTAATATAATCATTTTTATTAATTATAAAAGAAAAAGTACTATGGAATTCAAACAGCAAATCGACTGAAATAATACTCGTATCACGGACCGCTGACTTTCTTGTGCTCTCTTAATTAATATCGTAATTAAAGTCCACAGAATTTGCGCCGTACCAATGTTATTAACACTGCTATTATTGCAGCTTAAACTCTTCTGTTTAAGATTCGTAGATCGGGTATTTCTTTTAACTAAAGCCATAGCGTATCAGAAATCGGTTTAGCTTGAATCAAAAACTTCCTTAATATAGCGGCCTAATATTATCGACTTCGTTTTGTAATAATTATGAATTATTTATAAATTTGAGAGCTATACTACGAACGGACAAAAATTTCATCAGGCATTTGTTACGGTTTCATTTAAACAGACATCCACCAGTGTAAGAATACTTAAGTTGGTTATGTAATGACCTCGGATCCGAAATTAGCGGGGCTCCCCACCTTCTTTGCCTCTTGGAAAGTATAAATCGTTTCGAACTGCTCCCATGGTGCGCGGCGAGCCCGCGTTACCGCAACATTTTCCTGTTATTCTCCGACGAACCTAGCCAACTGAATTCTTATTTTCCTCCTATAAATCGTTTAAAGCTGCAAAGGGGATACGTTGCTCTGTAGGTTGGCGCGGAATATTCGTTACGAGCGAATCAAAAACTCCCGATGCAGCCCGCCTGCTCTTCGTACACGAAACCAAGTTAAACCGGTAATAAATCGATCGCGGGGGCTTTATTCGCCTGGCCTTTCGGGGGCGTTTCGTTGCACAGCGTTCGCAGCGTTTGGTTGTACATCGCTTGGAGCGTTTTGTTACAAGGATTTCGAAGCGTTTAGTTGCACAGCGTCCGGAGTATTCAAAGGCTGAGGGTGATCCCGGCCGGCGCGCTTTGTCCGCCGCATACGAGTTGTTTTGCAGGTTGTGAACTTTGCGATGCGGCCGCACTGCACACCGAACAGATGCCCTTTCCTCGTGACGTTCGCTTTTTGAAAGCGACACGAACGTGAACGTGGAGCTTAGCCTTTCCGGGACTCAGGGGGCAAGGAATAGAGATAAATAATACGTCCAGCCAATTACGCGGCACGCTGTATCTCTCTGTGGCCATTGTTTGGTCGAACACGAACGCGATGAATAGTACGAACCCAGGCCACCAAGGCCATCGACTCGACCCGAGACCGTCAAGCGAGGTAAGCTGACACCCGCCGTGGGTAGGCAACGACTCGACAGACGTGCCCGAGCCGGCGGCGAGGCCCGTTCGGATAACCAACCGGCCGCGCTCGAGTCAACTGACACGCACGGCACACTACAACTGTCTCATTTGTCTGTACCGCGGCAAAACAGTTATAGTGAACAATTTACCAATGAAAAAGGTCCAAAGATCCGTATATAGTATACTCGTATCATCTAATTCAAAACAGTTTAAGATTCCTTCGGAGCTGTTTTGTTCTCATTCATTAAGATTGCGCAGCTCCGCGGACGTTCGCACTGCATACCATCGTTTGCCTTAGTTTTAAAAATCACTTAATCTGACCTGGATTGAACGCCAGCCTGCATCGGATAATTGCTGCATAAATTGTCGTCCCCGATTCGTTTCGGCTTGCTGCGGTTTTGTGCATTTTTTTTTCTTTTGGTACCGCCTTATGCTTGAAAACACCTCGTTTCTGTACACAATATTATTAAACGAGAGCTTAATTTTGTTCCTTTATATTAGTTAATCCGGTGTCATGCATTATTTACGGGAACATACCAAGGGGGCAAAGGAAATGCGTAACACCCGCGACTCCGCACGTCATCCCGACGCGTTGCTTATAAATAGCGGAATTCAATAAGACGTCCGACTTTCACGTCGCGCGATAAGTGGGGTGTCGCGTTCCGTCCGCTCTCCGATTTCGCCACTCGCCGCTCAAATTGCAGCCCGATCGTGCACTCCCTGCACTCGGGCGGCGCGCACTGGTTGCGACACGGCCCGAAGCATTACGCCACCACTTAATTAACGCTCGCTTATAAACGACGTTACGAAATTGTCCCCCATCGATCGGCGCTATTTTGCACGCATCTCCGCCCGAACGATACGCCCAATGCAAATTTAACACTCAGCGCCGCGGGAAAATATGATTTTCATACGGGACGCCGACGCGCCCGCTCGATCTGTGCTCTCTAAAAATGTCCGTTTCTAAATTTAATCTTTCCACGGAGAGCTGAGCGCGGATGAAAAATACATTCGTGTCGTGCCCATTAGGCGAAGTATATTTTTAGATCGCACTTTTGACTCGTATAAAACTCTTACCTTACCTTTGTATAAGCTATCGGTCGTATAGCAACTGCACGGCAGTGACGTTTTTGACTATGTTACGACGACATATAAACGGGCTTATATGTGTCGTGCTAATTGTGTCCGTTAATTGCGTCAAGCTAGAAACAGAACCCGACCTCTAATTCCACTTTAGTTAACATTTCTAGAGTCGTCAATAAAAAATACCACGAATGGTTCGCGATGGCGGGGGCGGCGTGCGGCGCATTCCTACATGCCGCGCATTTCCATCCGATATTGCGCCGCCATTATCCCCTGCTCCTCGGGCCCCCCGCGCCCCCCGCGGACCCAACTCCATCGCCCTTTAATTAAATGGTGAGGCCCGAGAGACGCGGCCCTACCAGCTGAAAATCCTGTACATAACTCCAGATCCACAAAAAGCTCTAGCGGCCTTCGAGGAAACACAAATCTATCAATAATCTACCCAATGAGCTAGCCTAAAGTAGAAAAGGATAACTTAATTTGTCGAGAGGCTAAAGAAAAAAAATATAGGCGATTCTTACTTAAGGGACGAAAGAATTATTTACCCGGCATTTCTTTCTTAGAAGAAGTTTCTCCCTCAGGCCTAGGCACAAGGCTCTCTTAATGTCTCCCTTGAGAAGTTGACTGAAATGCGAAAGAATTTGTTTATCCTCTCAGTGCACTAAGTTTCATTCGAATCCAATAGAATAACTTTAAGCCTTTATATTAATTGAAGAAGTTTCTATGGTACCTACGAGGGGTAGAACGGTGCGTATTATTTAGCAACATTAACATCCTTTCTCAGCACACCCGTAATATAATAAAGGCGTCTCGAACAGAGCCCGTAATGATGGCAGCGAAACCACGGCGCGAGGTGGCGGGGTAATGTGCGTAGCTTTATCTCATGTGCTCATTTGCATGCGGAGTGTATCAGCCTCGACCTTGGCACCTTGCATCATGCTCTAAGCAATGAATTTGTGACTAGTGTTCGATGACGTGCGAAACCAGCTTTCCACTACGAATAAGTCGATAATGAACACTCACATTGTGGTATAATAATAGCTGTCACAGATTTGTATTAGTAATAAAGCTAATAAATAAAACCAACGTCGTCGATCATAATGCAGAGTTAATCTACCATATTTAAGCCTCTGAAACTGGTTCACTGTATCAGCCTGTTATCACGATTTATTTTTCTCAACATTATTAACAAAAAATCCTCCTTTTTGAAGTCGGTTAGTGATATTCCATTTGGGAGATTGAAAAACATTGACGTCGTAAGCATCATATAAGCTTCAACAAACCGTATGCTCCACTAAGAGAAAAGCGTATACAACTGACACATGTGTCAAAGATGTTCGGCACGAAATGTACGTTCACACGCTTTCAGCAAAACGAGAATCATGATCGGCGCCTTGTTACTCCGGCACCGTCGATCGTGCATTTATGGGCGCATACGTTTGCACTCGATGGAAGCGTTGACCCCGGACGCGAGGCACCAAAAAGTCGCCGTCGACGTCAGGACAATGGGGCCTCGCGCGATGGTCCCCGCTCTCGGCGCGATGCTATCTCCGCCGCCAGTGAGCCGGTGACATTCTTAGCGATCCCTATCAGTACCCGGGTCGACACCGCCGCCTCCCCTCTCCCCGAACAACTCGAATGACGGGCAATCGCTTCGCGAAAGTGCATTTTCAGCCGGGGGCGAAGCTCGCCGTCTATGTGCTACGCTCTAGACCCTCCGACGTTTTACATGACAATTGCGACGTCCCCGGGGCGGGTATCGCAATATTCCATTGCTCCACTTCGACGCTATCTCGGAACACTATTCCTTACTTTTGCATTAACCAAAAATACGACGAACAACACATAACTTATACAAAACTGCGAATCGATCTGGATACCTTGTTACTTTCGAATGTAAACATTTTACGTCGCTATCTATATAGTGCGCGTTATTATTGTTTGCGCCGAAACGTATTTGTTATAACGAAGTGAAAGTCGCGGGAAATGGGTGAGCTGCGGCGAAATACACTGACATTTACCTTAGTGAAAGGCGTGAAAGTTTAGCCGAGACTAATATATGTAACGTTCCTTGGTGGGCGACTGTTGACTAAACAAAATTCCGCCTCGTAAAGGGTCAATAACTACATGGGGGGCAGGAGCACAGGCTCTTCTTTCGCGTCTCTGTTTGCATAATTGAATACTAACGCTCTCTAGTCGCGTCACGCGCGCCTCCAACCAACTTAGCATCCCTAATTGCCCTACGTATTATTTGCCAATTAAAGTAAATTCTCATAGCGGACGTGATGCGCAACCGTTATTATGTCGTAGCTAAGAGATTCCTTGTTTAATAACAGCCCTAATTAATGCAAATAGGATCAACAAACATATTTGTAAATGCGATGCGACTTATTTATCAGTGTAAATGCGAGTCAATTTTTACTACATAAATGTATTGAGATGCCCTCATTTCTAGTAAATTATCGTTTTCAGTGTAGACATAAAGACAATTAAAACAAGACTGCATTAGTTTATAATTAACTTCCTGGGATAGTTTTATGAGTTTTTAAGTATCTTTAATAATTAAGAGTTTTTAATATAGTAAAACGCCGATTAACCGATTCGTCAATTATCCGAATCGGTCCTAAGCGTAATAAAAAAAATTAAATCGAAGTAATTTTTGTTTTGTTTTGATGTAACAAGTTGGAACTCGCTGGAGTCCGGATATATTTCAACTGTTATGGTTGAAAGCTCAAACTCTGATCGAGATGTTCAAGTGAGCGTTATTGTAGAACTGTTTTTGTTAAACTTAATAAAGTTTATTGTATGTGTGACAGTTCGTTTTTCTTTATTAACAGTCTATGTCCGATTACCCGAATCGACCCCGGTCATAATTAATTCGGATAATCGGCATTCTACTGTATATCATATTTTCTTAAAGGCGTTATTATATGCTTCCTATGCTGTCTCTTAAGCACAAAAGAACACTCGGGCTTTTGTGATATAATTTATTTAGACTAACCACAAAATAACCGTTTACCCTTAAAAAAATGAAAGTAATATAAGGAAATGGATTCCACGTTTAAATTATACTTCCAGTGAACTTATGTGTGTTGAAATAGGATACACTTGTATATATGTAAATATTTATATTTCATTTATTAAAACATGAACGTATCGTAAACGTTGATTGGCTGTCTGCTAGCTCGGGCACCGTTATTAGTAAGTATTTCAGATTGGTTCGAAACACGTTTTAGTTGGCTACTGTGGTTGATACCGAAATCTATCGACCTATGTATATTGAAAACTTTACACTTCTTTTATGCAACACCATTGTTGAGATTAAATATTTAGGGACCAGTTCAAGGCCTTTTAATTTTACGAACAATAACAGTTTATTTTTAGTAACAAGAGATATATATAATAATAAGTTAACAAAACGGAAAACCGTCTCATTTATAGCCCGACATTGACGGGGCAAGAACCGATAGCCTGTCACTGGTATCATAGTACAGTAATAGAATAAAATAAAACCTGATTTCAAAATAAGACCTTCCAAACTGTAGAACGAATAGTTTTCGCATATTTTAAATTGCCATTACACTTATGAATGCAGAGAAAAATGCGGTCACGTGTCCTATAACGACCGAGATCTCCGGCCGAGTTTCATTTACATTGGCACAACAGAATTCCGTAGCGTTTCAGCTCGGACCCTGCGTGAAGCGTTAGGAATCCAAGGCCAGTTGTGTCGCGTAGAAATCGAGTTCCTGATCCGTCCGGGAATGGCTCGCTCGCTCCCGGCCGCTCGGCTGGAATGCGTGCAAAATAAACGAGTATAACCGGTTTCCTTGCGCATCGTGCGCTTTGTCCACTTGGCGGTAGACGAAGCCTTTATCCGTCTCTTTCGCACGCTCAGATTTTATTTTATGTTATTTACATATCACCAACATCCAGTCCCGGATGGCTGCGAAAACTTCGCCGAAAGCGCAGGCCTTTGTCGAACTGCCATCGAAGAGTTGGCAGTAGTGCTACGAATATAGCATTTTTTTATGTGAAAAGTTGCTAAGCGAGCAGACGGTTCACCTGATGTTAAGTGAATACCGCCGACCATGGACATCTGCTACACCCGAGGATTCCAGACACGTTGAAAACCTTTTGAAGATTGGGCTCCGGCCGCCACACTCACCAGACGAAACGCGAAAGTATTATACTTCCACTTTACGCCGATCTTCTGTGAGGTCGTGGTACTTACCCGGACGAGCCTGCCCATTCGTGCAACAGCCGAGTCTGCTGCGTGGCCCTATCACCGTTAGCATATTCGACTCCATATCAGATCACGACGATAAATTGATATTGTCATTCGGGAAATAACTCGACGAAACAAAAGGTCTCTTGGACATCAATCTACAATAATCATCTCTGTAGTCTCCGTGTTCCATTTCAGCCGGGCCGAATACTGTTCTCCAATGCGCTGTATTGCATGCGCTGAAAACATACTAATTTAATTTGCACTCAAAGGGCGCGTGCTGACGCGCCGAACGATATGTCATGCATAAAACAAGAACCGATAGCCGACAACGCCCATAAATCTCGTGATGGGCGACGTGATGCATTGCCGCCGATCAAATCATACGCCAGGCATCCCCCGATTACGGTCTAACGTACCACCACTGTCCGACTTCGCGTTTATGTCTCGATTATAAAACTTTTTTTAGGACTACTTTTAACATTCTAGAGAACAGTTCTTCAGCATTCCGTGCATGGACATCCACAACACCCACAACTGCAAGCTGCGTTGTCAGTATTTAAACTGGTTTATACGTCTATTGGATTATTAGTGCTTCTTTACGTCGATTTTGTAAGGCCGTACGTACCTGATCGAGTGGACCCGTCAATGAGAAAGCAGGAGCTACGTAGCTCCCGAGTAAAGCACATAATTAAACATTACCGACTCTTGTGTTTCGTAAGTAAATTTGCAGTGTCGTGGACCGAAACAGGTCTGTGTTGGCGCGACCGTGTATGGAGCGTCGATCACTTCGAGAGTCAGCCAGCCTCTCACAGGCAGACGCCGGATGGATTAGCGCCGACTCACGGCATCTGTGCCTTTCTGATTGGGTGAACTTTAATTCGAGACGCTTCGGGTCACGTTGAAACGTCTACAACTGTATACGAAACTCCGCGGCTCTATCTAATCAAAATCTGAGGAACGCCGTTTGAGCTTTCCGTTCACTTTTAGAGCGAATGCACAACAAATCGCTTCTCGATTACGTTGGTGATACAATTTGACTCGATGATTTAAAATTATGTATTCTTACATAATAACCAACGGTAGAGGGGTTATAAAACTAAATTTTATGTAAATTAAACACAAGGTGCATGATGAAACATATTGATTCTAAGCTTCTTCTCATTCAGATTCTTATTGATGAAAACAATAATTATATTGCTATTGATAAAATAATCAATTTTAAATACACTGAAAAATTCTTTAACTTCTTATTTAATACATGAATTAACGTTAATTAGATTTCACATTGTCTGAGTAATTTGCGACCTTAAAAAAAAAAGCAATGCCGAATTTTATCTCTAATAAAAATTCGGCCTGGCCAAGTCACAAGAACCGAGTCATTCACTCTGAATTTCAAGCTTTAGAGCTCCGAAACTCAGTAGAAGTCGAGAAAAGTGGGTCAGTTTTGCATGTGACTTGACAGCCACACATAAATAAAAGTCTTTGACTTGTTGGCTTATACTTGGCTCGTTAACCATGCAATTCTTCCATGGCGTTATAGGTGTGAAGCAATTTGCGGTTACTAACAAAGTCTTCTCTTTCTCTCTTGTATTACTAATGCTGGGAGTGAAAGAGTTGATAGATGATGCCAAATTTCTCGCATTCTCATTACATGGATGATGGATCTAAGTTGTCAACTTGTGTGTATCGTTATGCGGCCCCGAAATTTTGTGCGTTTCTGCGTGGCCTTTATGAATGCACTCGCCTTAGACTGTTTTTGAAGGAATAGTGACATGTATAGATACATAGAAATAGTAGATATAACAACATAGGCGAAAGAGGTTATCGAATGGATGAATAAAAAGCTAAATGAATTGATTAGGTACATTAAATAGGCTCAATATCACGCGTCACGCGTGATCAATGTGGACGTTATCGTTACCCATATTAAAACATCGACCTTGCCGCGTGGGGACCTTCGACCGTTTATCTTTTATGATTCCCGCAAAAGTGTACGTACAATGATCGATTCATTCACTTGTTTCCAGTCTCCACGGTGCAGAAGCGCTCCGCACGCGATTTCGGCTCGCTTTGATCGCGCAGGCGAGGCGTCCGCGCCAAATCGCTCGGATGCCTAATCAGTTGTGGGACAACTGACGCGGCCCGAGCTCTAATTATTCAACACCCCAACTGCGAACGGTGCGTTGAGCGGATGAGGTTTTATTCTCGCTCACGGCTCGGCGCGGAGTGTGTGGCGCGATTATTATCGCCGCGCCGAGTAGACTTTTTGTCGGCTGGTTCGTTAGTCGGCGCGAGGTGGCGCCGCTACGGCACTCGTGCTCGAGTGCGCTCCTCCAACTCTTTAACTGCCTACATGAAGGACACTCCACCGTGCACTCTCCTATTATAAACTGCTCTTTTAATGGTTTGCGCCGATTTTAATTATTCGCCCGATTTTATTTCCGAGTTCGTTTGTACGGCGGCGAGACGCCGCGCTGTTTTGTGTTCCAATTTCGCTCGTTTCAACTTACCGATGTTGTGAAATAGTAAATGAATCACATATATCGTTGCAATTATTTACCTACAATTTAGTTTATGATGATTGAAAGTTCGGGTATAAATTGTAGGTCTACTGTTGCGTATTCGACTAGGTATTCAGAAGCATTAGGCGGCTCACTGCTCTGGCTCATAGGGTCTATGATTACTCGCGCTCAATAGCCCGGCGTCGTGTAGCGTTATGAGTCGAAATTGTTTCCCGCGGACAATGTGCGCTCTCATTCGGTCGCCGTGCACGGGCTGCGGTTTCGGGCGGTAATCCCGTTAGTCCGCAATCGCAATAGGCCGGCCGCGTCCGACGGAACCCATTAAGTGCGCCAGCTCGCCCCGCGTCGTGTCTGATGCGCTGGCAGCGCCGTTGCCAACCGCAGCCTTCGACGACGCACGCACGGCGTCGGACAAATTGGATAATACACTTAAAGCACAATCGTGCCATGAACGCGCCGTAATCTAGTGACGCGGCTGCCGATGAGCGTATTAATTTGTCGCGGATTCGGGATTAGCGGGTGTCGGCGCGGGGGCAGGGGGGAGGCAGGGGGCGCGCGTGATGCGATCACCGGCTTACCGTGTTGATTTAAAGCGCCCGGGCTCTTAAAATTACACCCCGCGTTTTGTTTTGATAGGCATTGTCGGCGAAATGCATTTCCTACGATAAACACTTGCAGCACGGCGTGCAGCGTACCCATGTCGTGGCGAAAATTAAGGCTTTAATTAATATAACAAGAAATACATATGTGCTAAAACTCACCCATGTATTAAAAAAAATTGTTGGTTTTCAGAACGTCATAAAGGCTTCCGCTTCCTAATTGTTGACATCGACAACATACATTACTTTGTAATTGTAATGCAATTAAGTGAATCTGTTATAAAATATCCGAAAATCTATACATACCTGTCTGCATTCGTATTAAAACGAATCGCGACCCGCGAATTATAAAATTATGGCTCAATTTATCATAACTGATAAATTGAGCCATAATTTTCACTTAAAAAACAGGCATTAAGTTTTAACTATTGTTATTGAAGACTTGTTAATTACTTTATTTTAAGAAAGTTTTCCTTATTGTTTCATTACACACATATAAATTAAAGATATCGTGTATCGTTAACATTGACTGTTGAACTGTCTATCAATAATTTCATTTCTGAATATTTTAAGTTCTTGTTCGTTAATCTTTCGTTTAAAATAATACAAATAGTGTTTAAAAATTAAAAGTGCTTCCAAGTTTCTCATACGTTTCTAAATCACTTATGATGGACGCTACTTTGGAATAGCTTGCGTTGACGTTATCGTTCTTGCTTCGACCGATGGCTGAGCGGACAGGTTGTCACTGATCAGGCCCATATTTCTTAGTTCGGCGTGCGTTACTTGACGCCCCCTACTCCGTCTTCCAACTTTCGCGGCGTAGCTCCGGAGTGTTTCGCTTTATCCAAAGTTCTAAACTGAGCGCTTTAGATTCTTATTGTCTCCGCTGGATCGCTTACCCGCGTGAAATTCAAACATACAACGTTGCACTCGAATCCGCTAATAGGGCCGTCGACTGTGCGGAGTTCTTGCGGAGTGAATGCGACCCGGCCATCAAAGCGTTTCGCGAGCTGTACTCTTATGTAACAGACGTCTTTATGTTGCGTCTTGGCAACAAGAGGGCGACCGTTACGTGTGCTATGTGTGAAGGCTACTGGTTTGTCGGATAGCTCCGCCCTATGTTGATCCTCTCGGCGCACCTCCCTTCGCTTTATAATGCCCCACTTTTGAATGCCCACTTCAGTGCGATGAATTAAAACGCCTTTAGATGTTTCTTCGGTCTCGCTTAGGCACACGTGGCTTAACGCCTTTAGCAAGCATGTTTAAATATTGTTACTCGTACAGGACAGACGTTTCGCAAAGGGATGAAGAAGTTTTATTTTTAGGCCGGGTCGCGGCGACGGACACCGCCGGTTAACTTGTCACTCACTTTTGATGTATTGTTGTTTTTGTGTAGTTGTAAACATCATGCTCGGAAAGTTTAGGGTCCGGGTTCTCCCGTGTCTATATTTGATGGTCGTAAAACCTTCGCCGACGTCCCTGTTGAAGCTGTAGATAAATATCCACAAAGGGCTATTCCGCCAACAAGTTTCCATGTGTCCTCCAAAATTACCACAGTTCAAAGTAGCTCTATGCTTGTTATGCTACTGGTTATTAGTGTTCAAGGTTCGCAGATGAAAATGCTTTGTACCAGCTGTTGAATTTTCATAAATTTAAGTTACATTTGGGTAAGATATACGATAACCTATGATATAGGAAAAAACGGAAAGCAGATTAAAATTTAACAACTTCATTTCCCTGTAGTTGGTAATAGGAGCGTTGTGTTTGTATGGAAAGTGTTAGTTACATATTTGTATGACATAATGTCTCACTTTATTCCCATATTTGTTTTGCCTTACACTTGATATCGCAAAGCTTAGTATGCAATGTCTGCAAATGACTTAGCCCGTATTCCATCTTTCTCTCAACTCTCTGCAGTTACTCGTGTATACTTTTTTCTCTAAAATAACCTCTTGCATTTCCGTTATAATTGAGATTTAAGTGATTGTGTTATGTAGATAATTTCCTTTCCTTCCTTTCATTTCAATATCTTATGCATCTGGCACAAATCTTGTGGTGCTTTTAAAATGGCTGGTGGGTAATTTATGAATGCCATAAGGTTGACGCCCCTTTACTTAGGCAGCTATGTCTGGTACAAAAGTACTGGCGAAAGTCTTGATAATAGAAACATATATAATGATACATGATTGTGTTTTAATTCTTGCGTTTTAAATATCTTCCATACTTTTATACAATTTTTGTTCGACATTATAGATCTACAACCTTAAGTTTTCATGAACCAAAGAACCCAACGGACTGCCATCACTGGAAGAATAATGTTATAATAACTAAGAAAAGATATTTCTAAGAATCTATATTTACAATAGTTTTGCCTTTGTTCGTGAGACGTCTTTCAATCACTTATTTCTAAATCGTTTGTGAGGTCTTGTAGATCGTTATTAAAGAAATTTATAAAAGCCGAGATCAAATCCGAAATGTTTCTCTCACGCAGCAGCTTTTCTTGTGAACAAAGGCAGGCTAGTTTTCTAAGAGACCAAATTGAAGCAGATTAATTCTTTACTGACAAAATTTTCGACGAGAAAATTAAATGTTTGCCAACGCAAGTTCCATAAACATAACAATCGATGAAATCGCAAAACAAAACAGATCATTATTTCTCTGTACATTAAAATCTCCGACCGATCCAGCCGGCTACAAAGCGCATTCAAATTAGTGGTGAGCAGTTGTTAATGAATGGCGACAGATTGTAGGGCGTCATTGTGCAGGATTACGGAAGCGGAGCTCGATAGTAAAACAATGGCCGAAGCCGCCGGTTTACAAGCCGATCTCGGGCGAGATAGCGCCGGGATGCAGGGAATAAACAGCGCGTAAAGTCATCTGCGATTAAATCCCCAAACACTCCTCCTGCTTCGCCGTTCACAACTATAAAACGTCAGCCGTCGCCCCTTGTCTGAGCCATTGTCGTATTTAATAGGACGCGCGCTCTCACATAAAAATACATTACGCGAATATTTACTCTCCGCTTTTCGTTATTTATGATACTTTCGCATTATTTAATACTTGTTTGCCGCCTCTGTTTCACTGGAAAAAGGTGAATCATCGATGTAAACGTAACTTTCGATTGATGATAACACATTCAGAATCGCAATGAAATCGGAAATTGCGATGCGAACGATGCGACCGAACAAAGAAACGGCTGAAGTGAGCCGCGTCACGCACTCGGCTCCAGCTGCAGCTACGTCGCACAAAGGCGGCTTAATATCAGGGGCCGGCTGTTCGATCGCTGCAAAATTAAGTCCACTCCGAACCTAGCGTCAGTCTACTTCACGGGCCCGATTGCGGGGCCGCCTCTATCCGATCGATCGGAACTTGGACTGGCGTCGTTGCGATCATGCGTCTCTTGCTTGTTACGGTCGCCGCACGGGACAGAGCGGTGCGTAATAACCGCGGCATGGAAACATATGACGGCCGGGTGCGCCGGCGAGTGCGTCCGTCGCTCCGCTTGCTGGAGTTTTATGTTAATGGCGGCCGATAAAGCGGGGCCCGGGCTCTGCGACGCTCATTTGCATTCATGGGCCCGCAACCCTTGCCCGCCCGCCGCCCGCGCAGCCTGACCCGCGCCGAGCCGCTGACTCTCGCCTTTCGCACAATAATTTACGACTCCCCGTGTAATACGTCCGTCCGATATGAGCGAGCCGATGAGCCCGAGGTCGCGGTGCTGCCGTTCGATTTACATATTATATTAAAGCCGCCGCCGCACCGGCCCTAACTCACCCAACTTTTCTCAATTTTTCCGCCCATAAAACGCCCCAAACGAAACTTCCTCGGCCGCAGCGCTTGGCCGGCTGTAAATACACTTTTTATAATGTACTCGGTCACTCTGTCGCCTCTGGAAACAAGGCTCCTTTTAATAAGGGCTCTCGTCTTAAGTAATGGACCTTCATAAATATCGTTTTTAATTTGACTTTGTAATAAGGAAACGGATTGTTGTTATTTAAAGCCTCGGTAACGGGAAAGCAATAAATTTATAAGGCTAAAGAAATTTTGCCATTTTAGAAATATTTCCATGAAAGTGTACTTAAAGTAGAGTTACGGCACCAGATTACATTTTTCACACATGACGAGGAATTTTACATTATGAAATAACTATTGCAAGCGTGAGCTTATTATGAAACTTTAATACCCTAAGAATTTTCACATTAAGTTCAATTTGATTGCAAGCGCTTCACGGTATATCATAACTTGGCATACTTAAATATTTGCCGTCATTTGTACGTGTGTTTGGATAGTCGTTGCGCTAACAGTAGCGTTTTTAGCTTTTACGCAAACAGATGCTAAAGAATCGTCGTTTGTGAGCACAATGTCTGACAAACACCTACGCAGCGGACCGGGCGGCCTTGACTTCGATTGGATCGTCAAAATTTTTCTCGTTATTATACTATAAAATTAGTACAACCCAGTAAATTGGCCGCTTCAATTTCTCTGCCAGACTTAAAGTAATTTAACAGACTTTAAATACACTTAAAGCATATCTATTATATTTATCTGTGGCGTGTCGTAATAAATGGCGACAATGGCGGCCGGCGTGTCCGCCGCGACGCTGACAGCTGAGCACGTTGATGGAACCTCGCGTGACGCGCTCCCCACCGCTCTGACGCCCGCTCACCCCTCTCGTTAAAACTTTCACAAATTTGACGCACGCCTGCAACCCTTTGTGTTATTTTTCTCCGTCGCCCATTACGCAGTGGTTCACAATCTTCGACTTTATCCCTTTTCACTCTTTATCTCTTGAAGGCTGCCTCGGGTTTTATACCCAGTTGGGGCCGAGCTCAGGGGTGCCACATCGGAAGATCCTTTGATTTAGTCGTATTAGCGAGTGGATCAGTTGGCGTCGAGAGCTCGGCAGAACCCCGGCGCCCGCGGACGCCTCCTCGCCCGCGATAGCGTCAATCTAACGGTCAATTAACCGAATACGATTATCTGATACGGATCCCGGACTGCGAGACGTCTTTTTCTCGCGTCGCCTCAAGACGTTCGCGCAAACTTTATTAATTAAGCCGTGTCTTATCTCTTGTTAGCACTCATTCTATTATTTGTCTTCTCACCGCTCATTTCCATAATTTCATCGGCGGGTAATTACTTACCACTAAACTGGGAAATTTCCCATTCTGTTTGCATATTTTGTCGCCGTTTGCCTTTCGAAATTTACAATTGGAAAAATCCAAGTCAATATTGGCCGACGCGATTCGTTGAGTTTATTACAAAAGTTGTGTAATTATGTACTGTGTTTCTCATTAATGGGTCTTCTTGTTGCTATGCGAGTGGCGCGTGGGGCGCCGTCCGTCCGTTTGGATTTGTATAGTGCGCATTTCGGTCATTACAGTCCGCTGGTGAGTGGAATAGCTTTTGTTGTTAAAACGATGCGTCAGTTAAGGGACAACGGGAGTGGGCCCGGGCGGCGCAGCGGCCACACTCCCCCGTTGTGTGTTTAATTAGCTTAATTGACGTCGCGAGGCGCGGTGTCCGCCAGTTTGTTTGCGATATCGCGTTACCGGGTGTACTGTCGCGCCGCACTGTCGCCGCTCAACAAGCCGAAAGGGTTCCACCGCCCAAAGCTCCCTCGGCCTAACTCTCAGCAGCCTGGCCTGAATATGCGTTATTCGTATTAAATATAAGCGTATACGTAGGCCCACGTAAAAGCGGTGTCGTATAAAGGACGAGTCAGCAACGCGTCAGGCGGCGCTACCTACAATACACTCTGATCTGCTCTTCCGCATCCCACGTGAAACGGTAAAACTGCTGCGAAATTTATTTTATTCTTTAAGTGGCTCGAATAAATTGTGCCTCGTACGTGAACCGACTGCGGGACCACCTTTACGTTATGGGATTTCGAAAGCCGCAGACTTATTTGATATATCTCTAATGTATATTTCAAATATATTAAAGCCCGTTCCATCCATAATGTATATCTTATAAGTTACGATACTTACTGTTCTAGTAGAGCTAGTAAGTTTCATATTTTCCTTTCCGCTCGGATTTCATGTAATTGGTCACATCCTTTGGCGGCTTAAGTTATAGAATAAGTTACAGTTATAATGGAGAAAGTTTACCGATCCATTGCCACTAATGAATATCTCCACTCAGCTCCCGTCATATGTAGACGCGTGTGATTAATCTCGCTCCGAACAAAGGCGCCTGATTCCGCGGACCCTCCGCACCATCGATCAAACACTACAAAGAATAAAAATATAAATAATCAAGAAAGCACCAATACTATCGTCGAAACAATGAACTGAAAGTTTCTCTATTCCCTTTGGAACAGCCGAAGGCGTCTTAAATTAGAATTGTAATTGCTTGATAAGAAATCTTGTGAAATACATTAATGTTACAAGGAAAGAAAGAAATAAAAAAAAATTACTTCTTAAAAATTATGTGCTTTCTACATGGAATAGCCTTGTTTTAAAAAACGCTGACATTGTTTAAATTTGACATCTTTGTGAAAATAAAAAAGATTTGTTTAAAGCACTCCACTACACTAAGAATATAATGAGAAAGCACTACGAAAGATAACCTCATTAACATATATTCTATAAATAAGCGATATCAATTAGAAATATAATTAATGCAAGATAAATTTAATATATGATAACTTTATAGTAAACAACCCGTGTAAAAAATGTGAAACTTTAATTTTAAAACCGCATTAATATAATATATTCTACTGAGGTACAACTACTAAGACACTCAATTGCGTCCTTGTTATTATCATATAATCCTATTGAGTAAACTTAAAATGCAATTTCAATTTAAGTTCGCAGGCGGCTTTTATTCGGAGGCATTTTAATATGTGAGTTCGTAGAGCTCCTGCAACACAGCTCTTGTGTTACCGTCTCGCAGGGGTCTCGTTCTGCACATAAATAACTTTATATGAGCGCTCTAAATCTCATTACGGCCACTGTAATAGCTACCAAGGCTCCGCTGTCGGCTGTGACGGGAATATAAAGCGAGCCTGATTTATAACGCCAAATTAACCGCATCATTGTGCAGCGCAGCGCTATGGAGAACCGAGCAAGTATCGCGGAGGTGTTAATGTGTGTTTAGTTGCGAGGTCCAACGTCGCCGACGGGCGTGTAACTGGCCAAGGCGATTACGTCACCGCCGCCCGAGAGAAAAATAATCGATATAAATGACCACCCCCCCCCCCCCCCCTATTTTTCACAATACAGACCGTACACACGCGCCAGAGGGCGTCGCTGAAATATCGAACAGAATCCCGCGCCGTAACACTGATGTCTAACATCGCCGCCGCCGCGCTTATGTCCGCCATAATACCAAAACAAATGGCCTCCTCTGTCGTCCTTTTCTTTTAGATATTTGATTTATGCTCTTAAGTTCGCGCGACGCCCTGATAGCTCTGGGGATGTGTGCGACTTAGCCTCCTAGGTTTTATATCAGCGCCCTGTAAGAGTTTCTGAGACATAAGTTTCGCATCTTAAATGCACTTCGGAAGATTATATTTTTTATTCCGTTCTGATGAAATCTGTGGTCCTTTTCTTTTAGATATTTGATTTATGCTCTTAAGTTCGCGCGACGCTCTGATAGCTCTGAGGATGTGTGCGACTTAGCCTCCTAGGTTTTATATCAGCGCCCTGTAAGAGTTTCTGAGAGATAAGTTTCGCATCTTAAATGCACTTCGGAAGATTATATTTTTTATTCCGTTCTGATGAAAATAAGAAAGCTCTTCTCGCAATACTTTTAATTGGTGAAAGCTTAATGTAGGTGTCGTATACAGATTTTTTTGAATTTTTTGTTCCGGTCTCTATTTCATCTTGCTAAATAATTATCAAAATAAAGAGAATTTGTTATTTGTCATGGTGCAGATAGATAAATATTAAAATAATTTGCCGTATTTAATTTTGCTGATCCAGTTTTACGTTGCTCAACATTTTTTTATTATAATACCAATCCAAATCGATCGTGTCGGCGTAATAAACCGGAAATAGCATCGGCGCGAGGACAATAATATACAATACCGAAGCGGACAGCTTAATGTATCCATCGAAATTATCTGGTAGTGTCAAACTGGCGTCGAGCGTTTAAAATATTTAAGGGGCGACGGAGCGCGTCGGCGGGGCCAATTCTGATCGGCGTCGTGCCGGTGCATTAACGCCCACATCGATCCACCAACCTCCGTTCGCGAACAAAGCGCGATGAAACTTTAATCGGTCGCGTTGTCTACCATCCGCCGAAGTCGGCGGGCCCCGCTATCGTGAAGATTGGGATTCGTATGCTCGGATGCTGCGCTGAATAAAACATAGGCCGAGGCCCTGACGGCCCCGCTTCTATCGTGGACGGCCCACGGTCCCCGATCAAAAAGCAGACACCAATGAAAAAACGGCGAATTGTGACGTCTAGGTTAAAATTTTGTCTATGCTAACAATAACATGAACGTTCTAAAACTGTCGTGAATGAGATATTATTCGACTGCAAAGCTAGACAATAAGGGAAAGGAATAAACTATGGGTTTTTTCAAATTTATGGATGGAAAGATAAATAAAATTCAGAAAATTATTATCCATTTACAAATTGTCTTTTCTTCTCGTGGTTAAATGCAAAATATTTTACAGTAGGTATTTGAAAGTTCTCACACCTAATGATTAGCGTGAGACGAAAAGCTCAAAAGGCTGGTAACCCCATAAATTAGATTAAGCGGTCGCCTGATGTGGCGTGACGGAAAACAGCTTCGGGACATCTAAACAAGTTCGCCCCAAATTGCTGACCACCAACATTTCTCGCACGGAGCCTTATTTGGCGAAATTCACAATTTCATTCAAACGGGACCGACCGATTTATTTAACTTCGCTGAATACTTTGCTATTGTCAAACAAAAGGTTTGTGAATTTGCTAATGTTAACAAAGCTACTCCTGATCTAAGAAATGTCTTCTGTCGCGGAAGATTTCACGAAATTGGAAAAAAAATCAGACACAAAAAACACTCAAAGAAATTTCCGTGCTGAAATCGTACCCAAAACGTGCGCAACAGCAGTTGACCTAAACTATTGCCCCATTACTGCATACATAATGCTGTTAACTTTTTATCCAATCATTTATATCTCTTGATGTGGTTTATTGTACCCACATCAAAAGATTTAAACTTAAAACTGATCATTCAGATCTGAAATCGCGAACTATCCCGCAACTCTTAAGCCTCTCCTGAAACTAATAATATAATTTGATTATTCTTCGAATGTAATTTTGCACTAGAAAAATCTCATTAAATAAGTTGTCGAGTTGTTTTTGGTTATTTTCCCCGCTATCCCGGGGCAACGGTCTGCTGCCAATCACGTTAAAATCTACATCCGGCTCTCTTGCAGCATCTATAAAATCACCCGCTCCGAATATTTTGCATCCAGTAATACGTTTTCTAATTGTATTGAGTGAATATCTCCAGGTGATTTGATGAAAGCTCGATGTGATCTTGAGTAATGTTTTGAGTTGCACGATTTGATCTGCAATTTCAGCAGATTGCATGAGTCGCGTATGCATTAAAATATCTTTTAAAGACATACATATCGAAATTCCTTTGTTTCCTCTTCTCCTTTTATTATACCTTACTTATAGGTTATAGCAAGTGATTCCAATAAAAACTTTTGTTGCCCACATTGTAAGTACATGGAACCCATATTTTTTTTTTTTTTCAAATTAATGATTTTAATTCCTTCAGTCTACGGTTAAAGAGTGTTCGTCATGTGTACCGTGGCCGCTGTATGCAAATTTTAATGTTTCATATTTGAGTGTTCATAACAATTAAGTGGGTAAACGTTAAAAGTTAATATCCATTATTGGCCAATGAAAAGCTCGCCGGAAATTTTCATAATAATGCTCCCCACTTAACCATCGGGTCATGAGGGGGTCGAATCGATTTGGGTATAGGGGGTGCGAAGCACGAAAGATGTCCACTTTCGCGTGTCTCGTTAAGGAAGCAATGTCCCCAGCCGCGGCTCCTTATCGCGCGACTCCGAGTAATGACGTCTCTGATCGTCGGCTAATGGCCTCCGCGGGCTCGCTTAGATACGCAAATGAGCATCGACGAGCGCCGCTAACTGCGAATGCACGTTACCGCTACCGACTACGCCAGCCTGCAATCCGAGGAAGCGATAACCGTTTCCGGCCGAACGAATCGACAACGCTCCGACATATCTATCTGTTGCATAGCAAGGCTCTCTGCAGACTTTCAGACTACTCGTGTCGATTCTGACAGACCTAAACGGTGACGAAACACGCGAAAACAGTCGTAAAAAGCGATGAATCGCACATTCCGTCTTTGCGTTGCACCGCTCTAAAGCAACCCGAGATGTTATTGCGCAACCGCACTTGTCCTTATATACTGAGCGAGCGTTCGAAAGTGAGTGCGCTCGATAGGCGGTGTGGAAAATAAATCCGAAGGTCTCACCGATTTAACAAGCGTAACCGGAGTGGTGAGCGTAAAATCGGCGTCGGAACACGTGCCTCGCGCCAACTGCACTCTCAAGGGCGATCGTCGCTAACGACAACGTCCAAATTGCCTCGTGGCCACAAACTAATGTTTATATCGAAGTCATAAATAACCTAATTATAATCCATAGTATAAGTAATACACAACAAAAACATAGGCACAATGAAAACCCGTTTGCCCAACGTGTAAAACAATATAGACGTCCATCAAGCCGAATTGTCTCTGTGTCGTTTTTGCGTTAACTCTTCGCCCTTCAGTGAACAACAAAAACAGTCCCCAGCCGTGCTCGCTTGACACATGTTCTCAAATGGCTTATTGCAATCCCCCCGTCCGCCTTCAACTGAATATATGACACATTTAATTCTTATCAAACGGTCGAATCTTAAGGGCTTATTAAATTTCGGTTAGTGACATTTCCAAGTCATCGTAAACGCCATCCGTTGGGGATATAGTTGGTTTGATTTATATAGTTTAATCAACGACATTTGTTTGTTGTGAAATAACTAATAACAATAACGATTGCCATTGTGATGTAATAAGAGCTACGGTGTTATTGCAGCGAACAGGGATCGTCAACAGCCGTGACTTCAGCATAACTTGAAGGCGGAGAGTCGTGTCGTTCGGCTCGTTTGTCGCGTATAATTTGCGGATATAAAATTTTATTCCGTTCAGAGCTCGAACAATCCAGACGCCCGTTACTGTCCACTTTCGAGTTACGTTTCGTATTTTATTAAATGCCCAATGGTTTTATTCGTACTATAAAACAGATAAACGCATGTCGCAACTGCGCTATTCGTGCTTTCGTTTTTTTTTTTTGGATTTACGTATAACATATGACACGTGATTCTTCGGACAGCAATACTTCACGTACCTTTTTTGAAATGTTTCGACATTTATGAAGACGAACCGCTGTAACGGTGCACTAGCTTAGAATAACAATTCATAAGCAAGAAGCCAGTACATATCAGTCATGTGAGTGATTCGCCTCGAAAGATATTTGCACGACCAACAAACACGGGGGCGCGGCCGCCACCGTGGCGCCCGCCCAGCTGTAAATGGAGTACGCTTTAATACGTAACTATGCAATAAACGTTATTGTTGTGTCATAAAGTTTGTTTTATGAAGGTCCGCCACCTCCATCCGTGACGCTTTTGAACCTTTAATACAGTTTGGTACCGCTCATAGATTTGAACTCCATTATTTTATTGTTATTGTTATCCTCATCTCTCGCCTAATAAAAGTCTCCCCTCACTGTAATGTAATGCCATTTTATTTTTCGTGCTTCAAATCGGGCGTTCACGAAACAAGCCTGGTTTGATATTTTGAAAAATGCTATATAGAATAGATGCTTCGCAAGCGCTGCGTCGTCTCGAGATCACGGACTCATGACAAAGTTGCGCTCAGCTCCGCACTTATATTTCCTAACTCGAATTTTAGTTAGCCCGGCTTTTATTCTAAATCTATTAGATTAGTTTATGTTGGAGTAGAGATTTATTGGAAGCAGTTTCTCTGTACATCATGTCTGAACTTTGATGTTTCAAATAATATAATACAGGTCCTTGTATAGTGAAATTTCACTTCACCAAAGTTCATCGTTGAATCATTTTACATTCTGCGTCTATGGTTTTTTTCTAAAGTTACACAGGGAGTGTTAGGTTGCGGTCGTTAGTAGAGTACACTGGAGACGTTAGGTCGTCATGAGGCGGCATCGTCGGCGGTGGCTGATTTGTATGTAGCTCAGCTCCGCGCCAATGCAGGGGGCGGCTCCAAGGCGATCGCCGCAATTTTTCAACGTTTCGCCTCCGTGCTCGGGAAGCCGACAGAGCCGCAGTGCAGCCTTCTGCCCCCGCCCCTCCTCCCCCCTCCCGCGCCGCACCTGCTCGCGCGCCGACCACCTACTGAAACCTGAAACTTTGATCCCCCAATCCGCCACCGCGCACCGGCGCGACGCTATATTTCAATTAACTCTACCATCCATCCAATTCACGATGCAAACTTTGCACCGCTTAGCCCGCGAGGCCGCCCCAGTACCGTCGGACTTGCACTTGACGTCACACAGCGTTCACCCGGACACCGCTCGTAAAGCGCTCTATTAGGTATAACCCTGGACAGTGTTCCCCGAATTTTCACCTCCGTAAAGTTTCGATCCCGGTACGTGAAATCCAATTAATGCGCAGAGTTTTGTTTTGCATAATAATGAGCCGATTCATTGGGACCGTTACCGGGACCGAGCAATAAGTTTCGCACGAAGCGGGACAACCGTCGGGTACATTTGTCGCAGTGGAGTCGGCTGCCGGTATTCGGGTGTCTTCCCAGCACCGGTTACTGGGCGTCCTCTATTACATTGCGATCTCAGGGGAGCGTGTGTAACTTACGTGCCATGTTTAGGCGTTTAGGTTTAAACTGCCAAAAGCCCTATTATGTAAACATATTTTTGCCTCCTTAGGGCGTAAATTCTAATCATTTGTTGGTGTTAGATACACGCAGCTACAGGAGAAATGTATTCGTATTATTTCGCCGTATAAAATTCCGAACGTACCTAATGCGCCTTGTGTAGAATTTATCGGTTCATTTCTTATTCTTATTGCGAGCGGGGGCAGAGGAGTGGCGCACGTGTCTGCCTTCCTTCGTGCTGAATCAACTTAGCCCGGCTGTCTCGCCGCAACCGAATGAGCTTAATTCGATTCCGATTGTATTAAACTCCACCACTCCACCGCTTAATGACCGAAAAATGTTCGTTAATTTTGTACAGGGACCTCATTAAGGCTGTTAGCTAATTCCTGTCATAACAAAATACACAAGTTATGCTGTTTGTTTTCGGTCGAAATTTCGAAAAAGAATATTCTACTTCTGATGACTTCTTACTCGAGTGAGCTGTGAGCTGACTTAGGGCTGACTATTTAGCGTACCAGCTCTTGACTCGAAGACACTCTTATCGTGTTCTGACGGGAAACAAAATGAGCATTGTAACAATCTCTCGGCTGTAATGTTTCATAAGCAGGGATGGGACGTATTTTTCCACGCGGTTGACAAATCGGGAGGTGTTCAACAATGACGTCACGATTTCCAAAGCGCGGGCTCAGTGGCGTGGAGTAATTAGGCGACTGTCGTAGCGTTCGCTTATTCGGTGCCATTCCGGATCGCGGCGGGCCGAACCTTAAAAGGCATTGGGCTGTTTTGTCCGACCCCAATGAGACGAACCGCACATCCTTTAATGAGCCCCTCCCCCCTACATTTTTTCACCCCCGTCCCTAGCCGTGGCCTCTAGGGCATCGCGCGTTCTCAATTTGAATTTGTTAACTATAATTAAAACATTTGTCATCCAAGATACATTTCACCAGAAACTAGGAAAGCTTGAAATAATAATCTACCACACTGAGAGACTTATTTTATTGTCGAAAATGCCAATAAATTTGTTTTCATGTGTGCGTTTAAATATTTATGATAAGTCTATAGGACTAAACTCCAAACATAACACACAGAAAAATGCATCTTGATGCCAAAGATAAGGATAATACCTCAGAAAAGAAAAAGCAATCACGTGGACTGCTGGTAGAAGTGAACACTGGTATAACTGGGTTATTTACTTTAAAATCACAAAACAAGAATTTAAATTGCAAAAATCTTTTTTTTATTTCTGACAATTTAAACCAATAAACAATAAATTTGAGCACCTTATTAAATATTTTATAAAACATGCATTTATTAAAAATGCATTTTAAACTAGTTCTTACGGAATTACAAAATACAGATTTTTTTACAGAAATCAAATATTAGAAAACCAAATCAATAATATAAAAAATTTTAATTCACCAACGTCAAGGACACACAGGACATTACCAAGTCGGTGACACTAATTTTTCCCTATGAATTTTAACCCGGCATAAATTTTCCAACGTGTCTTTAGAAATTTTTCTTTAAAAAAGTTTATTGTCACAGTAGTCAACAAATAACAAAGTTAGTTTTACCTGTTTATAATTAAAGCACTTTCGTATGAATCTTGGAGCAGAATACATAAACATTCGTTTATTTTGTATCACAATGTCTACTATTTATATTTCAAGTAGCTTTGTAAACCTTGTCCAGGTTTAGTCCGTAAAGCTTAATATTTACAAAAAGCTAATATTCGCAACGGTTAAGGTTTTGTAAGTTACGTTTAATCTTCATTTATACGGGATCTAACTCTATGGCCTAATTTTATAAAACAATTATAGCGCCCGATTTTATCTTTTATTTTTAATTTTCAATATGTCGATAAACATACCAGTCGTACGGCGCGAGAAAATTACCTCACGAAGCGAGTTCGATTCGTATACCGCATGTAATTCCACATTTTCGCACCGGCAGCTTCCCGTGCACACATTAAAGTTTTTGCCGTGCCCCGTTGCCTATTCGCGGTTAATTTTCCAAATTCAATTTCACGGCCCGTTCCGTAAATACTTTGTTTAATTGACAATTGGGGCATCGTCTTCGCTTTGCGGAAACTATAAATTATTCATACACAGCCGGTTGAGAATAGCACGTTGACGTATGTACTCCAGACTCCGTAGAGCCCGATCGATGCATATTTGCCATTATTTCATTAACAATGTATAGGCCAGGAACGGAGTATCTTAGCGTACGTGTGATTAATTACTTGGCGTCATTAATGATGACAAGAGGCGGATGTGTGGTAGGGCTGTATGCGGTTGTAAGGCGATACTGCGACACCCGCGCCGCGTCCGGGGCGTCACGCAACACCCATTCGTCATGTACAGTCGCAAGCATTCGAATATTTACATCTCAATGTCACGTGATGCGGTGCAAAGCCTCTCTCAGTTCAAATATAAACTCGACTGTACCTACTTACCATATAGTCGGCGTCACAGTCGTTTATCATTAACGGCGCTGCAGTCAACGTTGTACCAAATCACACAATGTTTTATTGACGGTACTGAAATACTATCACCAAGCATCATTGTAAATTATTTTTTATTTATTTTTTTTATTTATTTATAATTTATGTACACAGAGTTATGGCAGAGATGTAAATAGATGAAATAATTTGTACAAAGGTCCTGCTTATTTCATAAGAAATTTCTTCCAGCAGACCTGTGACTGGAAATTGGTTACAGATGATAGTTAATTGTGTACATACATCAATTAAAATACACGTATATGCAATAATTATAAATATGATATCATTACTAAAATAAAATATATATAAATACATAAATACACATACATAAATACATACATATACATACATAAATAAGTAAATAAATATATAAATATATATGTCGCATTTATACTGCCAAGGAAAGGTAGTGATCCTTAAGTCTTTTCTTAAAAATCGATATAGTTTTAGATTCCCTGATTATCGGTGGGAGTGAGTTCCATAATCGAACTGCATGAACAGTAAAGGAATCGGAATATGAAGCGCTTTTATGGGGAGGGAATTTAAGGAGGGTTTTAAGATGGGAACGACAAGGAGCGTGCGGTGGACGAGCGAAAGCAAATCGCTCACGCAGGTAAGATGGTGAAGTAGGGCAATACAGGATATTAAAGAGCAGACATAAAATCCTAGTGTTCCTTCGAAATCGTATTGGGAGCCACTTGAGATCCTTGCGAAGATGAGAGACGTGATCAAATTTACGAAGTACAAAGATAAAGCGTATACATAGATTTTGCAAGCGCTCAAGCTTATTTAGAAGCTCCTCAGTAGCATCCAGGTAACAGGCGTCAGCGTAGTCTATGATGGGTTGGATGAGCATTTGGGCCAGAGAGATTTTAGTCTTTAAGGGCAATACACCCTGGAGGCATTTAAGAGCATGAAAAGAATAGTGAACTTTTCGACTAATTTCACTTACATGTGCACACCAGGAAAGATTAGATGATATTATTATCCCCAGATCCTTGACAGTTTCAGTGTAAGGTATGGGTATATCGCATAACTTTACGGGGGGTATAGTAGAGAAATTGATCGAGTTTCTTGCATACCTAGTACCGATAATTATCGCCTGTGATTTAGTGGCATTAAGCGTGAGTCCAAATGATTTCGACCAAGAGTTTATTCGGTTTAAATCTTCGTTAACAGTAGCAATAGCTAAGTTTACTTGTGCTGGAGGAAAATGATGATAAAGCTGCAAATCATCTGCATAGATGTGAAAATTGGAAGAAATAACTGTTGTGACTGAGTTAATAAAAATAGAAAAAAGTAAAGGAGAGAGAACGCCACAGAGTAGTTCACAAGAGTTAGAGAATGAATTTTCTATGCGAAAGCGCTGCGAGCGGCCCCGAAGATAGGAGTCAAACCAATTTATAGAGGAAGAGGAAATGTTAATTGAATGAAGGATGCCGAGTAAAAAATCAAAATCAACAGAAGAAAAAGCGTTACTGAAGTCAAGCAATACCAGTAAAGTAAGTTTATTTGTCTCCATAGCCCATCGAATATCGTCTGTAACTTTGAGGAGAGCAGTAACAGTACTGTGACTGGGCCGAAAACCGGATTGGAAAGAACTGAAAAAAGCGAATTAGAACATAGAAAAGTGGATAGTTGAGTATGGACAATGTGCTCAAGAACTTTGGAAAGAAAAGGTAAGATGGGCCTAAAGTGGGACATTATTGTCGGACAAGTAACCTTCGGGAGTGGTATGATGTGGGCCTGCTTCCAGTCCAAGGGAAATGAACAGGTTGACAATGAGTGATTAAATATGTGGGTAAGAACGGGAAGTACTGATGACAAAATTAAAACTATCATTCTAGAGCACATATTGTCACTGCCAACAGATGATGATGAGATTGCAAAAATGGATCTTTTCACACACTCCTCTGAAACAGGGGTGAAATTAAAAGAGGGGGAAGATGGCCTCGGCAGGCCAGACAATACGCGCAGTGTTTCTGATTTGATATAAGGATCTAGGATTGAGGAAGATTTAGAGAAATATTTGTTAAGATCGTTTAAATCAATATCCCCACATACGACATTAGGTGGCTTTCCGATACCATTAGACTTTAGGAATCTCCAAACATCAGATGGGCTTCGATTATTGAGAGAATCGTGGAAATAGCGTCTCTTAGCATCTCTACACATACGATTGCAGCGATTTCGTAG